TGATTCATTGTATCGTGCATGCTTATCATGTGAAACATTCTGCCTCGATCCGGTTCCAATAACAACCTAGACTTTTACCTGGTATAAACTCCTGTGTGCCATGCGAGTTTTCAGGGACAGAAAAATTAATTGCCGCTTTTCCTCCAATCGGTTCCAGTATGTAGTCATCGCCAATGTATCCCAAGATCCCATCTGGCTGGTATTTTCCTTGAACTGTCCCTGTTTTTTGAGGTATTAAAAATATAATTGTTCTAGCTATTGCTTTATAAGATAATCATTCCATTTCGTATTCTTTATGTTGAAGTAACACTATGTCAAAAACGTTTTTCTGGATATTAAGACAACCTGAGCTAAAATCAAACTAAGGGTCTGTACAGAGCGTATTTAAGTAAATAAAATCCAGCAGGAAGAGAAAGTCTTCACGGCATGAGCTGCCTTAAATTCTGCTTGAATGAAATATTGGTAAAGAAAATTATTTTAGTTTCAAACCTTTTATGAACCAGTCCACAGGCGGTTCACGAAGGCCGTCACAAAGGGTAAAATCTAGGGTGATCTGGGCGGAAGTAATCACCAGGTTCCATTACCAAGAATACCACTTCATACATTCCGTTGTGATGGTCCCACACTTGCGGCGAAAGGGATGCTGGGCCTTGTCTGATGTACACTCGCCACGCATCGCCACGCATCGCCACGCATCTTATGAACGCTATCTCTTGTAACAGACTGAATAAAGAAACGACTGAAGTGACGTAACAGGAAACGAAAATATACTGTTAAGAAATATTAATTGTATAAACTGAATACTCAAATTTACTCTAACATTTTGGACTAAGGCAGCGTGGCCGAGTGATCATCACGGAGGACTCGCAATCCAGCGGTTCCGAGTTCGGGTCCCCTGACCAGTAATTGCATTTGTTTTTCGGTCTTTCCGGCTTCAAATTCTTGGTCACAATTGTAAAATAGCCATCTGATGCTGACTATTGCCTGGGGTTCTTTGTAGTGTTATGTTACATTTGCATTATTTGTTTCAAATTATCTGGGTGGAATGCACGGAGATAGCTGGTGCAGCTAAGAGCACTTTCGCTATAAAAAGGCATTTACCATTACCATTTTAACATTGTCGCTTAAGTTCACAACTTGATGTAAAAAGAACTGAAAAGAAATACTGCAATTTTTCGGGAAGTACATTTAAGTCTTTCGAGTACGACCAAAATCCATTTCGTTTTTCATTTCATATTTACACGTAGTACATGTAATCCCACAGAGGTTTTAAGAAATTTACACAAGACAACAAAAGTCTGAAGAATTCTGGAAGAAGTACTAAAGTGACGTCATCCTCGTTCAAATGGTCTATCGAGCGCTTCCGACTTTTATTTCAAAATTTTGCTCGGGGGACTCTGCGTTTGTTATATTCGTGCCTCGCAAATGCTTCAATGAGGGGCTTATAAAGAGGGGAGGTGTGACGTCTCAAAAATTCAAATTTGTGAATATGGAATTGGTTTGCATATCCAGAAAGGCTTTATATAAAGTCATTGAAGCAAAACAGTGCTTATACCCCCCCCACAACAATTTTACAGTACAAATGCTTATTTTAGGCCATTTGGGCTTTTTTTTTTGTTTTATCTGGAAATGCCAGCCTATCCTATAATTTTACAAATTTAGTTTTTGTGACGTCATCATTTATTCAATAGAGATTGCCTTTCAATACCTTGGAGGAATGTTACAAAAATGAAGGTTCAGGAATTTGTATCCGTTATCTACCTGCAGGTTGTATCTCCCATTTCGTAATAAAACTGTTATTCGCATCAGTCCCCAATTTGGAGTTTACTTTTCGTTCGTCCCAGGCTACTTTCCCTGCACACGGTTTAACCACTGTCTCCCAGTCTACCCGCCATCCTTGCATTCTGCACCACTGTTGGTGAAAATGTCGTATGTCGTGTTCATGGTTTTCAGAGAAAGGTGTATTGCTCCCGACCAAGTTGTATAGTATCGATATAATATGGAAGGTTAATATAACAGTGCCAAGGAAGATGGCTTTTTTGACGGAACGTTCATTGAGGATTTGAAGAACTTGACATCCCATCCCTAAAAGTCAAAATATAGAGAGCGAAAGCAGTGATTCTAAGAGGCAAGCGCAATTAAACAAAGAAAGGTCAATATGGCTCTGCTGCAGCTTCCAAGACAAGATGTAACACAGTCAAATTATCTAAATTATCCCACATGCGAAATTAAGAAAAAAATGCCAAGACAACTGTCCCTATATCTCAATGCCAAGATGGCGTCCAGTTTAAAGAAGTTGCTAATGAAGATATCCAGGCATTGAAAAACACTGTACAAAAGTTAAACACACAAAAGAGGACAATTTTTAATGGCAAGAAGGATTCCAAGGGTTAACTCGGGATTGTAGGTGTAATTTGTCACCCATGATATCAATAGGGAATGAAATGGTTTTCCTTATCATAGGAAATTAACGCTCCACGAAATTAACGCGAATCGTTAAAATTCGCGTTAATTTGAGTCGTGTTAATTTTGTTGACCGTAATTTCCGCGACGTTAATTAAGTGCAGCGTTAATTTCCGCCCTCTTAATTTCCAATATTTTAACCCCAATTTTGGAACCTGTCCAGACATTCTTGACACCTAAGAAACATTAACTACAATATTTCGAGTTCATCTACGTTGTTGTCGCTGTCAGAAGTGATGTCAATATCTTCTCCTTTGATTTCGGCCACCAACTGTGTCTTAATCGCGTTAATTTTCCTTTATTATGAAATTCTAACTCCTCTTTCGCGTTAATTTTATTTATTCGAAAGTCGTTTTCCATGAAATTCAATTTAAGTCACGTTAATTTTCAATACCTTAATTTCATGGAGCGTTAATTTCCTATAATAAGGTATTCGTAAATTTAGAAAATAATTTCACTTGCGTTTTATCCAAATTCTAATTTTTCCCTCCACCAAAGGCTCAAATTTTATTATAACTTTTACAAAACACACGTGAAAATTACATCCTAATTTCCTCGTCACCATTTGATCACACATTTAACAAGGCAAGTGAATGAAACGTTGAGACTTCTCTGCCACGAGATTTTTAAATGATCACTTTCAAGTTTTTTTGGGTAATCTCACAGCAAAGCTTCTGCAGTAACTGAATGAAAGACCAGGCCCATTTGTTTGAAAGGTGGATAAATCTCTATCCAGTGCATAACGCAATTGGTTTAAGTCCGCCTAAAACTTAACCGTTGGATAGTGGCTTATCTGATGGATAGCACTGTTCTGCGTTTGAACAACCGGGACGAGATGTAATTTCCAAATTCACATTCTGTTTACTACTTACGTTCCCGCCAAAGGAGGATCAATTTTAACCCCACAGATTCAGGATTCAGCGAAGGTGCTTACGATTCCTCGAGAAGGTCCTGCCTCTGTTATTTGAAGAGTTCGGGTTTCAAAAACCGGGAATCAAAATAGACCTACTACTCCGAAACGTGTCTAACCAAACGGTGGTATTAGCGAATCCTTTTGGACAGATACCTGTGGTGACTCCTATTATCATTAAATAGTTACATGAAAAAACCCTTGGCATTGAAAGTAATATCTCAGTATAAAAAGTTCTGGCTGAAAATTTGAGCCCAATGCACCAGATACACTCTGTATATTTTTCCTTATAATTTCTCATAGGTTTTTTTGTGTGAGTATTTCTTTGGCACAACAATGCTTTGTGATCGATATAGATTTTAATTCATGTATACTCAACCAACTACTCAACCTGCTTCAACCAACGATAACCCGGAAGTACTTACGTATCCAGCTAATACTGACACAGACCGATAAGTTGAAGTTTGATTAGCTCCTGAGCAATGACTCGAAGAATTCCAGGAAGTCATGTGAGATAGAGCGCGGGAACCTAAGCAGTCAGTTTTTAAATCTTGTGAGGGGACACATTCTCACAACTAGACCACCCAGCTGAATCCATGATGGTATTAATGGATGTGTTAGCTGATTTGCAGCAGAGGTGGCGGCGAAAAGAGTTATCAGAGTTCCTCATACCACTGACAGTAAGAGTAAACGTTTAGAAGAGATTCTAGTTTATCCTTAATATAACCGTCTTTAGCTTGATCCGTTTTCCACCTTACATGACGCTTAAAAAGCTGATCGCTAACGAGACCATTGGCCAGGAAATTGAGCCATTCGCACCAAAGCGTTCCTAATACATGTATGTCTGGCGCGAAGGGAATTTTTACAAAAAATATATCATTCAATACATCTCCCCCGTATATAAACCATATTTATGATTGACAGTGGTGACAAAGGAACCGAAAGTTACTTGAGGTTCCAATAAATTAACACTAGGGGTGTGTTCCTTTGAGATGATCCGGATCAGGACCAGTGGTAGATCAAATGAACCGATGAATCCACTCTGGATAAGGATTGATCGGCTCATTTGATCTACCATGATCAGAGTGATCAAAGGAACGCACCCTAGGTGTGTGAACTAATTACTATTCTGGTGAGCGCTTGACCGCTATAAGTGTTAATCACCATAGAAATAAGGCTCCTGGTGTGAGGCGGGATGTTTCTGGAAAGTTTTTGCACTCATTCTTTTAACTAATGTCTAGAGCAGGAACAACTGGCTTAGCGGCTTTTAACTTGCTTTGGGTGAGCTCTGTTTGCTGGGATATCCAATAATGACAATTCCCTGTAATTTGGGATAAATTTGGCCACAAGAATGGCCGTTTATTTCATTTAAGCATATCAAGCTAGGAAAATCCGGATACACAAGAAGATTATCCTAGCAAAGGTTAGGGTACATCCGCCAAACGTGAGAGGTCTTGTGCCTCGCTTTCATGTCATAAAAACATAATAATGTCCCGGATGGCAGGAACGCCCCCTTCCCAGTAGCTGGAGAAATGACATCAATCATTCACATTAAGCATAAAACCATTTCCTTCGTCGTTGTTATAAATCGAAAATGTTTTCATATTCATTGTATTTTTATATGAAAGGCCTTTTTCACTCAAGCTTATTGCGTTGGGTACGTGGAGGGGAGGATACACCGTAACGCATTTCCTCTGGTATGTGATTATCTGTAAAACTACCTCGCCACTGTGTGTCTGATCGCTGTCTGCCATCTCATGTCCAACGCACGTTTGTAAATTATTTGGTTAGTGGCTCGAACACTGACGAACTGCCTCTTCTTTCTTGTAAACGTTATGTGTTGCTATAACCCATGTGAAGACTCCCCGTCAGTCAACTCGTGATCTCTTCAACTGGAAGTTTTGTTCATTTCCTCCATCATAAATGCTAATAGTTGATCTTCAGCTGCTCTCTGCGCATTTGCATTGTAATGCACATGATCTAGTGTGCCATTAGGATACGAAGCAGTCATTGGATACACGTCCAACACAGGAATGCCAGCTTTGCACATGGCGTTAGTCGCGTATTTATGAAACAACTCCAGTCTCTGATGATAAAAAAAATCACACACATATCACACAACGACAATTACAACTACTTTAATGATAAAGATGACAATAACAAGAGAAATAACGACAGCTATTAATTTAAAAATTAATTAATATTCGTTCAAAATAGTTCTTCGTTTCTAATTGCCTTTAATTTCCTGGCTGATTCTTTTATTACTGCGGTATACCATTCTCAGTTACAATTACAACTACTTTAATGATAAAGATGACAATAACAAGAGAAATAACGACAGCTATTAATTTAAAAATTAATTAATATTCGTTCAAAATAGTTCTTCGTTTCTAATTGCCTTTAATTTCCTGGCTGATTCTTTTATTACTGCGGTATACCATTCTCAGTCTCAACCAATAATTCGGTTCATAGTATTGACAGTAGCTAAAAACAATGAAAGCATCGCAAAGAAAGGTATTTTAAAAAAATGCTTTGTTTTATTAATTTTCTAGACTTTCAATTCAACAGCAACAAAAGAATAACCGGAGCGAACCAAAACAGTCGACTCGGTAGTTATAACAACACAAATTTAATTCTCAAAACTACTGAATGGATGATTTACAAAGCACTTTCCTTATATTATCTGCATCTTTTTCGTCCACTAGCTGCTGTTTCCCTATCTGGGATAACTTTAAAAATCGTTGCTTTTTAGCTTGGGCCTTCGTGTTTGTGTTGTTGTGTTCATTCACGAAAAAGAAATTTGGCAGTGTTTTTCCCGCCTTCTGTCACGCCATTCCACCGTGCTTTGATCACCTGCTGTAATGTATTCAGAGCGCGGTACATTGCTTAATGTATCACGATCGGGCTACATTTGATTTCAGTCGAGGCCATGTGACCAAGAATCAACCAATGGCAGTCCCTGTTTAGTTGAGGGAAAGTCTACGAATATAACAAGATGAATTATGCAGTATCCACCAAGGCCAAAGAATTAGCCGCGGGGGATATTTGATCCAATCAGAAACGGTGAAATATTTTGAATGAATAATACCTGCTGCTATACCTGATGTGTATGGAATCTCCAATGAGTCTTATTCTTCGGAAGTTCTGCAAACATTAAATGAGTCTTTTCTTTTTCAATGGATGTTGTTGTTTTCCATATAACAATGGGTTTATTATTGTGTTGAACCTCAACCTTTCTCCTTAACAGTGTTATCACGCTATCCACGAGGTCTCTGTAAGTTGTGAAATTAAGTGATATTGGATAATGAACGCCAAGGTTAAATAAGAACACACTGTTTTGTCTTCTCATGTCGGGTGAATCAAGAATGTTCGTCAAATATTGAAGGATAACTGTTTTGTTGAAATCGTTTGGACGAAACTTTGACTTGGCCTCTTCTACACTGGTAAGCTGAAAAAATATAGAAATATACAAGATTACGATATAAAATTTAGAAAAAAAAATTGGTTCATCCCTCTCTCTCTTTCAGCAGATTCTCCCGAAACGAAAAGATCATTTGTGTCTATGTGAAGATAAGTGTTCAAAACCATTTTTTTTCCCTTACTTACTGCAAACCAGACATCATTGAGCGGTCGTGGCCCAATAGAGGAATTTTTATCCAGTGACTTTATTACCTCTATTAAACCGACTCTTTGTTTAGGGATACCAGGTAAATTGCACATGTACTTTTCTTGTCACAATCATTTTTTCTTTCTTGATTTTATTTTTCGGTTGGTGAAACTTGCATGAAACAGTCAACCTGTGTTACGTGGTCTGAAGGCCACAACCCAAGAGTTTAAACCTTTTAACCCTCAGGAACGCAAACAATGCAATTGGTTGATCAGCCGTTATTTGCGCCGTTAATAAATTATCGACGATGCCGTAAATGATCTAATGGACGCCGAGAAAGTCTATTTAATTTGAGAATCCCAAGTCAGCGCTTTTAAGAGATGGGGGCGGCGTTTAAAGCTTGACGCCTTTATTCTACGACTGTAAAAAACTTCAGAAAACTAATAGGCTTTGGCGAATACATCACAACAGTATATACACAGGGGGCATCCAGTCCATTTATTGATACGTCTTATAGGCCGGGACGTCTAATAGAGAGGAGGCCCAGTATTAAAGAGGGGCGTCTTATACAAACTCAAAAGTCCTTTAACATAATAGAGGGGGCGTTTATTAGACAAGAGGCGTTTATACGAGGGAGGAAGTCTATTTGATCATTTACAGTATTCAGTTTTAATTAATTTGTGTGGAATACGAACTCTGTTGCTTCATACCTCGTATATCCACATGTATGAATCTTTGCACTTTTTGAAAATCTTTTTACAAATTCCTCGCAATCTCAGTGATTTCAGGAAATTCTGGGCCACGGAATCACCATATATCCACAGTGTATCTGCCCCCGTAAAGGAATTCTCTACTGCTGCTGTTGTGTTATCCTCTATAGAAAATAGTATAGTTGTACACGTAGTAATTAAAAATGTCTTGTATAGAACATACGCCATTTAAAAATTGTATGATTATTATGAGTAACTATTGTCCAGTGGAAGAGTACAAGCCATTTAAAGGTGCTACATTTGAAAATTAAAAATCGTCCAGTAGAACACATACCAGTATAAGGCAACCACACTCCGTCGACCCATCTACCAAAACCGTTTTGTAGCAGGTTGCAAGTGATTCCACAGGCTTTTTCTGCATTAATAGAAGAATTATGATCATCAATTGTTTTGAGATGTCCACATACCAATCTAGCCATGTCATAGTTTGAAACAGATTAAATCATTGTTCTTCGCATGTTAGCAAAGAAATTAGGTTCATGATGAAAATACTAACTGTTCTTTTCACACAAATATAAAAAAAAATTATAAATGCTCTTATGGCGTCATTCTGGCCCGACTTAGGGCCAACTTTTGAGCAGACGTAATCGAGTTTTGACTGATCTGTCTTTTTTAGGAAGACGCGACGCGGCAAAGCCAAAACCGTTATGATAGCTTATACATCAGGTTGCTTGTAAAAAAAGGTTAGGGGTCTGAATTAGAGTCGTTCAGCTACGCCGTTCCAAAATGAAACAGTCCTCTTTACTGAATGGTTAGGTAGATTCATGGTATCATGCTCATGAAACATTCTTCCTCGATCCGGTTCCAATAACAAGGTAGACTTTTACCTGGTATAAAGCCCTGTATGTTATGCGAGGTTTCCGGGACAGAAAACGTAATTGCCGTCTTTCCTTCAATCGGTTCCAGTATGTAGTCTTCGCCAATGTATCCCAGGATTCCATCTGGTTGGTATTTTCCTTGAACTGTCCCTGTGTTTTGAGGTATTAAAAATATAACTGTTCTAGCTATTGACTTATAAGGTAATAATTTTATCTCCTATTTTTTTTATGTTGAAGTGACACTGTCACGAATTCAAAGCTTTTCTGGATATTTAGACAACCTGAGCTAAAATCAAACTGATCTCCACACAAAATGCCGATGCGAAGCTCAGGCCGCATTTAATAAATGAATTCCAGCAGGGAGAGAAAGTTAAGTCTTCAATTTCATGAGCTGCCTTAAATTCTGCTAGAATGCAATATTGGTTAAAAAAATTGTTTAAATTAGTTTCGAACCTTTTATGAACCAGTCCACAGGCGGCTCACGAAGGCCGTCACAAAGAGTGAAATCCAGGGTGATCTGGGCGGAGTAAGTACCCGGTTCCATAACCAAAAATACCACTTCATACATTCCGTTGTCATAGTCCCACACTTGTGGCGCAAGGGATGCTGGGCCTTGTCTGATGTGCACTCGCCACGCATCGCCACCAAAATTCTTATAAACGCCATCACTTGTAACAGACTGAATGAAGAAACGACTAAAGTGACCTAACAGGAAAAGAAAATCAGTCAAACCTCCATGTGCGACTACCTCACGTAAGCGACCACCTTCCATAGGCGACCGCCAGTCCAAAACACCAAAATTTTACCAGTCAAAGCCTTACAGTTGGAACCTCTAGTAAACGACCACGTCCTGTAAGCGACCGCGACCGCGACCACCTTTTGGGACTGAGGGTTAAAGATTCTGCATGGTTTTTAACCTCTTGTAATGCTACCACTTGAAGCATTCTCTCATCTCTATGTTCGTTATGTGCACTATGCTACTAAGACGATACGAAGAACTCTAGTGACAACATGGAACTACACATATTCCATCTTAAAGTAGATGTGCCCCGAACTCTTCTTGGGAGAGGCCCCATGTGGTTCGATTCTTGTAAGCGACCACCCAGTCTTTGTATTTTGGGTGGTCTCTTATTGGCGGTTCGACTGTACTGTTAAGAAATATTCATTGTATAAACTGAATACAACTCTAAGTTACTCTAACATTTTGGACTAAGGCAGCGTGGCCAAATGATCAGCGCGGAGGACTCACAATCCAGCGGTCCCGAGTTTGAGTCTCCTGACCACTAATTGCATTTGTTTCGGTCTTCCCGACGATTGTAAAATAGCCATCTGGCGCTGACTGTTGCTTGCTGCGTTTCTTTGTAGTGCTATATTACATTTGCATTATTTGTTTCAAATTATCTGGGTGGAATGCACGGAGGTAGCTGGTGCAGCTAAGAGGACTTTCGCTATAAAAAGGCATTTACCATTACCACTTTAACATTGTCGCTTAAGTTCACAACTTGATGGAAAAAGAACTGGAAAGAAAAACTGCAAATCCATTTCGTTTTTCCGTTCATCTTTAACTTAGAAATCCCACAGAGGATTTAATAAATTTACACAAGAAAGCAAAACTCTGAAGGATTCTGGAAGAAGCAGTCACGTAGTGACGTCATCCTCATTCAAATGGTCTACTTAGCAATTCTGACTTTTATTTCAAAATTTTGCTTGGGGGACTCTACGTTTGTTATATTCGTGCCTTGCAAAGGCTTCAATGAGGGGCTTATAGGGAGGGGAAGTGTGACGTCACAAAAATTCAAATTTGTGAATATGGCAATTGGTTTGCATATCCAGAAAGGATTTATATGGAGTCGTGGAAGCAAAACAATGCTTTTGTGGCCAGGTGGACTTTTTCTTTTTGTTCTTTCTGGATATGCTAGCCTATCCCATAATATCACAAATTTAGTTTTTGTGACGTCATCACTTCCCTTCTCTATTCAATAGAGATTGCCTTTCAATACGTTAGAGGCCAATGTTACAAGAGTGAAGGTTCAGAATTTGTATCCGTTATCTACCTGCAGGTTGTATCTCCCATTTCTTAATAAAACTGTTACTCGCATCAGTCCTCAATTTGGAGTTTACTTTTCGTTCGTCCCAGGCTACTTTCCCAGCACACGGTTTAACCACTGTCTCCCAGTCTACCCGCCATCCTTGCATTCTACACCACTGTTGGTGAAAATGTCGTATGTCATGTTCATGGTTTTCAAAGAAAGGTGTATTGCTCCCGACCAAGTTGTATAGTATCGATATAATATGGAAGGTTAATATAACAGTGCCAAGGAAGATGGCTTTTTTGACGGAACGTTGTTTGAAGATTTGAAGAACTCGACATCCCATTCCTAAAAGTCAAAATTTAGAGAGTAAAAGCAGTGATAGTAAGTGGAAAGGGCAATTAAACAAAGGAAGGCCAATATGGCGCTACAACAGCTTCTTCCGAGACAAGATGTAACACCGTCAAATTATTTAAATAGACCTTGTCACGGTTTTCTACGCGATCTTGACGAGTAGTCAAACGCGTGAGTAATTAAATAAAATACATTGTTGTTGTTGTTGTTTGTGAATCTAATGCCGAATAGTTTCCCTAGAACGGCTGTTCTGAAAAAAATATCAATTGTAAACTAACTCTTTAATCCTAAGGATTGTACTGAAAAAGTTGAGGGCGTTACACGCGCTAGAGGAGCTAGAACCATTTTTTTAAATTTTACAAAGATTTGTCTGTAAGAAAGTGCCGGGAAAAATTACAGACAAATATATGGAAAATGTAAAGCAAGCCTCTGGGGAAATTTAAGCACAGGTACGCCCCCAAAATGTTTTAGTAAAATCCTTTGCTCTGTAGCTTTTTTTTACAGTTCAGTGATATTTTTTTCAGAACAGCCGTTTTACGGAAATTATTCGACATTAGATTCTCATACAAACACTGTAATTTCTCACACGTTTGCCTACTCGTCAAGATGGCGTCAAAAACCGTGACAAGGTCTATTATTCCACAAGCGAAATTAAAAAAAAATTGCTATGACAACGTTCCCTGTATTATCTCAATGCCAAGATGGCGTCCAGTTTAAAGATGATACGAATGAAGACACCCAGGCATTGGAAAACACTGTAGAAAAGCTAAACACACACAACAGGACAATGTTTAATGGCAAGAAGGATTCTAAAGGGTGAACTCGGGATTGTAGATGTCATTTGTCACCCATGATGTCAATAGGAAACTAAATGGTTTACTCGTAAAATTAGAAAGTAATTTCACTTCCGATCTATCCAAAGTCTAATTATTTTCCTCCACCAAAGGCTCAAGGAATTATATATATTTCACAAAACACTCGTGACCATTTGATCACACAAGTGAATGAAACGTTTAGACTTCTCTGCCGCGAGATTTTTAAATGATCAGTTTCAAGTTATTTTTCGTAATCTCATGAGCAAAAGGCCAAAGCCTACAATAACTGAACGAAGGACCAGGCCCATTTGTTCGAAAGAAGGATAAATCTCTATCCAGTGCATAACGCAATTGGTTTTCCTAAAACCTATCCTTTGGATAGTAGTTTATCTGGTGGATAGCACTGTTCTGTGTTCGAATAACCGAGGCCAGATGTAATTTCCAAATTAGCATTCTGTTTACTGACAGCAACTACTTACGTTCCCAACAAAGGAGGATCAATTTTAACCCCACGGATTTAGGATTCATTTTAAGAATTAGGGTTTTAAAAGCCGAGAATCAGAATAGACTCACTACTCAGAAACGTGTCTAACCAGTCGGTGATATTAGCGAATCCTTGTTTATATGTTGTGATTCCTATTATCACTCATAGTTACATGGAAAAACCCTTGAAATTGAAAGTGATATCTCAGTATAAAAAGCATTCATGGCCCATAATTTGAGCCTGATGCACCAGATATACTCTTTATTTTTTTCAATTTCTCATAGGTTTTCTTTGTATGGGTATTTCTTTGGCACAACAATGGTTTTTGATCGGTATACTCAAATTGCTACTATATGCTTCAACCAACGGTAACCCTGATGTACTTACGTATCCAGCTAATACTGCCACGGACGGATACTTTACCATACAGAGAAGTTAGGATGTCCAATTGTTTTGCAACGTGGTTCACCGTGGAGCAGTCCTTGGCGCTCCAAGAAGTACGACTAATCTTAATTCAATACGAATTTAAAGCGTGTATGCTCTTAGCTAGTTTCTAAGAAACAAATTCTATCCAAAAGTGCATGTTGTTTAAATCTAAATGTATCTTCAAATAGAAATCACTTACTCTCCCAGAAATAAAAAAAAAACTCTTTTGTTAAACCACTTTGCAAATACCAAATGGAGAAAAAAAAGTAAAAATTGAAATAAAAAGGAAAATGCTTTCTTAAGAATAAAGACGTCTTGGTTCACCATACTGTTTGCACAAGTAAAGCGTCTTGCTAAAAAAATGCTTGCCATGTCAGCCCATGTTGCTTAGTGACTCAAGTGATAAAAAGATTCTTCCAATGAAGTGCATCTCATTATGTTAGGCCAATACGAGTTCTTCTGTGGGATATCAGCTGTTCATAATTTGGACTGTTATTTCAAAAATAGTGGTCCAATAAAACTTTCAAGCACTGAAGAAAACTCAACTGTTTGCTTGAACAGTTATTCCAACGGTGTTTCATAGAACAAAGCTCATTATGTCACATTATAGCGTCAGAATAAAGCTCACCTCGAATTCAACTCCGCAAATGCGTTGACGAACCTTTCTTTCATTTTATTTTATTAGACTGGCCAATTATTGGCAGAGTCACCGCAACAGCATGACGCCAATTACTGCGGGCCCGTAACAGTCCCTTCCCCCATGAGAGACAGACCACCACACTGGGGACAACGTCCCCTACTCTTTACGAACAGTGTGTGGGTTCTTTAAGTAGAATAGACCCCTTTACCTTGTATGCTTTGCTTTCCCATTGTAGGTCATGTGGCGCTCTCAAGGTAATTCGCCTGCTATTTTTCATTTCCTTAGTGTACTATAGTCTTGTGACCTACATTGGGAAAACCAAACACACAAGCTACAGAGGTCTGTTCAACACAATAAACAAAGTTTTTGATAAACTTCAATAAAATCCGTAAAAGCAATAAGGCCCGGTTCAGACGCCGCTCCACTCATGTGCCGAACCTAACTGAGTTTGTTTCGACTTTGGAGCGATATTGGCGCGACATCTGATTCAGACGGCGCACCGTGTGTCGAACCTAATCTTTATTTCATGTAGGGAGAAAGATGGGAAGATTTATAAATTATCATAATGTATGCATTTTATTCGGCACATGAGAAAAACGCTGTATGAATCACCTGCCGCTCCAATGTCGAATAATGCGACAGACCCTGTCGAACTTAACGTTTTTGCCGCACCAAATTAAAACTGCCGTACCAAACTGATTCAGACACCGCTCTTTTGCTGTACTTAATACCTCAGTTAGGTTCGGCACATGAGTGGAGCGGCGTCTGAACCGGGCCTAAGTAGTAAATTCTATTTTTTGGTGTCAGTTAAAAAATTCTGAATAATGATAGATATATTTACTCTAAATTACGTTTCGTATTAGGCGAGTTGGAAATTATTTTGTGTTACTTCCCCCCATCTAATGTAAAACTTATAAAATAAGCTTGGCGCTCAAAAAGTAGAGATAAAATAAGGCACGACTCTTCCTATAACTGCTATACAGGGTAGTCAATGGATTTTCCTTTCTCTTTCGAGTGGATTGCCACTGCAAGCTAAACTTGTCGTAAAAGGCTTCGGTCTCGATCGCCATTTCTGGAAATAACTTATACATTCTGTTGTCGATGTTTACATTTTATCAGTTACACTGAAGAAAGAAAGAAATGACCTAGAGTTTTCAAAAAAAAAGACAAAACAAAACAAAACAAAACAAAAAAGTATAAAAATAACTAGCCATCCAATACTGACAGTTGAAAACAATTTTTCTTGTAGGTTTGGTTGTAAACGGAAAAAGGTAGGAGCAGCGCAAACAATGTCCGCAATAAATGTGATATTTGATGTAACAAAAATAAAACAAGTAAAATCTGGTCTGTTAAAGAGTTAAATAATTCATTTAAATGAAACACCTTGAACTTAAATATTCATCTGGAATTAAGGTTATTAAATGGATCTCACTAACGGTTCAGCTCACATCTGCTTTGAAACAGTTTGCCCATCACAGCCACTGAGTTATGCTCGTAAATTAAATCTGGGCACGGGATAAGATTTCGTCATAGGAAAGAAAACACCGTTTTGTAATGTTCATTGGACAACTATCAGCAGCTTGCGAACATTAATAGTGAAAGTTTCCTTCGACTGGAATTCCCATGAACGGGGACTCTTCTAAGAATTCTTCTTCTTTGCCTGGGGGGATACCATGCAATTTGAGGGTCATTTCCCGTGCTCTATCTGGTAGGCACATAGTCACGTGATCACCAATGAGGTAAACGTGTGTCGATGTTGTTTCCCAATCTGCAGTAAAAGTAGCGACATTTTCTCCCTTGTTCAGATCCCAAGCGCAGAAGTTATTCCGATGGAACGTAATCGCAAGTTTGTTGTTTGAGATGAGAATTTTGTGAGCGGGTTGGCTTCTCGCTCTGTGACGAATCCGCCCTGTGGAAACACCAATTACAACCAACGTTCCGTCTTTTTGTGATGAAACGGCTACCGACGAATCTTTAGAGAAAGCCGACGCAACGAGACCTTTCACGGCTGGCAGAGTAGCGTGTAAAGGCCTTGATATGGTTCTCAAATCCCAAATCAATGTAGTGTCGTCAAGAGTAGAGCAAAAAAGGAGATGGCCTTCATTGTCGAGATTGGCGGCCTGAAGCTTGAGCTGCCTGCCTTTAATCTTTAACAGATAATATTCGTCGGATGCAGAGTCCAGCATGATAAGCGGCAATGATCTGTTCGGTTTCTCCACTCTTTGCACCAACGAGCAAATGACAGTGTGCCCATTTTTGTTCAGCATTACATCCGCCTGTCGAATCTTGTCAAATCCACGCTTTTGGACAAGCTTCCCTGTGGAAACATCTCAAGTCTCCAGTTGTCGGTGCGCCCTTGAGAAGGTGAGAAAGCGTGTTTCGTTCAGAAAATCTACCGCCCAGGAATGGCCCGCCTTCCCCTCCATCCACTGTGACACCATTCCTTTCTTTAGGTCGAAAAATCCGAAAGAAAACTCTTTGCGTTCTTCAATATAAACGTTTGCAAATGCTGTTGTAGTATTCAGCATTCTTATCTCATACACGCCAATAGCTGAGAACCGCAAGCGCCGAACTACATTGGAAGAAGTTACATCCCAGACTGACAAAGTTTGCCCTTCTGGACCCACTGTCGTCGTAACGATGTGGCAACCGTCCACACATGGGTAAACACCACTGATTTTCTCTTCATCTAAACAGTCGGGTCTTGTTGCAATCTGCATTTGCTCCGGGTAGTATTTGTAAATGCGTAGGATTTTGTCTAAACAAACTGTTATGACATAGTTTGCATCTCCTGTAAAAATGTTTGCACAGTTGACACGATTTCGCAGGAAAGGACGTTTTGGTGTTCTTTGAATGTCGCTCGTTTGAAGATTTGTGACAGGGATCTCCAAGTCATTGTAACTGATGGCCTTGGTTCCGTCTTGAGTAAGCTGAAGACGTTGCAGCCCAAAATATGTTTCGTAGCCATTTTCTTTATAAAAGACCGAGTGTATAAATCGAAAAGATAAAGGCCCTTTCGCGAAGCTGGAAGTAAGACGATTTGATTAAACGGAGTTATTCTTAGTTCTTTAACTTTCTCGCCAACTTCAACAACGGCTGTTTCTTGTCCGTTCGAAGCATCAAAGACATGAAATCCTAGCCCGTGGAGACTGTAAACCACGATGTTTCCCTTGGCATCCATAGTTCTTAGAGTTTCACTGTCAAGTTGTTCAAAAGAGAAAGAGTTTAGTAGCCGACCGTCAGAGGCGCCCTAGATCTTCACTGCTGTATCGGTTAGAGCTACGATTACTTCTTCTTCCTTCGCAAATGCAAAGGGATAATAAAAATTGTACAAAGCATCACTCAATGCGTGGAAAGTTTGAAGAACTTGCCTTGTTTGAAAGTCTACGAGAAGCACCGTCTTGAGTCGGCCAGCAGGAGCTTGTTCCTTTGTTTCACACTTGATCTCAGCGACTACTTGAACGCTGTTTCATTCTGCCAAGAAAAGACTACTCGGCGGATCAACTTACCAGTTCAGATTTCAACTAATTTTATTGCCACTCCATCTTTGGTTGAGTAACCGACGAAGACTGTTTTCCCGTCACAACTAAATTCGCAGACGGCATTCTGATCGCCTACTTAAGTGGAAGATAAAACGAGCCCTCAGGCGGAGACAGGCATTGATAACTTGGGATAAAACAAGGAACACTGGAATTGTAGGCATCTTTTACAATCTTGCTAATGCATGGACTTCGCCCACTGTTTATCAAACATTGTAATCTTCCAATGACTTGTTACGCAAACTGTCGAGGGTCTTTCCTTAAGGACATCGACGAAAGCCTCAAGAATTTCTCAACAATCCTAATATCATCGTCATCGCCCCAAACATTCCGCGCATCAGTAAAATCTTCCAATACGACATTAACAGAGGTTGCTTTTAGTTTCGCTAGCAAAAATTCGAAGTTGCATAATGTTTCTCTCTTGAGCTCATCCAGCTGTGCAGAGCACAACAAATGATGTGGCAGTCCAGTCAATTTTCGATAGTTGAAAATTGCTTGTTCTTGGTTTATTTGAAAACTTAGAGGCTGTTTTGCGACAAGACTATCCATGTGGATTCTTTCGGCGTTGTTGTTAACGAAAGGTTTCTTATTTCCGTCAGCCCAATTTCTAAGAAAATAGTCGCTCATGTTGCAGGGAATAAATTGTTCCTGTTCTCCTCGAACATAACGATCTTTTGCCACCTAAAAATAAGCAGCACATTAAAGAATGAAAAACTACGATAATACTCAGCGGAATTCCATATAGTCTCAAACGGTCTGGAGAGAAGCAGGCTAAAAGTAATTTTACGTTAAATTTCGTTAAACATTAAAAAATAATTATATGTATAAAATTAATGATAGCGAAAAACGTTTGCACGGTGTTTCAAGGTAGCCATGACATCATTCTCAATTGGCAAAATAAACCAAAATTATCTGGCCTAGTATACAGTTTGAAGTGATAAAAAAAACCGAAGGTAACATATTTTCACATGTAAATGAAAAGTATATAAAGAAAAAACAGTCGGAAGGAGTTCGATTGTGTATTCAAACTTGGCTTCTTAATGTTTATTATTGATGAGATCCTTTTCATAACGAGGAAGCCCTGTCTAAAGACCCAATCGGACTCCACCCGAACAAGTCTATTTCTTTAATACACCTCCCATTTACACGTGCAAATACATTACCTTTTGTTTTATTTTACCCTTTTAACCCTATATTTTTTCACTTGGCAATGACGTAATGGTGACATCAAAACATTCTGCTAAACTTTTCTTGGTCGTTTTTATTCTCAATTAATAACAAAAAACGTGTTTTGAGATGCGTCGCTTTTCAAGATGGGGTACATATTGGAGGTACATTGGTCTGCCAGCTGCGCGATGCACTAGCCTATTAAATAGCTTTCAAATTGCGATGATAATTACACTTTTTACGGCTTGAGTGTATAGCTACTTGGAGAAAGATATATATTGTTATTTCAAGTTGTATGACACTCTAGGATAAATTTCGTTCCATGTCTGTTTGTATTTATCTGAAATGACTATCCTCTTCCCCGAAAAGTCAAATTGTCGTCGCATTGCGATACGGATGCGACACGCAACACCTCTTGGTTAGACGTCCGCCGTTTTGCGTTTTTTTCGACACACACGCTGCTCAGAAGTTTTTTTTTTTTTTGGGACTTTGCCACAGGCAACCCAATAAAAAAATCGTACTACTCACAACCGCACACGCATTATACCTCAATGAATTGCCTGTGATACCAGTACAAGACAGGTACACCATTAGCTCCCCTCTGAATTAGATAATTCCCCAATATCAGCATGGATTCTGAACCAAAGGGAAGGTAACATTTTCCTTATCGGCGGCGTCCAAAACTGATACACATCATTCAAGACAATGTCATCCAATGAGAGAAGATCCTCCAACTCGGGCTCTTTTAAGCCACTCTTGGATGCTGAGATATAGCCAAGGGCCTGACTAACAAGAATTTTACCTGGAAATAAGTGTAGAAAAGGAGTTTCACTATTCCGTTTTTGTCGCACACCAAGCTCCAGTGCACACCTCCTCTTGTTGCTGGTAAAATATTCTTCCCCAAATTAAACAAAAGGAAGAAAAATTCGTCGTTTTATAGTCGCTAATTTGCAGTCCAAGGTCTTACTAAGAGGGTCTGGATGGGGGGGGGGGTACAAATGTCAGTTGTCAGTTAAAATTTTGGCCATTTGTCAGTTGTCAGTTAAATTTAAGGCCATTTGTTAGTTGTCAGTTAATTGGCTGTTAATAATTAATTAAGTCATTTAGTTATTTCTTTTTTATCCAAAATTTAGCTCAAAGGCACATTAAATGTAAATTGTACCACTAATTCGAAAATTGCTACACTAATAACCTTTTTTTTTTCAAATTTGGAGTTGAATTCATTACAAGCGGCTTTCTATCGTTACTCTCCTGCTTGCCCGAGCATAACATTCCTCTCTAACCCTTAGACCCTTAGCTCATCAAAATTCACCTTCAACATATTTGAAGTATATCGTGAGAAAGACAAACAAATATCGGAAGAGTTCTTTCTTTTTTCGTTAGTTTGATTTGATTGGGTATTGTTTGTCAATGGCTCAATTCATTTTCTCTTGCTCAATTGTAATTGGCTGGGATGAAGTGATCAGGGAATATTTCACTCGCCCAAACAGGCGCGTTGGGAAGAGAGTAACAAACAAAATATGTTTTCTCCTGTGAAACATGAAACATATCTACAAAAAGCATACCTTACAAATCAAGTCGAAAATGGGCACGTATTGGCCGCCCAGATCTTGAAATGGTAACAGGCGCAATATCTTCGTCCTCCCTATCAGAAAAGTCATCTCCTGAGTCGGGTTCATATTCATCTGACGGGATCGCGCTTCAGTAACTGCCACTGCAACTAGACAGTCGTCCACAAATGTGACTTGTGAGGCATCTCCACCTTCAGATGTAGCATGAACGAATAGGTCTTCTTCTTTTTCTTCTTCATCCACGGTAAAATCTATTGGTTCCACAGTGTTAAGATCGTTCCCTAGTCCCTCCATCAAGTCCACTCTATCACAATCTTGTTCCTTTGAGTAGACTGCCGGTGGTAAAGCCCCATCTTTGTCCATTGTAGTTTCTCCCCGGACTGTCCTTTGCCTCACGGGACGATATTTCTCTACCAATTCTTTCATAGCAGTTTCCGTCTCGGGACTGATTTCTTCCGACAGCAGCGGTTGCATAAAGTTGATCTTGGCAAACTTCATACTGGTCTGCGGGACGGGGTAATACGACTTATCGTGGGTAAAATACTTGCCCCTCCGCCCACCCCCACGAGAGCACGAGCGGAGGGCGACAGTGGCCGCGAAGCAGCCACCCCCTTACGTTCGCGCGCTTTCAAATCCTTCGTGGTTTCTATTTTGTTTGTGATCTCGACGAACTCTAGACAAAATAGAGGGTCTGTGGACAGACTAGCAGGAAATAAGCCCAGTGACTTGCTCGGCATACAATCGTCTGTGAATTAGTATTTCATTTGTAGGGGTGAAGTGTTTAGTTTCTATATTATGTTTTGTTTTTAGCTGATGTTCTGCGTGTTTTAATGTATGAATTTACATACGATCAACAGATACCACTAAAATCTGACGTGTAACGATCCCTCCAGGAAAGGTGTTGAGAAGCAAGCACACGCGGTGGTTCGCACCGCTGCCGCAAAGCTACAAAATGTAGTCATACATTAGGCCACCGTAAATAATTTCAAGAAAAATAAATGTTACATAGTGCATTACGTGAAAACAAGAGCGAAAATATTCTGAAAGCGTAGCAGTACCCAGAAGGTTTTCCGGACTTGCATGCTTATATTTACACCACTACATGAAACAAATACACAAGCACTAAGAATACATACCGTTCATTTCGCTTCCTGAGTCATCCAGCATACTTGGAAGCTCCAGCTGCCACTGGTCGTCCGTTGTGAAGGCGAAGTTATCACCTTTCCCGCCCGGTTTCGGTGCCATCCGATAAAGCTTTATATCGAAATCTCCAAGGCCGTATTTAATTGTTAGTTCCTTCAGACCAAGGAATTGAATAAGGTGCTTTTTGATTGCATGTACTGTATTTAAGTCATTTATCTGAATACGGCTTCTATGTCTTTCGAATGCAGTATCCGAATTAAGGTGACTCGATCCAGTTTTTTTTTGGGGGGGGGGGGGGTACCATCCTACTTTGAAGCTCTCTGGTTTCCCCACCTTTACTTTTATCGTAAGTCTAACACATAGAATGGATAACATATAGATCAATCTACAATATAACATAAAATTTTTGGCGATCGGAGTAATGTCACGTGGTTATAATGCCACGCCCCTTTGAGGTCTGAGTCGAAAATCTGCTGTTGCCAGCATTTTTTTCGTGAAAATCTCTCGGCTACACATAGTGCGCATTAGTGCCTTGCGCTGAACAGAGTTTCACCAAAATCGCAAAGACCCAATTCGAGAAATTCAGCGGTTTCCAAATTTAGGTCATAATTTATGCGAAAATGATAAGCAAACTTTACACGGATTATATCTAATAAACTATGAGATTCATCTCTGTATTTTGGGCATCCTTATAACAGATGGGTCCTTGCAAGTCCGCAAAACGCTTTAGGGCCTTGTAAATGAGCGCGATTTCGAGCAAAGCAAACATATAGAAATTATAGTTTTCGCTATTTGTTGACGTTTGTCAGCGTTTAAGAGTCCTTCTCACGAAAAAAAGCTTTTTCTTAAAAACTCGTATTTTTTTTTCTTTTAAATTTTTGCAGGTCCACAATTGATTAACTAACTACCCGGACTCTGAATTTCATGGTCATTGAAAAACTGTGACATTACCTTCTATAAGCCCAAACTTGAGTAAACATTGAATATTTTTAGCGTTTTGGCTGAGTTTGTGCTTTGGGAGTTGTCTATTGTTTCTAGTCTGTCATTATAAAGCATTCTTGTTCAGCGCGCGTGCAATGACCACGCTTGGGTGACGTCCGAATGCTCACCGAGATATAACGAACGTTAAATATCATTATATTTTATCTTTTTTATGTATTCCTGTGTTTTTGGGAGTGAATTCACCGATTTAGTCGTTTTTTGGCTATTATTGTGTCACCCCTGTCACTCCCTTCATAAGACGAAGTAAAGGCTGCCCCAGGAGGCTGAGGCTGCACAGAAAACAGTCGGCGGTCCGGACCTTGTCTACTCGCCCGAAACCCATCAAACAGCAGATTTTTTCACTGCTACATCTCAGTAAAAGTCTAAAAGCGAAATCTCCCCACGTATGTTGCTGAAAAGGAGCATTTTCTCGTGCCATGTCCAAAATAATTTTTTTCCCCAGACTCTGTGATCTCGAGAGTGGACACACGGCGTTGCTCCGACCACCGAGGGCACTTGGCTCAGTCAACAGAGAAAACCCGCATTAACAAACGTTTCCTGTAGCCTAAATTTCATCCGATTACTTCAAGTCGTTATTACTCACCCAGTAACGTCGTTGCTGAGAGGAGAAAACGACTCCGAGCAATCGGATGAAATTCAGACTACGTTTGTTGTTGTTGTAGTTTGGATAACAATAACAGGTTTTGTCGAAAGCTGCGCCTAAAATTCCTTACCACTGGTCCCAGGGGTAACATCATAGCCAATCGGATATGGAGCGTGTCGATGGTGGTTCGCTATTAGCATACTCATTTTAAGAATTTCCGTTTACATACTGTCTTGAGTTATTCAAAAGGCTGTTGGATTTTCAAGAAGAAAATGTCAGGAAAGAAACCTACTGAGTAAGTAGTCATTTTGGTTTTAGTTGTCAATCCATTTTCATCATACAGTAGAACCCTGGTAACTCGGACTCGTACTCCCAATTCCCTTCATCCCACGTACTTTACAGTCATTTTGACTCGGTTAGCGTGAACTCGGGTAACTCTAGATGTAATTCCTCGCTAATACGAACGAAATGTCGTTTCCCTTGATCCGCACAATTTACCCCGATAGCTTAATTCTGGTTCTTCAACGCACCATCTATGCCATTAGGTCTTCTTGTCGTGTAATCGGCACTAACACACGAAACCAACACTACAGCAATTTGACTTTGCGACGAACAGATCAGGTACAGTGTATTTAATATTACGGGTATTAATTGCCGGATCATGTGTTACAACTTCTGATGAGACAAGTATAATTTGCACTCTGTTGTTGCTGAAAAATCAATAAACCATCTGACAGTCAACCCCAAAGACATAATTGAACCCTGGCTAACTCGTATTGTTTTTCGTTTCAATTGTTTCTTCTGTATATGAAAACTTCCGACTTGTCGAGTGCGAATGGTTAAGACAGAATCAGTTACATATAGTTCAGTCGAGTTTGCGAATTCTAAGAGAAATGCTGAGATGAGATGTACATAAAATGAATGGAAATATTATGGAAACAATAAAAGGCATACTACATTTCTAAAACTGCTGAGGTCTTTGCGATTTGCAGCCCATTAACCTAAACTGAATTATTAATAAGTCTCCGTGAACCGTAATTATAGTGAATGAATGTAAATAGGAGTCATTTATGATTTATACAGCTGTTTATTCCCCGGAATATAATAATAACTAAAAAATGACAACGCTAGCGAAGACCGGGGTGGGGGAACTTGAGGGCAGTTTTTGCGTAGGTGAGTCGCCAAGGCCTTCAAACCCTGACCCTGTTAAAGACAAGAGACTCTTTGTCATTAAGGAGATATGGGAGTGCCCTCCCCCATCCCCCGGGACGAAGACAAGGTCAAATGAAACTCTGAAGCGCTTAAAGTTGCAATGAAAAACCAGCGGAAAACGTTGAGGTAAAGCGTGACATATCAGTAAACTGTGGAGCAGAAAAATCGCCTAGCACGAGGCCATTATTTCTCAGATCAGAGAATAATCAGGAAAAAAGAAAAGAAAAAAGGTTGCTATAACGGATTAACGAAGTATTTGTCAGGCACAAATGTGTTTTGTGTAGTTAATAACATATTAAGCGTATGATTCACCCAATTACAGGGAGGGAAACAATCAAAGGACGCGATCTGATCCAGTCAATAAGAATTTCTTGGACATAATGTCGAATGTTTTCACGTAAAATGAAACTAGAACATGACTGGAATGCTCAAATCTAACTGGTCCTAACTAACTCGCGGACTGAACTAAGGTTACCGCAGAAGTTCAATAGAATGTGTCGGTTATGCATCAGTCAATTCCACCTGCGCCCAGCCCCCGGGCTACTGCGGGGCATTTACCCGCCTTGTCAGTCCCGGGGGTGGGGCATTTGCAAATTTTGCACTGCCCGGGGGCCGGGCATTTGCCAACCCCCGGGCCATTCCCGAGCTTTTGACACGCACGCGGTTTCCTATCAGAATATAACTACACAGAAGGTTTTACTGAAAAAATAAGCAGATTGGCTCTTCTGTCAAGGACAGGAATAAATTGTAGAGGGTTGTAAAGGCATGTTCACGATTTTACATGTATGTATGCATTTCGTCATTGCTTATCAAGCCAGAATTGCATAGCGAAATTGGACCTATCGATGTGAATCAACGTTTTTTGGTTATTGAATCAACTTTCTGTTGATATTATTTGAAGAACACCCTTTCATATTTATAAAACTATTCATAACATATAACTTTACAGCACTCTGTTAATTTTAATGTCAATACTTTTATATCGATACTAAAACCATAAACTGGTGCATGTCGTCGCGGCGTGAAGTCTTAATTAGAATCCTAGCGCTATTACAAAGGAATTAAGACGTTAATTGAAACAAAAAATCGCACATTAAAATGGCACTATTGGACTGTGCGATCAATAAAAAATGTTGCACTGTTGACGGAGGACGGGGCATTTGCCCTCTTTTTTCGTCCCCACCCCGGGGGATTTGCCAGCTCAAGAGTCCCCACCCCCGGGAATTTGCCATCCAAGGCAAAAAAAATGCTAATTCCCGGGCGTCAGCCCGGGGGGGGGCCTGGGCGCAGGTGGAATTGACTGATGCATTATTCAAACTGGGTTTTTGGACGGAGTTTTAAGGCCCTGTTTACAAGGAGGGTTACCCCAACAAGAGGGTGACCCTAGCACTCGTGTATTTCTTCTTTTTTTACACGACGTGTTCACAAGAAAGGTAAGGTTACCCTAGCGTAGGGTAACCCTACTTGAGTGCTCGGGTTACCCTAATAAGAGTGTTACCCAATCTGCCTTGTAAATGCTCTGCTAGGGATAACTGGCCTACTCGTGACAACTTTCCTCCGTCATGCGTGACCAGTAATCTTGACAATTTGAACGAAATTATCCAATTTCTGAGCTAAATTATAAACATCTGAACAATATAAGGTATTTTCTGTACACGATGACAATATTTTTCCGTTTATTCGTGAATTTAACGTGTTTTACGTAGAGAACATGTATTTCAAATCTTGGACGTTACAAAGAACGTCACGCATGACAAAACGCATCAGTAAAGATGGTAAAGTTGACCTGGGTGATAGGGTAACCCTACCTCTGAAATTTGCTTGTAAACAAGAGCTAACTTCAACCCGCTTGCCAGGGTAACCCTAGCAAAAGGGTAAACCCTCTCTCCTTGTAAAAAGGCCCTAAAAATACTGCTTTCTATTAACCCTGGCATAGATCTACACGATGTTTGCTGTGGACAATATCAAGAAGACTTCGAGAAGAAGCTTGAACCACTTACTCTCGTGAAGGAATCCACTTTCAAGAAAATTTCTCTAAGATAGACTTTGTTAAAACCCTATTCAGACGGAGATTTAAATATGGAACCCAACATCTGCCATTTGGTTATTTCCGATTTATGTTTTGTCTCAAAGTAGTCACCAAAAAGCCTGGATTACACCAACACTTATAATAAATGTGATAAAAATTGCTAAATTAAGTGTAACGCTATAATTTAATGTAGAGTAAAAATATAAATATAACTTTTTTATAGGAAAAAAAAAGCAAAGCAGGACTGTCAATACTCGGTTGCCATGGCAACGTCGATGTTGATGTACACGTCACGATGATTTAAAGTGTTCCCAGATAATTTTTGGGAAAAGTCGGCAATGTTTATAAAGAGACGCGCGTGGTCATTTGCGTGTTTCGCACGTTTTGCTCGACGGACCAAGAAAAAAGGGAGACTGCTCGTAGTCTAAAAAAAGATAGACCCCGACCCCGCGTTTTACTGACACCTCATTTTGGGCGCCATTTTTGTGAGTTTTGTGTTCATTTATTCTCTTTTATGTACCTTTTAGTTTTGTTTCATTTGTTTATATATTTACTCTACATTTTTTAGAAAACATTTTTTTTTTCGACTTTGGCTTGACAGATTTTAACCAACTCTTCGTACTTGTTGTACGGATCCGACTAATGCGCCCATGCTTGAAATCGTCATTTGAAAATTGTGCTTAAGTTGTGCATATTTTTTTTCTTGCTTTTGTTACCGGTTTTAGTGATAATTCACGGGAAGAAATGGAGCTTACAGACTTAACTTCTGTATCATGTAAGTTGACAGATGAGAACAAGGAGCGACTAGCCAAAGAGAAGAACAAAGACATTCAACTCGGTGGTAAGTCTCTGCAGGAAAATTGTGGCTCATAGAGCACATGAATAGCCACGCTAGACTGATCACAGTCCCCTGTTTTTCCGCATGATAGTCGAGATCGAGTGCTTATACTGTTACGGTAGCAGTCTTGGTTTCAATGTACCGAGTCCAGCCTAGCGTTGAGTGTCAAATCTACTTAGGAGCCGAGGGATGGTCCGCGAGGAAGGGAGAATCTCTGTGTCCCCATCCCTATGGATCCCGACGCCTGACCCCTCGGTACATTTAAGACCAAGATGGCCGCCAGTAACACAAAGTGTTCGACAGACGACCTCGACGAACTTAACGGAAAAATAGGGGACTACGAACAGTCTACAGCCTTGCTGTCTATCAGGAAGTATAATGGGCTCTTTGTCTGACTAGTTCTTGATAATTTCACTAGGAGTCGTTGAGGAACCTTGCACCTTCAGTGAAGAGAGATCTCTGGAGGATGGAAGTCACATTACACCAGTCGGTAAGAATAGTTAAGAAAAGAAGATAGCGTTTTAAATGAATCCAAGTAAAATGTTGCTGTTGATACTGCAGCGGGAGCGTGGCTAGAAATTTTCAAGAGGTACACCAGTTTTCCAAATCAATCTTACCCAAAATCGATTTCGCGCGGAGACTTTATTAAATTCTGGTCTTTTTATCAATTATATAGCGAAGTAATCGTCTCTGTTCGTCTTAGGACTCTGTTCTTCAACCTATTAGCAGTTATACCTTTCGCGTGAGGCGAAGTCATGGAAAACAGCATTTTGATTAAAACATCCCTTTAACTTACCTTAGGCTCCTTTGCTTAGATTTTTTTCTTTTGTTTGTTTTTGCGTTTATTTTTCTTCAACATGTCTTTTAGGTACGCATCTGCGTATTGGCGTAGAGGTAACTTGTCCCCTGTACTGTAACGTCAGCGTTTTTAAAGAGCGTTGGTTACGGTAACCTATTTCAGTAAGAGTCAGCAAAATCGCATGCAAAAGTCTTTTTCTAGAAGAAAAACCTCTCTGGGTTCCAGCCTTTTCTTTTGGTAGGATGGTTAAAGCATTCTCCAGTCTGTAGGGCACAGATGTACAAAATCTCTTGGAGGCGGACACATTTCATTTGTTCTTTCCTCCATGGTTTCTCTCGCCCCCATGTAATGGAATCCAAGGCAGTCTTGGATTCTGGATTCCACGCAGTGGATTCCGGATTCTAGTCGTGAGAGGGATTTCGGATTCTTTGAGCTGTTTTCCGGATCCCAAAGCCCAGGATTCCTGATTCCACAAGAAAAAAATCCCCGATTTCGAAATCCGGATTCCCTTATATAGTGTGTTTTCACTCACGTGGTCAGCATCTATGCAAATTTATTGGAACAAAAAGAGGCATTGCATCCACAGGATTTGTTTGGGGCACCAACATGGCCGCCGTTTCATTGTCTTGGGACTCCAATATGGCCGACGTGACGTCATGTGGAAAAACTGTATACGGGGCGATTTCTCTTATAAGTTACCTTGCCTTTCCAAACAGATATTACACAGGAGCATCCAGTCATTAACACCGCAAATGAAGAAGCTCATGCCTTAGGTAAGATGAGGAAATCAGGCTGAGTCTAAAAAGTTTTAGTCAGTAGGGTATGCTCATTACTTAGAATGCCTTCACATATCCGGGCTACCAGTGCTAAATTTGAAAGGTAATTAATGAAGAGCGCGCTAGACAATAGAGAAAATGGCCTGAAAATATCCAGGAGAGTGTACCACTTTTGATAAACGACTTTTTGTAGAAGAGAGATTATTTACTGTAAATCGTCTTTACCTTTGTTTTTGCTTTCCCTCCATTTGCAGACATCAAATCGAACATAAAAATCCACTATCTCTGTATTTTTGCTTGTGTGAGAGACAGCCCATAGCATATTTTGAGACGTAATTTCTTAAATAATCTTTTCGTCCCACTGCTCTCGTTCTCCCCGACCTTCAGAGACAAATAATGATTTGACTAAAAATTGTTGATTGCTATCTTTACGATGTAGAAGTTGAAAGAAAACTCGACGAAGCCCTTAGAGAAGGTGATTTTGATTTGCTTCAAGAAAGAATAACTCCCAAGACTCTTACTAGCTGTAAGACAAACGCTTTATTCAAAACGTTTGAGGTAAGCTGGGCATTTTTACAAACGTACACAATAAACTGCTGCCCACTTTCCTCTCCAGTAAATCTAAATTTTAAAATAATTCCAGAATGGCGGTCATGTTAGCCACCAGTTTGGGTGACGTCATAGGTTTGCTGTAGTGCCCTTTGCCCAATATGCCGCAGCACATTCGAGATGTTTCTTAAGCTTGCGGCCTTCTCAAATTGAAATACAGTCGGTGAGTCTTGCGCCTCTAAATAGAGAAAATAGCCATAAGAGTGTTGAAGAATTCGGTTAGCTTAATTAAAGGTTGAATTATTACATTTTTCTCAAAATGAACATCAAAGCAACAATGATAATGACGTCGATAGTGATAATAGTAATAGAGAGATTAAGCATCGCGTTAACTGCAAACCACGTGACCAAGTTTTCCATTGACTTGTCTTTTAGTGTTCATTATGACTACACGAAAATCGGTAGATTTACGCCAATTCTATCCATGAGAATTATGTTTTAAAAGCTGTTTATCTGCTCATTTCTCATTATGAATATTTCTCAACTTGAACCTCACGTTTTCTGTAAACGCGATGCTTAATAATCTCTCTAATAGCATAAATGAGTGTACAGACTACGAGTAGTCGCTTATATTTCCCAGTGAGGGAAACCTAAGAAATGTTAAACCGTTGAGTTATGGATTCACACGAGAGCTTGCTAATTCGGTACGAAAGAAGCGTAAGAGTTAACTCTAGCTTCTTCAGTGCTTATAGCAAACCTCCCAAGTGCATCCTTAACGAGATGGTTGCACAGCTGCAACGTTTACCATTTCTTTTATAACATAATAAAAAGAGAACAACTTTTAATTTTCTTACAGATAGCAGCGTGAGTGTTGTCATCTGCGTACCCTATGACGTGTGTAAAACATTCTCTGCAAAGTCTTTTCTTACAAAAGAATATTTTCGCTGAATAAGTAGTTTTTCGCCTCAGTGTGGATTGTAAAACCGTTTTACGTCATCTTTAACGGTTTTTGTTAACTTTCCCTCAGTATTAAAGTCGCGTAGTTAGTGACCTGTACGGCTTTGAGCGCCCGCTCGCTTTCGTCAGCATTCACCTATCGACGAATGGTAAATGGGCCATTGACCAATCAAAGCGCGCGCTTTACTCTTGTTATGTTATAATTTAATTGCCATCCGCGAGGAAGGAGACAGGAGAAAGTTTTCACTTGCGTTTGTTTATTTCGCTCAATTTTATATCCCTGAGGAAAATGAGGAATTACAATGTACTCTTGGTCTAAATCAGGTGTTCTGATTGAGATTTCCCCTCTCCGATGTCTCTTAGATTAGCGGCAGGTAACACTATCAGTTGTATCTTTTCTATTCCTGAGTTTTGATTTTTTGAAAAAGATTTTGTTATTTGTTTTTTAACAGGTGAACAAAACCCTTAAAGGTCTAGTGGAAAAGGCAGTAAATCCCGAGACAGACGAAATTCAAACGCTGTCAAACTCACTTAACGAATTCACTTACGCTTTCGTAGACCCGCTGAGATCGGACAGTGATACCAGGCACACGTTTAAAAGTTGCTTGGATTTTATGATAGATAAAGCCATTGATGAAGGACAAAAGAAGGTAATGTATACGTCCACCTGACCGGCACGTATCTTAAAACTCCTTTCTTGGTTATTTTGCTTTCGATTTAGTACAAACCGCCAAGCAACCAGACTTTGCAAAAAAGCATGTTTTATTTTTAAAGTGGAAAGCCACTAGCTAGGCGTCTCTGCTCCCTTAGTGCCCAACTCTTTAAAACCCACGCTACTTATTGATAATGCAAGAAAACACGTTTGTAAGAGAGCAATAGAGAGGAGAAATGTGACGTCACATTACCATGGTAGCAAAATTTTATGGCGGCGACAACGAGAATGGCAAAATATATAGCATTTGACCACTCCAGAAAATACCATAACATACCATAATGCTCCTTTTTTGTCACCCCGAAAATTTGAATAAGCATTGTTTTCAGTTTCTCTTGGGGCCATTGTAACTCCCAAGAGAAACTGAAGACACTGCTTATGCAAACTTTGGGGTGACAAACAAAGAGCATTATGGAATGCTGTGATGTTTTCTGGAGTGGTCAATAGGTTAAGATTAGCAAAAAAACAACTTTGCACGTCCATCAAGCCTATTTGTACATTTCTTAACCGACGTAAAACTTCCTAATTTCACGTGCTCGCTTCATGCAGCAGGTGAACACAACACAAAAATTTTCTCTTCCTTTTTGTAAACTTAGATACCGTCCTTTCAGATTCAAACCCAGACATTTCGCCAACATCTAACAGACTTAATGAAACTGAATAAAATCGATGAAGTTTTAAACAGTGTGAATTCACTTTTTAAGTGACGTTTTCGGTTTGTTCTCATCCAGAAATTTTGCTACCATGGCAACGTGACGTAACGACTTCTCTTTTCTGTTGCGAGATTCACACTCGTTGCCTGGTTTCTAACAGAGAAGGACTTTTTCTTTTTTCTAGCTAGGTTTCCTTTTTTTACTTTTTTTCAGTTTGTATCCCACCCAGTTGTTTATAACCTGCTAAATTCAAGGTGGTACCGTTCGTTTAACGCCGTGCGAAAGCAGCCGTGGACGTCTCTCAGACGCTGGGGATATATGCTACTTAGCTTCTGGACTGTTATTGATATTGTCGTATTTCCATTTCTCTTCGCCTTTTTCTACATTCTTCACTTCATATACTTGTGGTTAAGGAAGTTGAGAGGTTTGTAAGGGTTGACGGTTTTTTCATTTATTGAAATCACGAGATCAGATTACAAAAAATCTCTTACCTAGAAGGTTTATAATGATTTAATTTAACTTTCCACTTAGTACATTACTATGAGTTACATGCACTAGTGTTTGTAACCAGTCACTGATGGTGTAATTTCTTTGCAGATACAGATATATGTTTTGTCGTGACGCTGACCAGCGATGCTTCAGACGAAGCGTTCGGTCTTATCAAGAGGACGATCGGTTTTCTTATCCAAAAATACGGCCTCTATTCTGCAAAGTACTGTGTGATTTTACGTGACTTTAACAATGTATCTACCAGCAAAATTAGCTTCGAAGAGGATTACTCGAGTGAAACTGAACTGCTTAATAGGGTCGAGGCAATGCAGAAATTGATTTCTCCTTCCTGGTTGTACAAGGATTTAAGTGCTGCTCTAGCTGCTTTTAAGAGTTCCAGCGTTCGTAAAGACTCAAAGAAGGTAGGATTCTAAACTTTATTTCTAAGCCACGTCACAACACCTGATATAGATGGTGGATTCCTGATCGCGCGAATTTAATTTCCATAGGTTCCGAGCCCTAACTAGCCTGCGTAGCAGGCGCTGTTATTTTCTTTCGTACGAAGCAGGTGCCCTTTTTTTTAGGACGACGAAGGGAGAAATTTCCAGGACGAGCACACGCGAGGGGAGGAAAGGAGAGGCGGCCTTCTTTCCTCTTTGCGTGTTCCCCTCGCGCGCCTCATAAAAAATAACAGAACAAATAACCGGTGCCCGCTACGCAGGCTAAGCAGTAACAGACAAGAATATGAGATTCAGAATGGGAAGTCAACTTTTTTTCTCAAAAGCCGAGGTAATACTGACACCCTCAAAAATTATTATTTACCTTTAAAATGAAAGCTTTCAGACGCCGGGGGTACTTATCAAAGCCTTAAGGGGGTGGTTTCCTCCACAAGGGCTAGCCCCTTTCCCTTACGGACACTAACGGTAACTTTATCGAACACTTCCATCGACAAATGGAACCCCTTTTAGGTAGCGACAAAACTGAACACTTCATCCCTTGGTCTGTCTCTAATAAATTACTAATTATAACGTTTTCCAAGGGATCATAATAGGATCTGTCCTATTATGGCTCTTGCGTTTTCTTGTTATTTTCAATGCCCTAAAATGTGTACATATATGTTCGAAAGACTACCAATAGCCATTCAGTTAATAACGACATGATAGATTTCTCCACGCCTTCCTATACATAACATTCAGCCCATGAAATCCCTCTCCTATCATACACTTGAAGCCTCAATTTCCCTGGCTTTCGGGCGTAGCCACCCTGTGTTGGAGTATCTTTCCCGGGCTTCAGATACGGGAGATGTTTCAGATTAAGACTTAACTCACAGAAGATCTCTTTTGCTTTTTTATTAGCTCCTTATCGTATTTACAAATGGCAAGATAAGAATGTCTCGAGATGATGGAACCGAGGATCTACATCCAATAGTTGACGAACTTAAGGAAATTGGAGCACGGATTATTTCCGTGGGTATTGGAGCGGACACCACACTTTCAGAAATGAAAAAAATTGCAAGCAAGAACAAGACTGCCCTTCACTTTGGGGAATACGAAGCACCAAAGACATTAGGAAAAGCTATCATACATGGTAACGGAAATCGTTTTTCTTGCTAAATGCTTGAAAATGTTGCTTTAAGATGTTGTAGTTTGACACTCTTAACTTTCTCCTTCTGCGCGATGTTTCTGCTTCTCTTCAAATATTTCCTAATTTTCTAATCTGTTTTACAGGTGAAGAGGGAAAAGACATATTTGGTGAGTACTTCAGTAATCTGGGTAGCAGTCGTGTTTAAATAGTTGTTTTAAAGTTTACCGAATCATTGAAATCATTTCGAAAAAAAGGAAAAAGTTATATTTTAATTTGTAAATAAAAGAAAAATGGAAAAGCAGTTTTTTTTGGAAATAAAGAGTGCGCTTAGAAAGAGCTTGGAAAGGTATTTTCGCGGATTTTTTTGGGTGCACCTTTATGATGATTTTGTTGCAAATCCAGTGAGAAAATAGTTTTCTTTCTACCAGTAAAACATATTAGTTCTTTTCTTGGCATGCGTAGCTGCTTCATTTATCTCTAAAAGTTATGTTTACTACCGTTCCAAAAAACAGTAAATCTGAATTTGTCGCAAATCCAGTAAGAAAATAGTTTTCTTTCAACGAGTAAGCATATTTAGTTCTTTTCTTGGCATTTGCAGGTATGGCATTTGCAGATATAGCTGCTTCATTTAACTTTAAAATTTATATTTACTCCCGTTCCAAAAAACAGTAAATAGCCTGGAATATTCCGAGTTAAAGGAACCAATCAAAACGCGCAACACATGGCTATCCACTTATTTGGTAAATACCAATACGTCTTGAATATACTGATTCATGCGTCATTCAGTCTTACTCTACTTATATTTCTTTATATTGCTTTTTTGCGTATTTTTTTTAATATTCTTCAACAGATCGTTACCTTTACTACTTCACAACTCCATACTTCGTCTTCCTTCGTGATTCGCTGAGTTACTTAGCTCTGCTTGGCCTGCACTTTGACATCTGTCTGTCACCTTCAACCCTGGCCTTCACAAAGCTTGAATGGGTCATTTTTCTTTTTTTCATCGGGCGTATCGTGATAGAAATTGACCAATTTATGAGCGTCAAGAAGTCTCGAAGGAAAGAACCCCTGGAAGGACATTGGACTCCAGGAAAGGAATCTAGGCAAAGGTTATATCGAGGCTCAAGCTACGAAGTATGTGCGTCTCCTGATGATGTACAAGTTGTAATGACAGCGGAGGAAAATGTAACTCGCAAGAGGCTTATTAATTATTTCAGGTACATGATTAAGGGCCTCTCATACATAAGCCCGGTTTCGAGATCTCGCCTTACCTCTTAATCCTTTGTAAAATTTTCGATGTGTTCATATGAGAGAGCGGGCTGGCTTGGCTCCCGAGATCTAGGTTTTTCCAACTGGGATCTTGGTTAGCGTGCTAAAAATTTTGCCATATGAACACTTCAGCCCGGTTACCGGGATGAAAGCGGGATGAATTCTGGCGGTCCGGATGGCATCATCTTGCATTGCCTGCTGTCCACATCAGAAGCATCCCATTCAACTGCAGTGATACAGCTTTAAGAGTTGCAGAAGCTATGATAGGCGCAAGAGTTATAATTGTTGTGTTTCGCCATGTTTGGTTTGTTTCTCGAATTTCGCGCCAGAACTTGTCCCCAGGATCTTTGGCCGTTTCTCAACTCGGAAACCGGGCTGAAATTCCTCATATGAACCCAAGGCGAAATTCGTCGCGGTAACCGGGTTAGTCCGGTCAACCGGGCTCATGTGAAGAAGTCCCAAGCCAGAGTAAACAGCCGAAATTTCGCGACGCCAGTACTGGTTTCCCAACAAAAATGAAGTCTGAGTAATGAGCGCAGAAATTCTATACTGATGACGTCTCACTACCAAGATCTGGGTAGTGCTTCTGCTTGGTCATGCCGCGTGGGAAATTTGTTTTTAGCCAATCAGAGGCTGAGACGTCATAAGTATGGACTTTCTGCTTGGACGCGGTCACCAAGATTGAAATTAGGGAGCTTTAGCATCGACGACGGCAACGGCAGAACGTCAGTTTTGAAATGAATTCCCATTTTTTCAATCTTTGTCGCGTTTATTCCAATTTGCTGAAAATGGCAAGTGTAGGCGAATTTCCCTAGAGTTGATTTCTTCAGGACCGCACTCAAGTTTAGAGAGGGAAAAAGAGATTCGTCGTCGCCTGTTTACGTCCCCCTTAAAACTTGCAATTAGGCATTTTCACGTCGTAGTCATGCAGGGATGGTAAAGAAATGTACAAAAAAGCGTGATGTACGTGCAAAGTTGTTGTTTTGCGCAATAAACCTATTGCTTTTTTGACGTCCTCGTTGCCGTCGCCGTCGTCGTTGCTAAAGCTCCCTATGCAAATCTCGAAGGTAGCCTTTCCGCCATGCGGCAAATGGCGAGGCGAAATGGTCAAGTACTGCTGTCTATGAACGAGTAATTATCGTGCAGTTGCGATGGTTTGGGGCAGGGAGCAAGATACAGAGGAGCACAGGTGATCTACGGTTTAGCTGATCGCAATTTGCAGCAGTTCGGTCGATTATTCGTGAATTTATAGCGCTTCGCGTGAAGATGGACCGCTTTTTCTCTAGCCAGCCTTTCGGCTTCTTATTTAGTGAATGTGACCTCCGATTGCAAAACTCGACAAAACTCCTTTTAATGCAAGGTGATTTTCAGCTAAAACTATGAGAGCTTTCTTTTGAACAATTTCAGTTCGATCCTTTCATACAAGCTTTGGCTGAAAAGATGGGAGCATCGAATTCGAGAAACATAACAGTGGAAATTTCAGTTGAAAAATAACCAGGACAAATAAATAGACAATGATATAGTGAATATATATCACCTATTTTTTTGGTGACTCCTCTTTAGTCGAACATGGTCGACTCTCCAGCTCCGATCCTCCTTAGTCGATCTATATAAATCCTATGCACTATTACCAGTGTTAGTCGACACAGAGCACGTCTGGGCTGCCTGTGATATGCCTTTCCCTCCGATATACGAACCTGTTATTAGTCAAGCTTGCTTTAGCAGCGAGACTCTAAAAAGAGAGCGTTCCTTTTCCTTTTTTGTGTGTGCACGCCAAAAAGGGATCATAGTCCCTGGTGTTCCTAGCGGAGACCGTGGAAACTGAGGATAAATATCGCGTGTCCTACAACACATCCAGAGCGCCATGCATGTTTTTTGAAGAAAGTTTAGGAAAGATTAATGCCGAAGATGTCGAGCTTTTCTGGAACGAGTCGGTCTACGAATCTTATCGCTTGAAAGCGTTGATTACTTTGGAACAAATGAATAATGGTTAAAAAAAGAGGAATCTTTATGAGTAAAACTTCAATGGTGAGGCTAACTGGTCGGCTGTTGTAAACTTTCATTGTATGCAAATGAGTCTTGTGATGAGCAGGCCTTTTTTTTCGGCGATGAACGAAATAACGCGCCATGTTCATCACGTTTTTGCTCTTCAGCAATGAAGTAAAACTTCCTCCCCAATCGAGGCCCTTGATTTTCGTGTATTTATACACACGTACTCATTACAAACCAATTCAAAAACAAATCGTCGAATACGATATAAAAAGTGAATATCTTGAAGAATACTCAGCCGTCGATAGAGTAAGACGTGAAAAATTGTTAGCGAGGAAATCCTGTTTCGTATAGAATAAATCGCCTTCTAATTTCTTATCTCATCTTCGAGCAACAAGTTCGTTGTTTTCGGCAGAAAAAATAGTTAAAACAAAGTGACGAGTAAGTAAAGAATAATTTGTAAAAGTAATGTTATTCGGTACTTCATATTTAGGCAGATCACAGTTGTAGTGCACGTTTTTGTGCATATTAAAATTTGTGTTTCATGATTCTTTGGATGAATGTCCATAAGACTGAAACTTGTCTTGTTTTTAGTGATCGCTGGAACATGCTAGACTTCATCATTCTTATCATCTACCTCGCAATCTTCTTTTTGCGTATGATAAGTTGGGCTACATCCTCTACGGTTTATGACAACAGGGCTTTAGCTGTTGCTGGCTACCTCTATGGTTTTGTCGCCATGTTCCTTACCTTGCGAGTGTTTGGTCACGTGATGGAGTCTATCAGGGGAATGGGCGCCAAGTTAATTGCCTTTTTTTCCATTATGTGGGACGTGTTTGCGATATTTTGGCAGTTCGCAGCAATGATTCTGGCTTTTTCACTGGCAATGACAAAGATATATGTAGTAGAGACATCGTATACTTCAAACGGGACATCAGTCGAAGATCTGTAAGTACATACAACTAGCATCTACTAATATTTGTAAAGATCTCACTTGTATAAACATTTTATGGGACCATGCGATTCTCGCATCTAAAACTGCTTCTTAAAGCTGGACTTTACCCACTTGTCTATTTCAAGTATTCATCTTTCTCTTAGTTATTGATCAATCACTCAAAAATAGCAATGGTCATGAAGTTACCGTGAGAGGGCATTAAGCGTCACAGCTCCACACTGAATTCTGCCATTCATAAATCAACCGTATGTGATATACTTTTCATTGCACGAATAAATTTTTCTCTTTTAGAGCCTGCAGCGAAGGAGGTTTGACGTGGTGAGTAAGTGAAAATTAACATGCCATTGACGAAAATTCAACAGGTGTCTAATTTTCTTGCCTTATGTACAAGCTACCCACGTTATGTACTCATTAAGAAGCAATATTAAGGGAAGCGAAAGGTTATCGCCAATGAGATGTAACTTGTGCGAGTCCGCAAATATAATTATCATAGCCCTGTAATTCGTTAAATTTGACGCATTTATGCCAATAAGTAGTTAAGAGATTAAGCCGTGAGAAACTGGGGAGTGAGGAGTTAAAAGTCTCTGGCTAAGTTTGCTTCCTCGTCTTTTCCTCTTCCAAATCACATCTTCAAGACCCTCTTGGAAAAAGCATTCACCTGCGATACCTCATCTTTTGCATTGTTTTTATCATGGTTAACACTTGCTAAATAAAATAAATACGCTTTCAGGTAGATTTACTTAAAACAACATAAGTTGTTGCCAAACGTATGGAAAAGCAGAAACAACAACAACAACAAAAACAAACGGACAAAACCCTGCGAATCCGTGAAGCGCTCTTAGTAACCAACTGAGCTATCAATGATCCGACTAAAAGGAAGCCATCATGTTATTCGTACAATAATCGTGAAATTATCTATTTGATTGTATTTTCAGCTGGTGGACGATGGCGCAACATCTTTCTTGGTCTTGCTTAGGAATCTCGGGCCTGGAACAACTGGATTCCGTTGACAGGCCATCTGTGTCCCTGTCTTATCTGCTGTATGGCTTGTTCCTTGTTATGGTTGTTGTTCTACTCGTCAATATGATGATTGCCCTGCTCTCCAACACATATAACCGTGTAGAGGTACATTGTAAGAGTAAAACATCGCTACTTTTGATGTCATGTATCGTCTCGGGAGATTTTCTGAGATACAACCTTTAGGTACAAAGCGATACCTCGAAGGTGTGCAGTTTACTAATTTTATAGCCGCCCCTAATACCCCAGTATCCATTTTGTAAATACCACTACCTTGAACTTGCTTCTTTTTTTAGAGGTTTGCTCGGCTCTCCAATACCTATGAACGTATAGAGGTACACTGTAAACGTAAAACATCGCTACTTTAGATGGCATGTTTTGTTTTAGGAGATTATCTGAGATGAAAACTTCAGGTGCTGAACGGTACCTCGAAGGTGTACGGTTTACTGAATTTATGACCGCGCCTGCTATGACTAACATGCCAGTATCCGTTTTGTATGTCGACTACCTAGAAACTGTTTCTTGTTCTAGCGGTTTTGCGCTGCTCTGCAATACCTACGAACGTGTGAAGGTAATTTGCATGACCAAAACGTTGCTACTTTAAGTTTTGAATACACTTAATGCTTCGCCTAGGCTGCAAAGCAGAACCCCGATGAAATGTTAAATTCCGTGCACAACCCACATTCACTTAAATTTTAGTTTAAAGCCGAAAGCTTTTGTAAAATTGATGTCACCACAAAACAAGTACAGTAATACAGAATGTATTATATGAATCAATTTCGTCAATCATTTTCCTTCAGAAAAAAAGTAAAAAGCGACCAGACTGAATACCAATTTATATCCTAACACAAAACAGGGCGACAACATGTCTCAGAGAACGCAAGGAGAAATTCACCTTTATCTTTGCACACGTTAAGCAAAACTTTATACCTCACAACCTTTGCTTTACTGGATATTTTGACTTGTGTTTCAGGAAAACTCTCTCAGAGAGTGGTCTTTCAAGAAAGCTACGACCATTAGAAGTTACAGTTCATACCACCCAGTTCCAGTTCCTTTCAATATTGTATCACTCGGGGCCATAGGATTGTGGAGGCTGTGTCAGGGTGACAAAGGGAACCGATTTGATAAATCTGGATTTGATGAGAAAGGAAGGGTAAGGGACGCGGACAAATTTTTCCTGCGACAGTATATAGCACTCGACCATAATATATCAAACACGACTGGCCGTGTTTCATCCCACATCAAGACACTGAAAAGTGGGCTGAAAAATAAGACGTAGCCGAATGTTTTAAGCCGACTTCGAGGTGTCTTTACCTGATTGAGAAAACGTAGTCGCTTTAAAAATATCAACTATGAACGATGAGGCTTCAACAGAAGGTTGTATGGGTATACGTTTATTAGCAAAGCAAATTCAAAGACGTTAGTTTTTTTCTGAAACAGCTCACATTATCCTGATTACAAATAGCTTCTGGTGCAAATCCCAGGAGTACTCATTGTTTTGGGTCATGCCATTTCTTCTTTTTTCTCTCTTTTCGGAAACCTTTAAGGTGTCATCTTATGCCGGATTTCAAGTGTACGAGGGCGATCTCTGAAGCCGGAAATGTGTGCCCAAGGGTAAAGTTGTCGGCTGATCACCAGGAAAAAATTGATTCCTTTTGAGCTTTGTTGGAATGCATCGGCGCGAGAAGCTCGTGATGATGAAAGTTTTTCTAGAAAGAATTTTGAATTCGCAATGCTATTAACTTCTAACCATAAATCCACTAGAACTCATCGTTAATGGTTTGTACTTCTCAAGCGACAACGTTTTGTCAATCAGGTGGATACATCGGATGAAGCACTGAGTAGGTCGTTTGATATAGGTTCTAAAATTAAGGATTCCGGAAAAATTTCCACGCCATAGCGTTCATGATAGTCTACTAGGCTAATTAAGATCCGATATCCAAACCACTGTTAAGGAAGTCAGATTTCCTTGGTTTTCTCTTTGTGAATTATTGATGAGTTTGAGAAGTAATACGGCATTCGTCATTTTTACATCTGCCATTATACATCTTGTTTGCCCCCCCCCCCCCCCCGAAAAAAAGGCATAGCCTTTGTTTTTTATGTCTCCTGGGTATTACAGTACTCTCAAGAGTAATTGAAAACAATGCTTATGCAAAATTTTTGGGGAGTAAAAATGATGCATTATGGGAGATGTTCAAGTGGCGAATCGGAATTCACGCTTTTTGTCGTTTTTGATGTCTCCCTCCTTAGTATTCAAGTTTGATCTTGCGGAAAACAGTGTCTTTAGAGTAAGAAATTGTTGCTAAAACTAACTGAAAAGGTAAAGAAAAAAGAAAGAACAAGGCGATCAATGCAGGAAGAAGTTGGTTTGAAAGCCTTGGAGCTATAAGTGGTTCATTGGTCAAAGAACTTTCACAAGAGTTGTTCATTGGTTCAGCAGCTCAATAGCTGTTGGTATATAAATCAGCGGAACTTAGTTGTTTATTGCTTGTTATTATTGTTTACATTTTTGTTTCCTTGTTCCCCAGAAAGCTGCTTTAGACAGGCTGGTCGAAAGGCTAGAGAAGACTTACTTTGCAACATTTGGATATACTTTTCCCCTTACAGGTAAGGTAGTGCAATGATGGCAAGAGATGCCATTCTTGAAGCCAAAGGTCGTGTTGTTTGTGTTCTTAATTATCTGCCTCACGGAGAGTGAGACTCAAAGGAGTGAGCATGCATGCCTCCCCGCTTGAAGTAAAGCCAACATTTAACCTATGAGCCGGATTACATGAGCCCTGCTGGCCCGGTTGTGCCAGGCAAGCTCGCTTTGCCGAGATCTTGGTACCTCATTAAACACAACAAAAATCAATTTCGTGATTACATGACAATCGGGCCAGCCTGGTTAACCGACATTTCTGCGTACCGGACTGGAAGCTTTCCATGTAATCACGCTTGCTGGGCCAGCGAGGCGAACCAAACCAGCAACAGGACAGCGGGTAACACAATGGATATGTGTACTGCTTGAATTCTCTCTTCTATCTCTCTGCAAACATGGTGGCTCCGAAATGGCCCGCTCCATGTAATACCGGAATAAAAGTTTCCTTTGCAAAGCTATTAAGCCTGGCAAACTGGGCCAGCCCGGCTCATGAAATAACTATAATAAGGCCCTATATGTTTTGGTCACTTAACTGAAGATGTTTAAAAAGGTTTGATACGAAAACAGCGTCACGAGATGAATGTTTTGGTACTGAAATATACAGTTATCGGATTGACCTGGGTTTAATAATATTGTCTTTCAGAGGCGAAAAAGGTCGACCACTTGTTGCATGAAATTGATGGAAGTCGCCGCATGGCTAATCAGATTGCTCAACGAGTGTTTGCTCAGCAGGGTTGTAAGCAGGACAGATATATCGCTGGTGCAGAAGTAAGTAAGCTAATTATTAGCCGGATGCTGCCTTATTTCAACTCGGTTTGCGGGATCATAAATCGCAAATCTGGGGTTGTTCTTGGTAGCCCCGAATTTGACCTTTAAGCCCTGATATCAAAATCTAAATTCTCATTTGTTGCCCTAATAACTTCTTCATGGAAGTAGAAGGCTCTGAGAAGTCGTTAAAATTTCACCTTGTGTGATCATGTCCTCAATACTTTTGAACACTTTGATTATACTACATTCAAAAGAAAAAAAATTAATTAACTGCACGCAAAAACAATAGTTGTAGCTTCCTGACGTAAAGTTTAAAAAGAGTCCAAGGTAGGGTCTGCAGCTTGAAATATGCTGATATTTCCACCTTATATTAACGTAAGTTCTTGCTGCAACAATTCTTATTCATCCGTTGAGACTATTTCATAGTCCTCTTTTTGCCTTGTCTTACTTTAGGCGTGGGAATCACTTGGTATAGGAATCAAAGGTTGCCTGCTGACATATGAAGGCCCTGACTCCTGCCATTCATGTAAAGAAAAGGAACCTAAGAGTGTTCATGGCGCGAGGTGCTTGACGCCATTCACGCGAGAAAAACCGCGGATCGAGGTGAGAATTTTTATTGAAAATTTGTTGGAAAGAGGTACCTAAACCTGAATAAGCATCTCTGTCCAGGGTGAAAGGTTGTAGAGGGCCCTTCATAAAGAAAGATGACCAAAGTATCTGGACATTATTGTACCACTTGGTTTGAAATTATTATTAATAGTTATTTTGCTCTATTGGATTTTTTTTCATTGTTTTCATCTTTCTCGGGCAGATTTTGCACTTCTCCACGCCCACTTCGTGCTTGCCTTCGCTCGCCTGAAAAAGTGAAAAGTAGCACCTGTTTTACAGGCTACATCATCAAGAATTACATTGACTTGATTATTTCTTTGCCTACAGGTGCTAATCCAGGAGAGTGGTGAAAGACGTATTCTTGGACTGGGTGTGGTATTTGAAGGGTACGACAGTCACTGGATGCCTGGATGGGAGGCAGGAACAGTAGGCTATCACGTGGACGATGGCAAAATATTCGAAGCTGGTTTCGAGGATTTTGGCAGGGACGTCGAAGGTAATAAGACTACTTTAAGGGAGGCCGTAAAGGCTACAGTAATTTGGTCGATGTTTTAATGAACTCCAAATTATATTAACTTAAAGCTAAGCCTCATATCAAAAACATCATGCTTTTTAACGAATGAGCTAGTCTAAGGCTCGGTTCAAACGACGCATTGACAGGTGCCAAATATAATGCCAATGAGAGAACAATAAATGTTTCTCATTAGCATCAAATTCGGCACGCGTGAAATGGGACGTTTACTGGACCTAATGTTTGTGCAGCGCCCGATCAAAAGTTTGCCGGTAATTGGCGCCGACAAGCCGGCAGTTTCAGTATTATTTTAAAACCTTTGTTTTAGTAAACTTTCAAAGCGTTTAGCCAATTAACAGCGTTTTGCTGTTTTGGTTTAAGTCACAAATTGAAAATGAAAATGGCAGCCTTAGCTATCGAGTACAAATTTCTTCTCGTTTCACTACGGTCAGGCCAAGGAGTGGGAACCATGCAAATCAATTGATCAACCACTCAAATTGGGAGCTGGCACTCTACCGGAGCCATTCAATATTGTCAGGCGTCACATGCTACCTTTGATTCGCAATAAAAGAAATCTTCTTTTTCAGAGGCTATGGCGTACCGTGGTGATCTCATCGCATGCGAAGTTGACTTCAGTGGTGTAAGAAATGGCAAGCTTCCAGTCGTGTTCTTCTTAAATGGCAGAGAGATTGCTCGCGCGTGGACGAAACGCATTTCTGAAGAAATAAAAGTGTTTCCCTTTATTTCAATGGCATATGAAGGAATTCGGGTTCTCGCCAAGGTATGACTAATCATTGGCACATCCTTTCTAAGAAGAATAATTTCGTTTAGCTCCAGCCCCTTTCCCTCCTTTTTAAATATTTCCGAACGAGTGCGAGACAATATTGAGCACGAGGAGGGTGAAATTTCGGCAAGCCACTCCATCAGAAGTGGTGAGTCGGGGTGGAGGAGGGGGCGCTCTCTGGCTGCAAGGGTACTGGTCTTTTTTGGTCCAAAAATAACGAGAGAGAGAGAAGTGATGGGGGGGGGGGAAGTGTACCAGGGCCTTTTCCCAAGATCCACCACAGCTGAATTTTCTTGATGTAGTTTTCTAACTGATGATCATGAACTGTCGTTCTGGAAGTCCAATCTAAATGTCGGGGATTTCTACGACCCCGTACAACTGTACACTCAGCAGTCAAGAGGGATTATTACACTCCACCGATCTAATACAATTACTTCCAACGATCAGACGCGACTGAACTAACTGCATTTTAAGTGTGTTTACTAGGTTTTTCTTCTGTCCTTGCGAAAGACAGTATTTTTCCATAAATCACATGCTGTTCAGTAAAATCCCGAATGTATTAATAATGTGCCTAAATGAAGTTCCTATTGCAAAGTCACTCGTTTCTCCTCCTTATTCAACCTAAGTACATCCATTCAGTTACATCATTTCATCCATTTCTTTTCTGAATTGCCGGTATAGATGTGCCCAGGTGACAGCAGTATGTCCCAAATATCTCATGCGCCTTCTGCACAGCGTCTTGCTAGGGATGTTGGGATAGAAAAGGAATTAACTGACTGCCTGCAGAAACAGTTCCTTAAACTGAAAGACGACATGGAGACAATGGAACGAGAAAGAAAGGTACAGGCGACTGAATTCCAAGAAAGACTCGATAAACAGTGGCAATTGCTGACGGAAATACGAAACTTAGTGATGCTTTCCAACCGAGAAGGGAAGAGAAAAGAACTTGATGAGAACTGACACTTTTCTTGACTGATGAAAAAAAAAAACGTTAATGAAAGGAACTTGAAATAATGGTAACAGAAACATCTAGCCATCATTGTTAGATTTTCAGATACCTGACGACAAGAATGTATGTGTTTCTTTCCCCTAAATAAAGACATTTTTGCGCGACCTGATGATCAGGTTACATTACTGTTAACAAGTTGTGTTGCCATATTCTAAGAACCTTCGATTGGACATTGCGTTAAATTTTCGTCTCATTTGGTAACCTCCCCTATATTCTAAACTGTAGAAGAGGGCTGGGGCTAAGCAATTAAGCTCTCTAAACAGCAGAAAAGCACAGGAACTTAAAATTACAAATGATATTTGGATGTCTATGAATGGGAAACTTGTCAACCTGCCACTTTTATTATAAGATTTGAGCAGAGCATCTGGCACGATCCATCATAAGCTGAAACATGATATCATAATCATCCTCGTCTATTTTCATCTTGTCACCGTTGACTGTTGTTCTACCATCTCCTGCCGATCGCACGCTTGCAAACTGGTAAATTGCTAACGGTTTAAAAAGCACGAAGCAATGTTATTACTCAAATGCCAATGTTTTTTTGCCCGATGAAAAGACTTTTCGTTTTTCTATAACCCATGTGAGGACTAATGATAAACAGTCAACGCATCATCTCGTTAAGTAGGTTTATCCTTCAATTTTTCTACAATAAATGCTAACAGTTGATCCTCTGCCGCCCTCTGCGCATTTGCACTGTAATGCACATGATCTAGTGTTCCATTAGGGTACGAAGCGGTCATTGGATACACTTCCAACACAGGAATACCTGCCTTGCACATGGCGTTAGTCGCGTATTTATGAAACAACTCCAGTCTCTGAGGAGAAAAAGGAATCGCACAATCATACACAAAATTGAAAACTGACAGGAAATAAATACAGAATCTAACCGAAGTTAAGTACACTAGCAAACCTCTTTAAGGAAACTGAAGCCGTGGTAGATATGAAGTTATGTCTTTGAAACGAGTTGCTCCCTACATGTTTTCATGTTTTTGGACTTCTTTTTCCGATACACTGTTCATCACAACAGAGAAAACTATATCCATACAGTAGGAGCAAACTGCTGAGGGTTGGTCTTATTCAGAATGTTAATTTTCTTTTAAATTGGAGATGCTGTAATAGAGTCAGGGTGCTTTGGTAGCCCTGAGCCAGCTGTTAAAAGTTATAAAAAAGGGATTAATTATTTCGGCTTTTAGTCATGGTTTTACTGTTCAATGTTTAAAATTAAAAAATATAGACATGTTAATATCTGCGCATGCACAGTAGGGGAGGGACTGAGAAGAGTAATGATAATTTGTTAATTGATACCTTCTGGCCCCTTGCACTGTTTTCCCAACAATAGTTTGATGATAGTAAAACCCGTGTACAATGACAAGGACACTGACAATAACTGACAGTAGAATTTACCGTTGTCACAACAACAACTGCTAGAGCTACAGTTATGATAGCGATAATGGCGACAACAGAACAGAGGGGCATTCTGTCTGCGCATGTGCAGTACAAAGAGGCTTTTATAAGTAGCCGCTGAAACGCGCCCGCACGTGGCGCGCGCGCGTCCGCTTCCCGCTCTTTTTGAGCAAAACCAAAACAAAAAATATTAAATGCAAAATAGCCGTGTACGGTTTGTTGTCTTTTTAGAAATATCGGTTTAAAATACCAGTAAGGAAAGAAATACCTGTAATAACCATTTGGATGTTCTTTTGATGGTAAAATAGCAGAGGTAAACTGAAATGCAGCTCAAAGTAATGTCTGTACAGAAGTAATTCACCAGTTTAATTCGTAATGTCATTTTAAACACATCGCTTCTTTTAGTTCGAATATGTAGTTTATATCCTGGACAAAAGCATTAAAATCAAGTTCCGAATTTGTCATATTACTCAGCAACGGTTATTTTAATGGCAAAATACTACGTTCGGCAAGAAACAGGCCGGCACTTCGTAGGACAGGTGGAGATGGCGCTATTAGCTAACGAGAGTTCGAATGGGATGTCTTCAGAAACACGCCATATTTCACAGAAAATGAAGTTGAAAAATTCAGTGGCGCCAACAGCATGCATTTTTTCTGAGTGGACAACCTACATAAGCTGGTAAGGGAAAGAATAAGCTATTCACTAGAAGTAAAAAGAAATTGGGGGACCGTGAAATAAAAAGCTTTTTTGTCACTTCATATCACACGAACCCTTGCAGGGCAAAATTCAGCATCCACAAATACCTAGTTAAAAAGTGTTTCGCTAAGAGAACATTTAAGAAACTTGAGTTCATGAGGCTATCATAGCCGTAAATAAGAATCACATAATATTTCGTAAAGCGCATTGAAACGGCATATCCAATGAACAATGCCGCGATCCACAACTTGAGAAAGGTTGCCACATATTGCCCGATGGAAATGCACCAAACGTACTGGCAGGAAAAGTTAAATCCTGATGGCGGTACATTTTTTAAATTTTGGAATCCAAGACAGCTGTAAAGAAATGGAAAAACACTTTTCATAGATATACTTCGAGGTTGGGGGAGCGGTGAAGTTTTAAGCAATTTGACTTCAAAGATGACTCAAATTCCGAACAAAGCATAAAAATCTCTGCGGAAAAGAGCCTTATTACTAACAATCGACAAAATATACAACTCCCAAATTTACACAACATAAATATCATCATGTCGAGACTGACCTTTGAAGGTTTTCTTCTTCTGCAAGCATCCTGAGTGTCGGCTGATTGTGTTTTAAACACCCATGCTTATCCTATTTCTTGGCTTTGATACGCATTTTGATCGCTAAAATCTCCTCACAGAAAATGGCACGAAGCACCATAACAATCCAGAGCGTTACCAAAGTATGCAGCCATTTTACTTTCTTTCATCTCGATCCATGACATCAGCTACAACACGATCAGATCATCGAGCTAAAACCACCACTGCGCGCTCAAGTGTAAACAATGGCGGTAGGATTCAGTTGTTCCAGAATAGCTCGCACATGCGCAGGCAGAATGCCCCTCTGTTGCGACAACAGCCAAAAAAGGAAATTTTTAACAGTTATTCCACGAGTGTGCGTTGGATATGAGTTGGCCATAATCATCTAATATCCAACAAGCGAGAGTGGAATAATTGTTTTATTAAAAATGCACACAAAATATGGAGAATTATTCCCGACTTTATTTGTAAAAACAACCTTTTCTCAGCTTGTTTTTAATTTTCAGCAGACGCGTACAGATACCATATTTGGAGAGCACAGTATAATGGCTCATTTTCCATGATGGCTAAAGCCAATCAGAGCGCCAGAATTGCATTATCCAATGATTAAGTTTTTAATAATTCTTCATAACTGAGTAGATAACTCTCTTCGGCTGATTTCATCATACTCAGCCGTATTTAAATACCTGTAGACTAAACGCACCCTGCACAGTAAAACCCCGCGTATAAGAGCCTAAGTTTTTCCAAGCTAGGCTAAGAAGGTTCTTATAAAAAAAGGTGTTAACTGGAAAATTAGGCTACTCAGGTTCTTAAAAAGTTCCATATTTTTAAAAATAAATAAGGTGTTTGTCATTGGTGGGTGTTGCCTTTTTGTATTGCATGCATAATACGGTAAAAAAAGCCCTGTAATCTGAGCTAACTAAACAGAACAAAAACAACATTAAAACATGGTACTGTGTTTTATCTTCATTTTACTAACTGGTAGATTTTGTTCTATTAAATTTGTGCATTCAGTGTTTGACTGAATTTCTCAAAATAAGAACCTGTTTCAAAATTGTAGGCTAAAACAGGTTCTTATGTAAAAGGGGTCTAAATGGGCAATCTTAGCCTAACAGGTTCTTAAAACCTCTAGAGGTTCTTATGCGCGGGTTTCTACTGTAATGGGTTGTTGATGGAAGGCATAATGTTGTACCTGATGAGTATGGAATCTCCAATGAGTCAAATTCTTCGGGTGAGTCTTCTCTTTTTCAATGGATGTTGTTGTTTTCCATATAACAATGGGTTTATTATTGTGCTCATCAGCAAACCTGCTCCTTAACATTCTTATCACGCTATCTATGAGGTCTTTGTAAGTTGTGAAATTGAGCCATATTGAGAAATGAACGCCAAGGTTAAATACAAACACACTGTGGTTACTACTCAAATCTGGAGAATCAAGAAACTCTGACATATGCTGAAGGACAAGTTTGTTGAAATCGTTTGTTGGAGTCGTTTGGTATGTTTGCTGAAAGATAATTGGTGTAGCATATACATAGTTAAATCCTTATAAAAGTTAGTAACATAATCATAAACCTGAGAAACAACATTTTTGATATCGTGTTAGTAACTTTAAATACATACAATATTCTATGTTTCGTCTGTTTCAGTTAAATGTAGGTTATTTTAATGCAGTAATTATAAACTCAACGACTTGAATTCAAGATGCTGGTTGCTAAGCCGTGTAGCTCTCTCTACACATTTACTAAACGAGCAAATGACTCGCCAATTACCGGAAATCGCTTCCCTCAATACATGTTAGCCTGAACACAATCAAGTAGCCACCTACATCGAAACTTTCTATTTTATCGTTTTAACCTCTATTTAACTGCTCCTCGCTAAGTGGAACTGAAAACCAGTGGTCAATTCATTAAAGTTAATATATCAGAGATAAATTTAGCCAAGGCTGAAAGCGAATCGTCCCACTTTAGATACTTTTAATTACTTAAGACCAAACAATTTGTACCTAACTTTTCAATAAATCAAATTCGATCACAGCTGAATGGTCTTGAAAAAGAATTTTTACCATACGTTTGCATCAGCGAACCCACCCTCCTCCCTGCTCCACCACACCCCTTTGAGAAGCTAACAGCTCATAGATTTAATGTTTTACAAAGAATGGTTGTCATTCACGAAACCCTTTGGCTGCGTGCAGTTCACACTTTCTGTTTATAGGTCAATCTTTCCGTCCAAAAAGGATTCTACCCAAATGGTAAACTAGGCCGATTTTTGTGTTTAGAATAAGCTTCCTTGGCCTTGCAAAATTGGACCGACAAACCGTTACGTGTTAAAACTACCCTTATCAAAATATCTGATACAGTCGACTCTCTCTTAACGGACACCACTATAAGACGGACAACTCCCTAAAGTTGGTCCCTGCCTTTCTTTACTCCCTTTATTTGACTCTCTATAAGACCGAAATCTCTCTAAGACGGACACTTACTGCCGGTCCCAAAGGTGTCCGTCTTAGAGGGAGTTGACTGTACTCAGTAACCTTTACTGTAAGTTATGCTTTTTGTTTCCTCTGGCGAAAAGACCCAGGAAGGTTGATAACTTATCTTTTTTAATAATTGGGAGGAGGGTTTATAACCGGAATAACATTTCTTTTACAAGTAGATGGGCTTAGGAAGGAGGCTTAAAGGCGGGCGGGCCGGCTTATAACCAATCCTTTTTTTTGGTATAAGAATTTTTGTTCCATACCTGGTTTATCTTCATGTATGCTTCAATGCACTTTTTAAAAAACCTTTCACAAATTCCACGCGATATCAGGGATCTAAAGAAATACCGAGCTATTGAATCACCATAGATACAAAGAGCATCTGCTTTTGTGAAGGGATTGTCCAGCGCCTCTGCTGTTGTTGGAGAGTTGTCTGCCAAAATAAAACAGCTTCATTCTTCAATATGACTTGCAGAGTCTTGTTTCCTGGAGTCGTGTCTGGGACTCCAGAGAGCGAAATGAAATGAACCTGCGTCAATGGTAGAAATGGTGATGATAATGAATGGAGAGGTGCTGCATACTGAGATCAGTGAGATTGGTTCACTTCTAATGGTTCTCAGGTCTAGCAAGTGTCTGTTCACTCGATTCAGCCCGGACCTACATAACGTAGCCTGGACTCCCCGATTTTGTTATTTCAAATCTAACTCGCGCAGCGCCGTTGTCCGATTTTGAAATCGCACGAATGATTTTTATCAAAAGTGCGGGTTGAATAACCCAAGGCAAAATTAAGCTTGTACAAGTACGTGTAATTTTCAGTGTATTCTGATTGCACGGGGCTTTACTATCATGGACCTAGTTTTTTTTCTTTGTCTCGTCTTAAGCTGTTAAGTAATAATAAAAAAATAAAAATACGAATAAAGAAAAACTAAGATGAGTTAAAGTAAAAAAAGATAGTTCGTTAATTGTTATAATAATAATAATAATAATAATAATATAATAATAATAATAATAATAATAGTAATAATAATGATAAACTAAAGATAATAAAACGAATTGATGTGAATTGGTTAAAAGCATTTCTAAGGTAGTTAATGTTGGTGCTGCTTCTGCGATGACGTGAAGTTTTGCAAGGGGTGTCGATTTGATCTGATCAAGGTCTAGTGCCTGTAGTGGCTGAATCGTTAGACTGTAAAGTGTACTTTTGCTGCTGTTTTTCAATTCGTCAGTATGCAGAAAAATTAAACTCGTTAGAAGTCTTGCAAAACCTGTCGTTTCCGTCTTCAAAACACGCGAATTATCCCTAAAAAGTGCCGCTTAAACAAGCGGTCCGATTTGACAGGTGATTTCTGTCTGTGACGTCATGTGACGTAAATAGATTGACTCATAACACAAGACACTCATAACACTAAAAAAGTGACCCACAAACCCCTTTGTGGCACTCGATTTGTCCCAGACATACAAAACGTAGCCTGGACTCCTCGATTTTTTCCTGTTGAAGCTGAGGGCGCGGTTATACTCAAGCTATTTTGGCGCACTTTGATAACATTAAAATTGTAATCAATATTTTCGAACGCAGTCAATTATCAAATGAAATTATGTATTTACGTAACAATAGAGTACAAACCTATAAATGGTTGCCACACACCGTTGACCCATCTGCCGAACCCGTTCTGTAACAGGTTGCAAGTTATTCCACAAGTTGATGCTTTAACAACTGAGAAGATTCAGTAAACAAAGCCATGTTAATTGCCTAAAAATAATCAGATAACTGTAGTTCCTTATCTTATGCGGAGACGTTTTGTTTACAGGAAAATCCTATCTTTTACGGATTAACGCATTCAAATATTCCGACTGTGAAAGCAAGCTAGAATGTTTTGATGTTTCCTTCGCTGCCACTTTATTCTTATTGGTTTCGGCTCCTCCTCTTTCATGAACGCAAGTGAAGGCCGATCTCTGACTTGGTCGAACGTAATAGAGGCAAATATACTGTAACTGATATACATTAGGATTGCCACTATGGCAAAAGATCGGCATTCCAAAGTCGAAATAACTAAGCTAGGGCGCGGGAGGAATGGTTGAGCCGATTCAAACTGAAATAATCCGCTTAGTTTTTCCTGACTCTGTCTTAATGGAAGGTACTGGGCTCATGAAACAAGTTCTTATCTTACAACAAGATAGACTGTTACCTGAAATATACTTCTGAGTGTTATGTGTGTTTTCTGGGACATAAAATGCAACTACGCTTTGTCCTCCAATCGGTTCTAGTATGTAGTCATCGCCAATGTATCCCAGGGTCCCATCTTTGTGGTGTTTCGCTTGATTTGTCCCTTTTTATTAAGTGATTTAAAAAATGAATAATTTCTTAAATTACTGTTTTAATAAATGTTTTATGCTGAATATTAGTTTTAGAATATTACTATTAGAAAATGAAAAACTATCGATGCAAGAAACTTTGGTTATGATGTCAGTGACGTCCGCCATTGCACCCGCCCGTCCACCCGTCCGCACGTACGCACTGGCAGGGAGGGACTAAGTGGACACGAATTTCAACCCTCCTCCCCTAGAGAGTTATTGTCCCTATTGTTTCAAAAGGCTTTACAACTTTCTACTTAGTATATCTATGGTGGTTTTTAGGGGGTAGTGGAAAAGGATTTGACACCTTAGTTAGGATATCCACTTTCAACAAAATGGCTTGTGCGTGTTCACCATGCGGTGGTTTTCAATACCAAAGTTTTGCATTTTAAGGTTGCTGTATCATTTTTAATTTGTAGCGTATTATAGTTTGTAAATAAGTCTATCGCACGTTTCTCAGTGAATGCACAGCACAACACCTGAACACGTACCGCACATTTTGTGTAGGTTAAAGAATAAGTAGCGATAAAGGTTAAATGAGTTATTTGCTGTCCTAGGTATTTCCTCAAAGAAAACAGACAATACCTTAATGTGGAAAAAAAATTCTCTCAGATACTGTGAGGTATAAATGTAAAAGCTACACATATCTGTTCGTCCGGGCCCGATAAGAAAACACATCATGAGCTTAAGGGAGCACAGATGTCGGCTTGATTTTTCTTTTAGTTCTTCCCTTAAGACAGAAATTCTCACCCTAGAAATTGCAACCTGCAAATTGCTGCTCCTGAAGAGACCTATAACTTTGCAAAGAGGGTGGGTTCGATGATGGAGTCTGGAAGAATTCTCCCACTCTGATCGCACTTTTGTTGTAAACATGCGACTTTTAGCTAGCTTGGAGAATTTTTTCATTTCAGGTGCGTTTGCGGGATATTTTTTCGTAATCACCCAACCCCTCCCTCGAAAGGTAAACTGATGCCTAAGGCTTATAAAGTTAAATAGGGATTTGAACATTTCTTTCTGGTGGCCAGTAGAGTTTTTTTTAGTTTAAAGTTAATTGCTTTTTTTTAAGTATGCAAACGGAGGCTTCGCTTTTAGCTCTGGCTAAAACCTTACATTAGATAATAGACCTTTTTACTGTTTATCTTTTGAGGGCTGTAAGGGCAATCTGAGGTAAAAACATACATTGCTGTCCCCAAAATGGTGCCGCAAAGACACACTAAGTGAAGTGGAAAGCATTTTAGCAGGGAGAGTAAATTTTCACTGCATCAGCTACCTTAAACTCTGCTAAAATGCAATGTTATTAAACACTTTTTTTTAGCTCCAGACCTTTTATGATCCAGTCCTCTGGTGGATCACGAAGACCGTCGCAAAGGGTGAAATCTAAGGTAATCTGGGCAGAGTAATTACCAGGTTCCATCACTAAGAATACCACCTCATATACCCCGTCGTCATGGTCCAACACTTGTGGCGCAAGGGATGCTGGGCCTTCTCTTATGTACACTCGCCACGCATCGCCACCAAAATTCTTATGAATGCCTTCTTTTGTAACAGACTGAATGAAGAAACGACTAAAGTGACCTAAATGATAAAGAAAATATCCTGTAAAGAAATATTTGTTGTTCAAAATGAACGCAAACATTTAGAACTAAATCAGCGTAGCCGAGTGGTCAGTGGTCCCAAGTTTGATTCCACTATCCACTAACAGGATTTCATTTTTCGGTCATCCCAACTTCAAATTCTCGGTCAAAATTTTAAAATAGCTATCTGAATGCCTCTTGCTAGATGGGTTATTTTTAATCCTGTTATGTTTTTTAATATTTGTTTTATTTCTTTGAAATTATATGAGTGGAGTACCTGTAAGTAGCCGGTGTAGCTATGGTGCACTTCCACTGCAAACAAGGCACTAACGATTGACGTTGTCGCTTAATTTTTACAACTGTATCTACAAAGAACTGAAAAGAACTACTACAATTTTTCGGAGAAGAGGATTCAGTCGTCCTAGCAAGAAATGATGTTTGCGTTGAAAATAACACAAATCTGGTGTATAATTTATATTCACTACCCTGTGCAGTATTTTCTTAATAGACCGTGTAAATTTATCATTTCACCAACACGATCAGAATCCATTTCGTTTTTCTTTTTACATTTAAAGTTCCTAATCCTCCGGCCTTTGAATAAAATATGCACAAGAAAGCAAAACCCCAAAGGGTTCTGGAAGAAGTAGTACAATGACGTCATCCACGAGCAAATGGCTGATTGAACGATAGCGACGTTAATTTACAATTTGGCTTGGAGGACCCGCATTTTGCTTCAAAAAAACTACAATTTCTTCGTGCCTAGTGTTTATTGAATAAAGGTTCCAATCTCTGTTATTAAAAGGCGTCTTTCAACTCCTAATTCATTATTTTACAAATAGATGCTTAAATGACTAACGGTGGGGGCGGGGGGTGGGGGGGGGGCGAGGCGGCTTATTTAATACATTGTCCCTTTCAATACCTGGTGTTTATAGAAAAATGTTACAAAAAATGAAGGTTCAGGAATTTGTATCCGTTATTTACCTGCAGGTTGTACGTCCCATTTCTTAATAAAACTGTTATACGCATCAGTCCTCCATTCAGAGTTTACTTTTCGCTCGTCCCAGGCTACTTTTCCGACACACGGTTTAACCACTGTCTCCCAGTCTACCCGCCATCCTTGCATTGTACACCACTGCTGCTGAAAGTGTCGTATGTCGTCATGTTCGAGGTTTTCAAAAAAAGGTGTCTTGCCTCCCGTCAAGGTGTATACTGTCCAAGTGATATAAACGGTTGTTATAACAATCCCAAAGAAGATGGCTTTTTTGATGGAACGTTGATTGAAGATTCGAAGAAATCGACAACCCATTCCTAAAAGTCACAATTTAGAGCGTGAAAACAGTGATTCTTGGCGGGAAGTATAATTAGACTAAGAAAGGCCAATATGGCGCAGCTGCCGTTTCTGCCAAGACCTGCAGCACTCTAAATATCATCAATGACAAATTATTAATTATATTCTACCACGTGTGAAATTAAAAATCCCTTGTCAACGTTGCCTATATCTCATTGCCAGTTTAAAGATGTTACAAATGACGATATCCCGGCACGAACAAATAAATAAATAAATAAATAAAAAACAGTTTAATAAACCCAGGGTGCTTAACCGGAAAATTCAGGAAATGGCTAACTTTACGTTAAAACTCGGTATTGAAGGAGAAATCTGCACCCATGCTATCATCCAGTAATCAAATGGTTTGTTTGTAAAATAAGAAAGTAATTTCATTAGCTTTTTATTCAAATTGCTCGGGCAACTATAATTAGAATTTTGACAAACCGTAGGCGAAAATCATATCCTAAGTTCCTTGTTACCATTTGATCCTGCACCTTTTACTAATCACAGCCCGATTATGGAAAGGCTTTAGAGAGCATAAGCTTTACGTATAGGGCAAAAGGCAAACATCAGATTCAAGTTGAGAATTTCTCAGACAAAATAGAAAATCAGGGGATAAAAACAGCTCAAAACAATTCTTATGGATAAAAATTGCGTGAAAATAGTAATTTATGCGTAGAAACTGAATAATGAACAGTAAACGACAAGCAAAGGGGAAGCGTGGTCACGTGGTACAAATTCGCGTTTGCCGTCTGACGGAAACGTGATGCTTATCCTCTCTACTATGGCTCGGAGGGAGATATTGTTACTCCTCTTTACATATATTATATATTACTAAACGCTTTCTTAAGATACCTCAGACTGAGATTCAGTCTCAATTAGGCAACTGAATGAAACTTTATGACTACGCTGCTAGGATATTCTTAAAATAGACTGTTTCGTTTTCGCACTCGCAGAGAAAGGCCAATATGGTGCTTCTGCAGTAGAGTGATTTTCGTATGACCTTGAAATCAAAAGGCGCGAACAAAACAGAAACAACGAACAAATGGAAATACAGCGATTTAATTGGTTTATCAAACGGATACAAACACCCGTGTATTTTAGTTGGTTAAGCGATCGCTCAGGTGAAAAAACTTGATGCCCGAGAACTTTCTAAAAATCAACCGATACTTCGCTTTGAAGTCTTACAGCAACACGATTGGCCAATCGAACAATGCCTTCTTCAAATTGGCGGGAAAACGAAGAGGCCATGTTTTGATCTTTTAATTCACTGGCTAATAAAACAAATCAGGCGAACACTTACCGACACCATTTTTTAAAGGCTATACGAAAATAGCTCTAACGTAAGGCAAGAACAGATGTCCCCGAGGCAATGTTCACACCAGCTTTTGATCGAGCGCTTATGTTCGCACATAGGAACGGTGATTTCACTGCGATTTCAGTAACGGAGCCAAGCTGCACCGCGCCGATCTCTAAAGTGGAGAGTCACATATCGGATAGTTTTTCATACTATAGGTCGGATAGCTTTTCGTGTGAGCACGAAAAGCTATCCGGAATAGTGTGAACACAACCTGAAATGTAATATCCATACACACAGTCTGTTTACTGACAGTAGTTGCTTACGCTCCCGCCAAAGAAGGATCATTTTTCACCCCTCAGCTTCCGGTGCTTAACTCGATGCCGGAAAGGTCCGGCCTCTGGTATTTCAAGAATCTGAGTTTTACTCCGGCCTGGAATCAAAATAGTCTTATCACTCCGAAACGTGTCTGATACAGAGGCATCAATTTGGTCTAACCGGTCGGTGGTATTAGCGAACCCTTGATAGCAAGTTGTGACTCATATCATCATTAAGCTATTAAAAACTCTGGGCATTGAAAGAAATACAGTAAGCCATGGCTAAAAATGTAAGTCCGATGCACTAGATATACTCTTTATATTTTTCGTTATAATTTCTCATCGGTTCGTGATCGGTATAGATCTTAATTAATCTCTTTTCAAATTGTTCTTATATGCCTCAAACAACGGTAACCCGGACTCAGTTTACTAAAAAAACTTACGTATCCAGCTGATACTAACACGGCGGAAAACTTTACCTTGCAGGGCTGTTAAGTGTCCAATTATTTTGTAACGTGGTTCAGCGTGGGACAGTCGTTATGTTGCTCTATGAAATACAACCAATCTTAATCCCTTACGAGTTTTCTGAAAGGTAAATAGTGGACTAAACAATGCATGTGTTTTTGGCTAGTTTCTAAGAAACAAATTCTATTTAACAGTGCATATAGTTTAAAACCTATGGCAATGAACCTGAGATCACCTACTTTCCCAGAAAAAAATCATCTCATTCAACTACTTTGTAATTAATAAATAGAGAAACAAAAACCATAAAAAGTGTAAAAGATAACATGAAAATAAAGCTGTGTTCTAAAGAACAAAGACTTTCATACTTAGAATTTCACCATGCTGTTTGCACAAGTTAAACGCCAGTCCTTCTAAAAACATTCTTCCCGTGTGATCTCATGTTGCTTAGTGACTCAGATATACTGATAAACGGATAGTTTCAATGATGCAAATCTCAGGGGTTGCCAAAAACCAGGCAAAACGAGTTGTTTCGTGGGACATCAGTGGTTAATAATTTAGACTTTCGCCTTAAAGTGGTTTGAAAGTAACTTTTAACTTTAACAGCACTAACGAAAACTCAACTGTATGCTTGAGAAGTTACTCCGACGGTCTTTCAAGGAAACAAAGCAGCTTACAAAGCTCATTACAGTAAATTACAGCGTCAGAATAAAGTTCGCAGTGAATTCAGCTCTGCAAATGCAGTAACTTTTTTTTCTTTCCCTCATCTTCTGTTCATCACAGAAAGCATGATATTCAGGTCAAACGGTACAGAAAAGCTTTAACCAAAACCAGCTTCACGAGATGAACGCTTTGGTACGTCAAAAATACAGTTCTCGGATTGACCTGGGTCTATATTGTTCTGTTTCAGAGGCGAACAAGGTCGATCACTTGTTGGCGCAGAAGTGAGTAAGCCAATTATTTATTGGGGCGCTGCCGGATTTTAAGTCGGATAGAGTGTTTTCACATGACGTCACGGCGGCCATATTGGTGTCCCAAAACAATGAAACGGCGGCCATGTTGGTGTCCCAAACAAATCCTGTGGGAGTTGAACTTTTTTCTTATGCAAACGCTTTTTTTGTTCCAATAAATTTGCATAGATGCTGGTCACGTGAGTGAAAACGCTCTATAGCCCATAGCTGGTGCTGTTTTCGGTAGCCCCAAGGTTAACCTATAGACCTCTAATGTCAAAACCGAAATTCTCATTTGCTACCCCAATACCCTTTCTATCGAAGTAGAGTAGGAAGAATTTTTTTTTTTCGTTTAGCTAGCTCTTATTACTCTCTTTCCATCCCTGTTTAAAGTGCAAGACAATATTTAGCACGAGGAGGGTGAAAATTCCGAAAGCCAATCCCTCATGGAGGATTGGTGGTGGAGCGGGCGCTCTCTGGCTGAAAGGGTACTGTTTTTTTTTTTTGGTCCAAAAATTACATGAGAGGTGATGGGGATGTGTTCCAGGGCCTCTTCCCAAAATTCGCCACAGCTCTATTTTCTTGGTGTAGGTTTCTAACTGATGATCTTGTACTCGCGTTCTGGACGTCCAAGCTAAATGTCGCGGATTTCTACGACCCCGTACGCTGGAAAACTCGACAATCAAGAGGACTGTATATTTTTACAAGAAGTGATTATTGCAAGCCAACGATCAAACTCGACTGAACTAACTGCATTCTAAGTGTGCTTTGGTTTTTCCTCTATCCTTGCGCCAGACAGAATTTTTAAATAGATCGCATGTTGTACAGTAAAATACCAATTGTAATGTACCTATTGCAAAATCCTACATCCATGCTACATCCATATTATATCATTTCAAACATTTCCTTCCTGAATTGCCGATTTAGATGTGCCTAGGTGACAGCGGTATGTCCCACCGAATATATATCTCTTGCGCTTTCTGTACAGCATCTTCGGCCACGGTGTTGGGGTACGAAATAATCTAACTGCCTGCAGAAACAGTTTCTCAAGCTTAAAGATGACATGAAGACAATGTAACGAGAAAGAAGAACACAGGCGACTGAATTTCAAGAAAGACTCTATAAATAGTGGCAATTGCTGACGGAAATACTAAACTTATTAATGCTTTCAATTCCGGAGAAGGGAAGAGAAAAGAACTTGATGAGAAGGGACAGTTTGCTGGGCTGATGAAAAAATGAACTTGAAATAATGGCAACAGAAGGGACATTATTAGTTTTCAGGGCTGATGTTTCTTTCTTCTTATAAATTTTTGCACTACCTGAACAAATGTTCCGAGAAAGCGTCACTCTTACAAAAGGATCTCAAATCGTCTTCCGAACAGATTCAAAACCACTTAAAATAGCATTGTTAAACGTTAGTATTTAAACCAGATATGCATATTTTCATCCCCTAAAATTTTTTCAAATAGCTGAAAGTCTAGTGATCCGAAAATTTGCTCAGCCTTTTCGGAAAATTGCAGCCAGAAAAAAAGACTCCCGAAAATTCTAGGTGACCTTTTTAGGGTAAAAATCCGTCAAAAATACCATATTTTAGATGTTCGAAAATCCTAGGAGAGGCAGGTAAGCAAGAAATTTTACAACAAATGTTCCGAGAAATTCTCGATCTCAAATCGTCTTCCGAACAGATATTTTCCAAAAACTTACGTTGGGTGCCCCTGTCTAAATACGTGGTTGCTCAGCTGTCGGGTCAGCCTTAATAAGATCATGGTTAATCGTTGGTAATGATAACACAATACTTTGCACTGCCAAGCCGCGGATTACATAAGATTGAATTCAAGGTTACCGGATTACCGGCAGTAGTTTGTAGGTCAGTTTAGAGCCACTGCATCGAAAAGGTGACAGGTACCCGCTTTCAACTGTTGCATGTTAGTTTATTTGCCTCAGCTTAAGATTATTCTTTTATTTCAACAATTCGATGCAAAGAACAAATTAACTTTGGAGAGCCTCTAAGGGTTCTAGGACTAATTCTTTTGCTATTATTACTTTTCTTGTTTTCGTTTGAGGCGCCCGCCTCGAATAGAATAATATACTACTTTGTCAAGCATTGTTACGTTAAACAGAACAGCAACGGAACATGAAGTTAGACTAAAAAGCATCGTTTGCAAACTTCAATTTTGTTTTGAGAAGGACCTGCAAATGTTTAAAACAACATTAAAATGATTAAATATTGCTTATAAACCATTAACAACTTTCAAAAATTTCATGATCACCGTTTTGTATGATCTTAATACTTGACCTTAAGCAGAATACCCAGCAAAGGATCTGAATGCAATCCTATCCCAGGGAAGAGCCGGATTGTCGGATAAACGTTAACGCTTGACATGTTTTGTCTTAGGTCAGAAAAACAAATGGCTCGTCCTGGGTTGTTTTCTTTGTCTATCTGCCAAAATACGGCTAACTGTTTTTAATATTCTTTTCGAACTTAACGTGCTTGACTGACTCAAAATTCAATAATTATGGTAATTGTTGAAATAATAATTAAAACAAGGTCTTTGTTTAATTGGATTCCTGGTGTCTAGAGGCGACCACCACAAAACGGTTCAATCAGAATTTATCGATGTGGCTACTTAGGTGTGCTAGGTTGTTAAAAGGTGACACTGTGATTTGAAATAAAGGAAACACTTGAATTGCAAATTATCAATTTAGGCACAGGAGACGTGTACATGTTATGGTTTTGGCTCTTCATGGAACTTGACATGTATAAACGTTACATATATGAAGATCTTTTTTCGCTTGAACCTTCTTAGGCCGAAAAGAACAATTGTTGATAAGAAGCTTGTTTTATTTTGAATGAGCTTACACTTTACAATAATGTTTTTTCAACGGGAATTGGCTTTTTTCTTGTCACGAAAACAATACAGCTGCTTGCAGGGGTGACTCTCTGGGGTTAATCTTTCTGTTGCCGATCAGTAGGAGTTTACTTTAGTGTTGTTGGTAACACGAGAACATCCAGTTCGATGATTTAGTCTATTCTGCTTGCTGTAAGAAAGGAATATGGCTGTTGATAACGTACACTTAAAGAGCGTAGCGAAAAAATACGAATTCATGGCAGAGGAAACCACGGGCTCGCTGGGAGGCATAAAGCCAATTCAACCAAAAAGTAGGAGAAAGGTCTGGTTAGCCTTGGCTTGCATTGCCAGCGTCTTGGTGGTGTTTGGATTTGGTTTTCTAGTAGGATACCTCGCCAAACGACCGGAAAGTACGTCACCCAACAAAGAGACGGCGATATCTGATGCACCACCTGCTTTCGAAAGTTTTCACAATATGTTTAAAGAGTCGATCAGTGCTGCAGAGTTGGAGAGTCTAATGAGGTATAGGCCAATGCAATTACTGTAAGCTGGACGGTTAAGCAATTTAATTTGTGGGAATTAATATTTATAAGGGGAACTATTAATAATACTTTGTAGACTAAATGGGAGGTTACTAGCCGGCTAAGATGCTTTTCCCAATTCATAAGATTCATGAACACAACGACTACACAGCTCTTAATTTAAAGCCTTTATAACCTCCTCATTTCTGTTTTTAGGAGACGTGTTGGCAATTCTAGTTTGCATTTTCCATTTATATCATACAGGATATCATAGTTGTTCTAACGTAAATGGGTTATTTTGATCGCGTTACAGTTTCGTTACACATTCTATTGACCGCAAACCAAGAGACTGAAGGCTCGCAAGATCGGCTTACAATAGGCCTGCACTTAATTCCATCCGCCAAACTGACGTTGACACATTAATGATTCGTACACAAGGTAGGGTTAGGGTTAGGGTTTGGGTTAGGGTTAGCGTTAGGGTTAGGGTTATATGTTTAAATCAAACTGGTATTCGTCATCAAATTCTCGGTGGTGTAGGGGTTAGAGTGATGCACTCCAGATCGGACGCTCCGAGTTGGAATTCTACTCATTCTATCCTGATTTGTTTTTTTCCTTAAAAATTGAAGACACTTTGAACATTTCATCAAGAAATTTCATATAAGAAAAGTGAAATGTCTTGTGAGAGGAGGATGTCAGTTTGGTTATTGATTTTCAAAATAGCGAACGAGAAAGTCGATCTGGGTCAGATAAGAAGCGAAGAAATCGTTTACAGTAGATTCATTAAGATCCCATTAGGCTAAATTAATCGTGCTAAGCGACAGGTGTAGACATTTTTCAAGGTGAGTCTTTAAATAAGTAGTTCATTTATTCACACGAAACTCGTCTGGACCCTGTGTATGAGCCTTGATTCGGGACGGCTTCACAGGGGTTTGTAAAGAAACATTGTATTATTATTTTTCATGTCTCTTGTATTGTGATATTAATGTAAGGATTATTTTGTTTGGCGTAGAAGAATATTTAAGACCACCATTGTGATTTTATATTTCGAGAGAAATCTTAGGCATCTTTGTTCAATTTCAATGAGGGGGTGCGATAGAAACAGACGGGGATGCTCGTGGGACACATCTGGGCGTGGCTCAAAGGCAATCTGGGCGTGCTGTTGCATAATCTCGAATGCTTTTATCTAAAGCCGTCGCAAAATTTACACCCCTAAGCGAGACGACAGGTGACTGTTTCATAACCAGGTGTAACCAGGTGTACTCCCTGGTCTTACGCGCCGCGAAGGTATCTTAGGGAGGATGCACTGTATCAGGCTCACGATGCTCTGCGCCCTCTGTTTGTAACATGATTACGGTATAATGGTAGTTACGGTATTTACGTTTTGTTGACTCAGAACGCAACGATGAGCACTACAATCTTTGACAAAACAGATGGAAAATTTAAACCCTCCTCCTCCCCTCGGGGGATGGGCCCTCGGGGAGATGGGGGTTAGATGTTCTATTTTGTTCTGTCCAAGATCGTAGCTTCAAGTTTTAAATGTTCACTTTATACATATATTGATATTCATGTCAAGACTTTGTTTTTCATAGGGAGTTCTCCAGTCGCCCTCACATTGCTGGCTCCGACAGACAGCAAGTTCTTGCAAATAAACTCGTCGCAAGCTGGAATACGTTTGGATTTGACAAAGTCGAGAAACCTGAGTACAAAGTTCTGCTATCTTTTCCGCAGCCAGAAAAACCAAACAGGGTGTCCTTAGTGGAAAATGGTTCAGTCATATACGAGACAGTAGGAAAAATTAAGGTAAGCCCTCTTTGTATTAAGCGTAAAAGAACCTGCATTTGGTGGACAATAAGCAGGAACCGGTGAGGGGCCTATGGGTCGTCCAGCCATCCCCTCTCGCCCTGTTTCCTACATCCGCCTGGAACTTGCGCCCCAAGTTTCATGGCTATTTCTAGTATTCCGAACATCGTCTTGAATGTCGCTCACCGGCAGAGCTACATATACGAGAAGTAGCTCTGAAGTCGTCATATGAAAATATGTGTGTGCTCGAAAGAAAGGAGAATCACCTACTTTAGGGGTTATGCTGATTAGAGCGATATTGCAGCGCTAGCTTCATTTGCGAAATTTCATCATTCTTCTAACTTAAAAGAGGGCAATCAGAGGAGAGCAATTCAAAAGTGGACTGAGTTCACTGACAGGTTGGAATAATTTGCGAACGAGTCTATTCGAAACCCGTGCACTGTGCCTAGGAGATCAGCGCTTGCCTCAGTTGCCGCGCTTTGTTTGGTCGAGGCATCTTTTGAAAAAAGATAAGGAAGTGGCAGAGCATTTATAGTCGCTTATTGCGAACTTAAAGCGCTGTTTTAACGAACTTATTTACACGCCTTGCGGCTTAGGGGTACGCTTTTGAAAGTTATAGCCACACACAGAAAGACAAAATCGTTAAGTGCTTGAACAAGTGGTCAAATTGGATTTAAAATATCTGTAATAATAGTTTTTCAATTAAGAAATTATGTACATCGCTTTTCTCCACTTCCATCTCTCTTTTTGGCAGAAGGAAGTTACTTAGCAGTGGTCGGAAACACGTAAAATACGTGAAAGTGAAATAAGTCTTCTTTCGCAGGATAGAAGTTATGTTGATTTCCGATACACAGATAAGTTGAGTTTAACAATTATTCCATAATTGCAGATTTCGCCAGCACCAAACAGTTCTGAGACATTTGATCATTATCCTTATTTGGCATATGCGCACAATGGCACAGTGGAAGCTGATCTGATTTACGCCAACTATGGCCGAGATGAAGACTTTAAAGAGCTTTCAAAAAGGAGTATCAGTGTGGAAGGAAAAATTGTTATTTTAAGATCACGAAACGTAAGTACCCTCTGGTAACTACTGCGATGATTCCAGTATACTAAACGAAAAAGGGTACTGGCACGGGTATTCTGGTCATAAATTTTGTTATAATTATGAGCGATTACTGGCAACATTAAGACGTAGATTTCAAGTGAATGGAAGGAAAAAGAAAGAGAAAGAGAAAAAAAATTGTTTATACGTTTCTTCCCAGACACAGTGACTCAAATCGTTCATGTGGGGGACAACTACGCACTTATAAAGTTCTTGTCAGTTAAACAGTAACACAACAGTAGTTTTACACAGTTGCCAACAACCTTTGGATTTTTTTAACTGTCGTGTTCAATGTAACCAAGACATCTTGCCTCAGAGGAGGCAAGGATCAAGGGTTATCGAGATCTTTACACATCATTGATTCCAGGTTGCCAATGCTGAAAAACACGGAGCAGTTGGGGCGCTGGTTTACGCAGACCCGAGTTTCTCGGCTCAGCAGGGATACGAAGCTAGTCAAGTCTACCCCAAGGGGTGGTGGCTACCTCCCAGCGGGATACAAGAAGGATCTATATTATTTTCCTCCTATGTTGGGGATCCCTTGACCCCCGTCCTGCCATCCACTAAAGGAATGTACCGTAGGCGCGCGAATGAAAGTATGCTGCCTAAGATTCCAGCACAGCCGATATCTTACGAGGCTGCCATGGAACTCCTGCAACGTCTAGGAGGTATATTACGCTATCACTGTTATTTTACTTTTAGTTTCCTTTTTTATCAAATCATCGTTCTTCGTAGTATTTAGTCTCCCACGCAGACGTTCTTAGGGCTTGGTCACTCGTTGTGAGGAAGGAACGCGTGACAAAGCGCCAAAAACGTCTGTAAGGAAGGCTCCGTAGTATTACTTTCTTCAGTATAGTCTGCGAGTAAGCTGTCCATACCCGATGGTGGAAATGACATGAAATGAAAGACTCGTTCTGTTTACCACCCTTTATGTCGTTCTTAAAGGTTTTTGTTACAAATCGCCAGGGCCAGAAGCTCCTAAGAAATGGCAAGGTGGATTGAACATCTCATACCACACTGGTCCAGGATTTAAGAACAGCAGTGCCAAGGTTAAACTAGAAATCAATAACAAGCTTGATGAAAAGCCCATTTACAACGTTATCGGTACTATTTATGGGCAAAACGAGCCTGATCGATACGTAATCATCGGCAACCATCGGGACTCGTGGTCCTTCGGTGCGGTCGATGCGCTAAGTGGAACAACAGTAACGAACGAAATTGCCCGTGTTCTTGGCATGCTCTTGAGGAAGGGATGGAGACCGCGAAGAACGATTAAGATCTGCAGCTGGGGTGGAGAGGAGTTCAACTTGATCGGGTCACATGAATGGGTGGAAGAAAACGCGAACATTTTAACCGAGCGCGCTGTGGCATACATCAACTTAGACATCGCGGTGTGCGGCAATTACGTGCTGAGAGCTAGGGCGAGTCCTCTTTTTAAGCAAATAACGCACAAATGGGCGAAAGAAGTTAAGGATCCAAATAATACGGAGGGAAGTGACACAATGTACGACATCTGGCTGCGAAGGACTCCTTCCGATACTAACAAAAACGAGCCAATGATATTAAATCTGTTCTCTTCAAGTGATTATGTGTCATTTTATCAGTACTTAGGGGTACCCTGTGGAGACTTTGGTTACTGGTTTGGGTACGATAAAACGTCTTCTTTGTACCCTGTTTATCACACCCAACAAGACACATTTTATTGGGTAAAACAGTTCATCGACCAGAAATTTGAAGTGCACAAAGCCATGACACAGTTTAGCGGTGGTATAATTCTGGACATTGCAGATCAGCCACTTCTACCATTCGATATTTGGAACTACGCACTCGCCCTGAACAATTCCTTTCACATCCTGGCGTCATCTCCAAAGTTTTCAGCCAATGGCATACCTTTAACCGACCTTCATAACGCTATAGCTAAATTTTTAAAAGCCAGCAGAATGTTCGAGTCCCTTAAGTCAGATCCAGCGATTCTAAAAAGTTCTTCAAAGTTGCGCATGATCAACGATCAAACAGTGAAGGTAGAAATGGCGTTTATCTACCCTTACGGGCTGCCGGGAAGTCGTCAGAGCCGTCACGTGGCATTCAACTTTGGCTTCCACAACCTTCAACTTGGGAAGGCAACATTTCCGGGAGTCACTGAGGCGTTACATATGGCTGATATGTCAGGAGATTGGGATTTAGTAAGAAAACAATTATCAATAGCAATTTACTGCGTACAAAGGGCAACTCGAGTGCTGGAACCCCTAAGGCCCTAATATAGCCAACTCTCTCTGATACGAACATATTTGGGACCTTTGCAGACAGGTGTCCGCGCGATAGAGAGTCAAAGAAAAGAACTGTAAGAAAGGCAGGGTCGACGATCTTCAGGTGTCCCCTTTAGGGAGATGTCCACTTATAGAGATGTCGTTAAGAACGGGTTGACTGTATTAACTTGCATATTCTTCTTACCGTGATCATCATATATATCATTCTTATGGTCTTTATTCTTGATTAGCCAGTAATATTGTAAGATGCTGGATAACAGGGGATTAAGGTTACCGTGCACAAAAGGAAACTAAACGGACTAGCAAAAACTAGCAGATGGTTTCCTTTTCATAATATACATTTTTAATTTTCTATTAAAATAAGTCGGTTTTGAGTTGGTTAGGATACGAAACAGTGTATTGTCCCTTGATCTTTTTAATGAAATTAAAAAAAAAAAAAAGAGAAAGAGACACAACGGAATATTACTGATTCGAGAAAGGGGAAAGAGCTTCGGAGACGAGAGTAACGAAAACCTTGAAAAACACACAACAAACAAATTAAAACAAATAAACAAAAAACAGTTTTTTCATGAAGGATATAGGGTTCGGGTTTAAGTTAGGATTTGTTCCCACTTTTCATCTTCCAGTTTCCGGTGTTTGTTCTCCGTTCCCCGTTCCTCGTTTTAGTAACATCCATACACTGACCACAAGATTCGGATTTCCGGTTTTTCGTAAGCTCGCATGCATGCGACAAACTTGTGCCTTTTACGTTGGCCTTTGCTAACACTACTCGAGTCACACTAAGCACACTAATTCGACGTGACACCATCCATTATTGCAATAAAGCTTCCTCTCTTGAAAATCCCATTTGGCATGGCAGTACGTCAGGATTATCGCGCGGGCGAGGCTAGGCTTGTAAGCTCTCTCGAGTCCTGCAAGGGCTCAACTCGACAGACTGAAACAACAGCTTGCAGTCTACTGTAAGTGATCATTCTCACTCTCTCTAACTTTTCTTTGGCCCCACCTAGTCCCCTGTTAGGAACTCACTGATCTCAACGAACAAAATAATCATAGCTTTCTCCTTTACTAACATTTATTCATTAGTAACATTTAGTAACATTGCAATGTGTCCCCAATTAGCTTTTGTAGGCTAAAGACATCGACACTTAAATAAAGTTGTAATGTTATGTTATGTCATGAAGCCGAAAATTGTAATTGTTAAGTGAAAGACACGTGCAAAATTACAACATGCTTATTTTTTCTTATCAACTTTTATTAATTACTGCCAAAACATTTTTTAAAGTTACTAGGAAGATATCTGAGTTCTATATGCGGATTTTTATAGAAGGTACTGATCAATCCATTATTTAGACGGAGTACAGCCCATCTAAATTTCCCGCCTGCCTATTTGATTTCCCTCACTGAGTTGGGTTTCTAGCTTACATATTTTACTCTCCGTATACTTCAATTTGAATTGGTAATTTACTTTCTCCACAAGGGAAAAAATATCGAGGATTACTCCAACATCTGGGGTTAAATTTTCTAAAATATGAAAAAAAGAAAAAAAAACAAAACCTCTTTTATTGGCCATCAACAAAAATGTAGACAGATAAGAACTAAATTTTATGGATTGATTGTGAAGAAGATATGAATTTTTTTTTCTTGTGGATCGCTGGATTGAAGGCACTCACTATTGAAAAGTCAAAGGAAAGAAAGGGAAAAAATCTTAAACAATAAATAATAGGATTTGTTGAGTTGAAAGCGTTGGTGGTAAACAATGTCAGAACAGTTCAAGAAAATCAACTGTAGAACAGATGATGCTTTTGAAACTAAACACGACCCCATTTTTGCTCGAAAGGTATCAGGGCCGGTATTAAAATAATGTCCTAATCATTTCGAGGTGACAGAAATATTTTCATTGTTAACTGTCTGTTTGCTGCTCACAGAAATTCGTTGCCAATTTGGCCAGCGAGTAAGGGTGTATTCGCCGCCAAAAGCTCCAAGAAATAACATTATGTGCAATTATCATGATTTCTTTATAATTCTGACCTATTTGCTTATTTGTGAGGTCTCCTGTGACTTCGCGAATAATCAAAGGCTGCTTGAAGAGTATGAAAGTAAGTTATGTCATTTCTTGTAGTTTGCTTGTTTTATTTGAATGAATGCTTTATGTTTCTTTTTATGTTTGATTTACTACATACTCCAAATCGTCGTTCAGTCAGGCAATGAATCAATCAGTAATGAGCTTGTCTATGTTACTTAGGATGTTATATAATTTTCTTAAAATTTCAAGGCCAAAGGGAAGATTAGCGACATAGTCGAAGAGGCTTTAAGCAAGGCAGATAACAACGCATGGTTCACAGGGGCGTAGCCAGGATTTTTCCGTAGGTACGCACAGTTTTCCATCTCACCTCTTCACCCCCGCCCCCCCCCAAAAAAATATCAAAGTCATTTTCGCCTGGTTTCTGCTCTCTTATTTCCCGCTCTTTTCATACACGAACGAGAATTCACTCCACCGCTGACCGACGAAATCACATCGATTCTCTGAAGAAACCGACATTTGGATGTGGAAAAACAATTTTATAGTTCAGGTACAAAAATAAGTAAAAGAAAAGGCTAAGTTAAATGACTGAAAAAAAAAATAAAAAATATATATAAATATAAATATATTTGAAATATATTTTTTATTTATTTTTTTATTTTATATATTTATTTATTATTTTTTATTATTATTTTCAGGTACGCAATTGCGTATTTGCGTACAGGTAGCTACGCCCCTGGTTCATATGTGGTTTATGCTTTTATTCATAAGAAAAAGCACACAAGTTAAAACTTCCTAAAATATAATTCCTCGGTTGTCAACAAGGGGAAATGTGGGGCTTAAACGATTATTGATGAAGAAATGTTCGAGAAGTTATTTTAGACGGTTCACTAACAAGATAGGCACATCATTAACCCATGTCTTTGTTAACTATTCCCTCTAAAATAGGAGCTAGAAAGTTCGACTTACATAAGGAAATCATGATCAGCCAAAACTCTTCGCAGTCTACTTTTCCTTCCATTTACTTATATTACATAGTTTCTGCTCACTAATAAATAGAGATGTAGATATTACTAACTAAAGACAATTCCTTGGATTGAATCCTTTGACTGTACATAACCCTTGTATTGGCAATTTAAATGTACTGACCATAATGTAGGTCTCGCTTGGCTCCACTAAACAGCATAATCTTACATATATTTGCTAACGTTTACACTTAAAATATTATATCAATTGAAAAGCAATTTTATTTATTTGGTTCTCAAACGTAATTACTCACATGTAGAAAGAATGTTTCATTACGACTTGGTGTTATCATGTTCTGCAGATGTGCGACCTTTAACCCATTTCAAAAGATATAGACTCTTATCTTCTAATAGCAATTTAGCACTACATGATCGCCTCACACACTCATATATACCTGCCAACATTTTCTGAATGATCAGAATTTCCGGAAATATCCACTTTCGAATATTTTCGACGATTTTCCGAAGACTTCTGAACATCGCCGAAAATGTTCGAAGTTGTTTCGACGACCTTTGAGCATTTCCGAAGCTATTTCAAACGCAACAATTTTAGCGTGTTGTGATATAGTTACGACACAATGTAAACATTACGCGTCTTTTTGGAATATTTTTTGGGAAACTGAATTGAATTTCTTTCATTAATCATTTGTTAAAGAATCGTCCGGATTTGTGAGTCAGGTGTGAGAAATTGTTTTTTTGCCTGAGCTCGTGTCTTTTGGTCTGCAGACGTAAGACTCACGAATATTTCACTTAGATGAAAACCTTGTGCACTTATAAGCGTTCTAATTCCCCGGGCATTTGTGAGCTACTTGTAAGAAAACCGTATTGCGGACCAAAATCGAATTCTCTCTCGTTAGGCTGAACAAGTGAAAATGCCACACCTTAGGGAACTAGTAGACCAAAGTGCACGTGAAACTTTCTTGAAACGGAAGTGACACTCAAATCTTGGCAGGGAACAGTGTTAATTTCGCAGAATCGACCGTAATAGCAAAAGACCGTTTTTTAATTAGCTGCTTTAAGCTCCGCTTTGGTTCACATAGGCTCCACCGAGAGGACAGTAATACAAACACACTATACCTATTTTTATTTCTTTGTCAAAGAACCTCAACAAGTTCCACCAGCAAGTGTCTCGAGCAACAAATTCCAGAAGCACTTCAGAAGCACTAGTGGCTCCTCCCGTCTGAAGAGAGAGCTAGAGGGTCACTATGACATCATTTACGTCATCGATTCTTCCAGCTCGATTACTCGCGCTGAGTTTCGCAAAGGTATCGAAGCTATTCAAATGCTGATCGACAGAGGTGTACCGGAAACTAAACACGCTGCTATGACAGTAGCCAGTGAGGCAAAGTTGATTTTTAGCTTTACTTCCGCAGAAAACGCCGCACAAGAACTAACCAAACTCCAAAAAACTGGAGGGAAAACAAACATGCAAGAGGCCCTGGAGAAGAGCTTAAACGTCTTTCGTAATCCCTGGTTCGGCAGTCGCGTTGGAAGCTTTAAGCGTGTTTTGGTTGTCACCGACGGACAGTCAAACATAAAACGGAATCAAACGCTTCGGAATGCCATGGAGCTTAAACTTTACGGAGCTGAGATATTCGTGGTTGGAGTAGGAGATTATTTGGATGGAATTGACGAGTTGGCTCATATGGCCAGCTCGTTAGATGCGCATCTGTATAGAGCTGGTGACATGCAAGGGTTTATTGAGATCGTAAAGCTGATTACGCCTGTTAGTTACAGACGTGATTGGGCAGCTGAAATGAGAAGGCTGAGAAAAGCGTTCATTGTGGGAAGACAATGAATCGACAAGCAATTGTCAACTTTATCCACCGATTGACTTCAATTATTGTTTGTTTACTACAAGCTTCCGCCATATATTAACTCACTCTGAAAACTCTCGCCTTTGGTAATGAATATCTGTCAGAGGGTGCACTGAACTGCCTTTCTCCACTCGTGTGAATTCCAGGATCCCATGAACTGAAAAATACAGAGGTGTCGTATGTAGAGAGAGTGGGAAAGACGCCTGTAAGCATGTCTTCCTTGGGTCTTTTTGGCCTTTTGCTATTTATACTCTCGAATTCACTTGCGGCTCAAGAAAGAAAACAATAAACGACAACAACAACAACAACTATATTGGGACAGTTTATGTTATAGATTAACTCTTGAGACCTGCGGGTAACGTATTCTAAGCGTTAGTTGAAGTGGCCCAAGACAGGAAACTATTTGAACAAGTATATACTGATATAAAATACAAACCTAGACGCAATTTAGATTGTATTGTCAAATTCAAAGTATGTATAAAATAGGTTGCAATAATTGTTTTTGAAATATTGCTAGTACTGCTTTCCTCTGTCAAGGATTACTTCCGTACGTTGTTATCCTTATACTATTGCCGTGCAGGGCTTGGAAAAAGATAAAGATATCTTAATGTATTGTGCAGAAATTACAGAAATTACAGAACAGGCGCCGCACCCCTCGTTTCCCCGGTCCGTGCGATTGACCTGCATCCATCTAAACCTTTTATTTCATTAGTCCCTATAAGCTGTACTACCTATTGTTTTTCAGAGACAGGGGCATTGTTATGTCACTATCCCTATCCCTGCACACATGGCCTGCAGGACGCATGACCAATAACAAGGAAAATATGGTCTGCAAGTTCGCTTCATTTCAGACTGATTACTTGTCAGAAGTATTAAAATGACTACCAATAAAGTATTTTGTATGATAAACATCATGAAGAAACTGAGTACTGCTCTAAATTCTAAAACATTCATTTCTGGGTTCAAAAGAAAAACAAACGAGAGAGTGACTCATTTGCACAACTCAACCGATTACACAACCCACTGGAAATAACTCGTGAGGTACCCTTCCGGTATCCACGAGTTAAAAATCAGTTGAACGGTGAATCGAAGTGCAGTACCTAATTGAAATTCAAGTTCGAATCAGTTGGGTTATAACAATGAAATGTATTTGTAATAATTTTATTTCATACAAATACAGTGAAGAGCTAGTGAGGTCATATGTGACTTTCAACTTAAAGTCTTCCCAGAGGATTCGAATTATCTTCTGTTCCACCGAAAATGTCATCAATCCAAGGCCTTTGTCCTCTTTCAGGAATAAGCTTGACTATCTCTGCCAGTCCTCTCATGTTCATCACTCGGTACATGTGAGCGCCAGTTGAGCTTGCCATTTGAACCATTTCTTGTATCCCGTCCAAATACTCGCCCACAGCAATCACAAACACATCAACTCCCTGCAGCTTTAGCTGAACAGCACTAGGGACAGTTTCTGCACGCTTAATATTGGACTGGCCATCTGTCACAACAAGAATTCTCCTAAAACTTCCCTTGCGAGCGCCATATTCATCTCCAGCGAACATCTTTTGACAAAGTTTGAGGGCCTCCTGGGTGTTTGTCTTTCCGCCAGAGCGCTTGATGCTGCTAAATTTTTCTATCGCTTCGTCGCTTAAGGAGAAGTTGAACTGAACTTGGGCGTGGCTCGCGTAGGTGATTGCCGCGTAGTTTGTGTCGTTGCGGGATTTTTCAACGAGTTGTTGCAAAGCTGCTAATCCTTTGGCAAATTCTCCACTGCTAACGGAACTCGAGGAATCAATAACCATAATCGCATCAAAGAAGTTTCGAAGAACCTGCCTTTTGTGAATTCTTCTTGTGTCGCCACCGAGAAAGTACTTGTACAGCTTTCTTGCTGTTTCCATGGCAGGAGGAACCCTCTGAAACCCTGTTCGAGTAAAGGGGTAGGAAAACAAAGTCGAAAGTTGTCGAAAGACAATGGAGAAACATCTTTAAAAAATTGTCGAGATGCGAAAAATATCATTAGCGTGAGACAAGACTGTTGGTAACATTCACGGGCAGTGGGCGGAAGTCATCATTCAAAGTCAGTTGTGTATCACCAGTTGATGGTATTTGACTCGATTATTTAGTGTCAATACAGTCGTCTGTTAGTTTTTAGCGATAGTGGCTGCACAGCCTGTATTTAAACCACTTGCGCTTGTCCTACGTAGCCTTGAGGCTCGTTGCCAAACATATTCACTTGGCCCCTTCATATCAGTACAGCAAGAGAGAGAGAGGGGTTTATAGAGTTTTGTTTCTCGAAGATATATGTCTATGTGACTCTGTTAACCAATTCAAAGTGTAGAGATAACGAACAGGGAAAAAACTGAGTTTTGAATAAAGCCCCAACTTAAGGGCAGACGGGAAATCCCTCTGTGCCTATTACGCTTTGGTTTTAAATTCTCGCTCGTAATCTGCTGTCACAAATCATGCCAGCGACAAGACTTGGACATCGAGGACAAATAAATGAATGACTACCATGGCCTGTACTATACTCAGTATACCGGTACTTCAGGTTCCGGTCGCGGAAAGGCCGATTAGTGCTAATCCATTATTTGAATTTTAATCCTCGATTGTATTTACCTTGCTACACATTGTTGATTGTTTAACAGGATCATTTTCGTGCTTTGACAGTTACACAACTGGATCTCCGAGTGAAGGCTCGAAAATATCTTGCAAACTCCCAGCTGGCTTAACCTTAGGTTAAACTTAACTATCTTTCAAGGAAACGGAGGAACCGGGCCCAGAATATTTACAGCTGTTTATAAGCAGGAACTTCTGTAGTTGTGGTGCAGAGTTGTTTTGTTCAAGTTGACCTTGCGGTCATATTTAACACTACCTTCTTCACGTTCCACTCATCCTCCCTCAAAAGACAGCAGTAAGTGTACTTACCCTCGTAGTAATCAACGTTTTTTACATTCTCATCTCCAAATGATCCTTTCCCTGATGTCAAAACTACGAAAATGACGAAGGAAATTGTAACCAGTTTGAACGTCATCGTGTTCACTTTATTTGCTGCTGCTGATGTCTCCTCGCTGCGCTGCTACGCTGGGTCATTTGATATGTGTCCACTTAAATTACAGCGCAGCGTGGTTCAAGTAACAAATAACATCCATGAATAATAGACAAGTAACGAAAAAACTGATTGGAAAATAGATCAAACATTTTGCACTTGGGTTATTTTTGTGGTCTTGTGGACGGGTCCGATCCCCAAATGACGTAATACAAAAGATTGATAAGGGACCCACATCACAACATAATAGCTAACCGACAATACTGGTTTTTTCAACAAGAAACGTCCACTTGGTGGGTATTGGAAAGAGCATTGGAGAAAGGGACTTCCATTCCCTCGGTGGCAATGGCATAGTGATCACTTAAGTCATGCATAGGACACTCTCGCGGAGACCTGTTCTTTGTACCACTTGTAGGCTTTGGGAGACGATGAATCAGTTTCAGCGTACTGCAGTGCAGTGATGTCTGGAATACGTGGCTATTCTTTTCAGCAGCGCTTGTCTCTACGCACCTAGCCTGCCTAACAGGCGTTATTTTTCGCGTTTTCAAACAGTGACGCCTGAACCTAGCGAAGGCAAGCACGAAGCGACTAAGGAGCACCATACACGCGCGACGGGGAAGGCGCAAAAACATAAATCCACCTTTCGCGCGTGTCTCGTGCTCCACGCCCGCCTCAGGCTTGCCTTCGCGCGCCTAGCCTGTTCCAGGTTCTCAAATCGGTAGGGATGACGCGTAAATGGAAGGCACCTGAAAATATAAGCCGGTGATCTGGGAAAAGGAGGTGGTGGCGCCACCTTCCTCCCGTTTTATTTTCGTGTTCGCGCTTTCTCAATTTCGCCGACCCGACTTCTGTCTCGGAGTCTGGAAGAGGCTCTACCTAACGCTCGCTTCAAAAATGCGAAAAATAACGCCAGTGATCGCACGCGAGATATGGGAGGTAAAAATAACTGAGACATTCGCCTGGGCTAAGGTACCAGTCTGTTCAGAAGTTGTACTGTAAGCGTCATTCGACTCACGTTTGCTTTTCGTACTCGCACTTCCTTTAATCGGCCTTATCGAAAAATGTCAATTCTCCTTTGTGGTCCTATCGACGAAGTGGGAAGAAGTTGTTAAAGTATCAATTTAATTCATTTTGTGTGATAACATCCTTAATACTCTTGACCACTCTTAGAAGGCATAGAAATTACAAGGAGAAATTTGACGCTGATCACTCGAATGGCCTGTATCGACGAAAAGATGGCCATTTTTAGCATGTTCATTGTGTCGCGTTCGGTTTATTGTATTCTACCAATAGAGAACACAAGGAGTTTAAAAGCTTTAGAATTGTATGTAGCATTTACGGGCAGCCGTCGTCCTATCTATATCGCATGATCTATATAGCCTACGTGACAGCCGCAGAAGATATAGGGAGTTCAAGCAAAGCCGTTTCATGTTAAGTGCGAAATTCAAACGGGAGAGCGGGGAACGTATTGCATTCTTGGGTAGTGGTTTTGGTCAAATTTTCAATCGTCTCTATAAAAGACACTTAGCGATACAAATTTAGTAGAGTCAAGGCATACTAATTGAGAAAAGGCCTTAGTCCGGTTGACATGCGTCCCTCAAAAAAGCCTTTCTTATCCTCCCTAATATGGGGCGCGCGTGACTAAGTGATGCGCACAAAAGAGAATAAAGGTAGTGTTTGCTCTCTCTCGCGAGTCCTCATCCCTTGCGGAGATTGCCGAAGTTTTTATTCGCTCCCTCGCCAACAGTTCCAAGGTCCAGTATTCGCGCCTTATAAATTTCTCAAGCTCAAGCCACGCGGGCAATCCAGGATCTAACTTGGGAAAACCTGGGACAATCAGTGAATTAGCAAAAAATAATTCTAGTTTTACTATTCCAGGCAAGCTACACATTAAGTGTTTGGCTCAACTAGCGTAACTCGCGTAAATGAAGTCAGATGTATTCTAACAATAAAGCCGTTACACTGCGTTTTATTTAACTATTCGACTATCAAAATGGTATAAAACACCTTCAAAATATAGAGTACAAAAGTTTACTTACAGGCGACCGAGATGTTAACCGATACGTTGGTCGACACTCCGATCCCTTAGGACACAAGATCCTAGTTTCTCAGGTAATAGGCTAGCCAGAATTGTCCACCATTAAAAGTACATGAAAAAGGCCAAAAAGCCCTTTCTCTGAAAACAATCTGTTTCAGTAATGCAGGTTGAAACAGGGTTGACAAAAGCCAGGTCCCCAGGCGTCCTTAACTTGGTCAAACCCGGACCCTACTAGGAGAGCTCACGTCACCGATCGAAAACGGCTCACCCACCCCTTCCCAAAATTTGCCTAGACAACGGGGCAAGAGAGAACGCCACGACACTGGGCTATTCGTCCTGTGCATGCAGTATGCAGTCAGTGTGTTTTAAGTTTCCTGTCAGAAATTCTGTTAAGTGGGACTATCCTTGGTTCACCCTTGCTATCTGTGAAGAAGCTTTAATTAATATTTTCGCTGTTGAATTTTTACATCTACGAATCTTGACAGTGCCTTACTTGTTATCCCTATTTTATTCCTGTTATTTGCGAATGTTCATAACCACAAAAATTCTTACACCTTCTTAAATAGTAAACTTACACAGTATGTTCTTATTAAAAGCGACATTATTTTAAAAATTCGTGCCTGCAATCGGTCATTCTGATAAATGGGGTCGTTCAAAATACGCATGCGTTCAGTCTAAAAACCACGCAACCACGACGGCGACGGTAACGAGAACGTCAAAAACGCAATGAGCGAAAAAAAAAAATCTTTCTAGTGCGAATTTCACGTTTTTTTCTTTTTCTCGACTTGGGTATGGTCCTCAAGAATTCAACGCCAGATTATTTTGCAACCACTTCACAAATGGACAAGGCGGAACATAGAGACTAAGTTTCAAACAGCACGAATTCACTTTTTATGTGGCGACATTTTTCACTGCCGTCGTAGTTGCTTGGTTCTATCTATGCCGATGACCTCTTCAAGATACAAGTAGTGACGAGGTCACGGTGAGAGAAATGTTATTCGATCTAGACAAACTAAAATAGTTGTAGCATCTCTCATGAGACCATGCTTAGAGTTTGAGTTGGAATTCTCGTTCTTATAGAAAATACTTATGACTTAAAAATATACCTTGGGATATAGGCTCATCCCTTTCGGTTTTAAACGTCTAATCCTACCTGCTCAAAAGCAATGAAGATTAAACAGTTATACTGATCAATTACGGATAAATGGGCTTACACAAATGCCGAAAGCACACTGTGCGTTAGCTGACTTCTGTAACAAAAAACGAATTAAACTAGATGGAAATATACTACATCCTTTGTAAAAAAGACATAACAAATTTTAAAAGATCATGGGCTATTAAGCCAACACGTTCTCACAACTCGGCACCCATGCCACCCACACTACTACAGAGCAGTAAATGGCTGAAAGTTTCCTTTTTAGCGAGGCAATGGCAAGTAAGGAGTGTGATAGCCTATACTTAAGTGAAGCACGGTATTGAATAGAGTAACCTTCCCTGTTCTTTCCTGCAAGCTTGTGCATTAATCACGCGCGACTACTTTGTCCCATGGGTACTTTTCTCGTTTTTGTTTAAGCAGTGAAGGGGCGTGAGGAATGGGGATAAGAGAATGACTCGGCCGCCACAAAGCCTTCAGTTACGGTAGTCTGATCCCGCCAGCTACGCAGGCTAAACGCAGATAGGCATCAAAGACTAAGATAGAGATTGCACGAAGGAGTGTATGAGGTATTACAACGGCATTCGTACATATACACAATCTTTACCGCAACAGTTATTCCAAAAATTTGAAGACAAGAACAAACCAACAACAAAATCCAAACCATAGAGAAAACTACCCAAGTCACGTGCACGCATTCAACTTTGTAGTAGCCGGAAAGATACTCTATTACCGCTTCAACATCAAAATAGAAGGCTAAAGAAATGGGCCACTTCGTCCATTCACATCCTGACTTGGTCGGTATTTGTAAGTGGGCGGTTTATTCCACAGTTCAATCTGTTCCTTAATCTGATTTATGAACAAATGAGTCATGACAATTCCAGCAACCTGTGCATGAGGAGTAGAAGAAAAGGGTTGATTATCAAATGTGGATGGAAATGACACGAGAACTTAGGGCCCAGACCAAACGTCGAAGTTTTCATGAGACGAACCAAACTCTAATTTGGGTCATCGACCTAAATTAAGTTAAGAAGGTCTGCTGGGTCAGATGTCTTACTTAGGCGCGTCGAACCAATCAACTGAATCAGACAAAAAAGCAATTTTCAGTAAATTTTCTCGCGAACGCGGCCAAAGATACATTATCATAAAAATCTTTAATCTATTAGTTTAGTTCGACGCAAGTGAAGATCGACGTTTTCCGCGGAGGCGATCTTCAAACGTTCTATACGTCTGAAGCAGACGGATAGATAGAACGTATTGGACGATCCAAACTCATTCACACGAATTTAACTGCGCCATACGCCGAACTTTTCATGAACTTAACTCAATAAGTTTGGTTCGTCTTATGAAAGGTTTGACATTGACATTTGGTCTAGGCCTAAAATACTTCAAAACTCCTAGCAGTCCCTTTTCAGTCTGTCGAGTTGAAGCTTTCCAGGACTCAGACGACAGCGAACTACGTAGTTCGCTCGCACTTAACCTGCTGCGCATGCTTGCGCAACAATACTGAATACTTCCCTTGATGACTGCCCGACTAGCTGTTGAGATAACAGTGAGAGGTGGACGGGGGAGGTGAGATCATGACAGCGAGATTTTGCACTTCGGAATGTAACTTGCCCCAAGGGGGAGGGGTTACGGTGTGATCATCGCAAGTAAGGGGGAGGGGGTGGGGAAGGGGTTTCGGGTGTGATCATCGCAGTGGTAACACGCCTGATTTTTCAGACCCCAAGGGGGGGGGGAGGGGGGGTTAGGGTGTGATCATCGCAGTGGGCTTTTACAACACACGATTTTCTTGTCCCAATGTTCTCTGGGCTCCATCGCAGCTACGGAAGACAAATGAACCTGTTCTACAGACCAAAAATGAGCTTTCCCACTCTATTTTAGACCAGAACTGCTGCTTTCGTTCTCGTCTGAGATGACTTACCTCGGGGAAGGCAAAAGCTACAGCAACTGCAGCCACAACGATAAGATGGTTTCTGAACCAGTCCCAAACAGCATCTAGGCAGCCAGTAATGTAGATCCTACCCTTTAGTGCCAGCCGCTATAGCAAAAAAAAAGAAAACAAAAACACTGTTAAAAAATGTTTGCTGAAAAAGTACGGCTTGATTGAGATGAATGATGTTGGCACAGTCAGACCCCGTTAATACGGATACTGAGGGGGCCATAGAAAGTGTCTGTATTAACGGGGTGTCCGTTTTAGTTGTCCAAATTTTAGAGAAAATGTAAGGGCTTTCTTTTCCCAGGGACAAAGCAAACTGTCTGCAATTCGTAATCCGGGGGTTTGTTGACTCTTTTGGATGAGAGGTCACTTGCATGTCCAATAGGTATTAGTAAATCCAACTAGTGGTCTATTATCAATGCTGCGTTCTGATTGGTCAGCTACTACTAGGCTATATGTTATAGCCCACTTGTAACGAAAAGGGCCGTGGTGTAGCTTTAGCTAGCTAAAGTTGTCTTGTCTCGATATTTTTGACCAACTAGTTGCATTTTACTAAAAGAATTATACCTCTCGCCCTCAGCCATGGCCTCTGAGTCAATAGCTATTGACTCAGAGCCCATTCGGACTCGAGGAATAATTGTTAATTAGTAAAATCCAACTAGTGGTCTATTATCAATGCTGTGTTCTGATTGGTTGAGCTACTACTGGGCTATATGTTATAGCCCACTAGTAGTGAAAAGCACCAGCAATTTGGTGGGCTAAAAAGATTAAAGTGTAGCTTTAGCTAGCTAAAGTTGTTTTGTTTCGATATTTTTGACAAACTAGTTGGATTTTACAAAAACAATTATTCCTCTCGCCCTCATGGCCTCTGAGTCAATAGCTATTGACTCAGAGCCCATTCAGGCTCGAGGAATAATTGTTAAATAGCATGTTGAGGTTTAACAGCATAATCTGGTCGATTACGACATACACTGCTGTACTGCATTTGTACAAGCCTTGGAATAGAGGGTTCTGTAGCAGCTGCTTGTAAGATGTCTTGTCATTATTGCCATTAACGTACGGTTACGGTAGCAAACCAGTTGGTTTTTAGGGTTAGGAGAGCTGCTACTGGGAGTAGACCCTTCTGCGGTTTCTTCAATGTTTGACTGAGACAAGTTAGTGAAAATCAATCAACACTGACAGAAGGAACCCCTTGAAATCAGTAAAGTTGCCAAGTTTGAAAGTGATTTTTGTTAAAAACTAACAAAGATATAGCTCCTCACATTCACAGAATTTTACAGACGTTTTTCTGGTGGTGGCAAGTTTGTGCTCCCTACCATACATGTACAAACGTCTGTAAGACTTGGCAACTCTGTGGAGCACCATGTTTGCTCTCTTTGAACGAATCACCTTTAAACTTGATAAGTTAACTTATCAGGCATTTTGAGGCTTTCTTTCCAGCATTGTCGATGAATATTAGCTTACTGCTCTTTGAAAAAAGAGTTGAAAAACCATGGAAGCATCTACCGCACATGTACTTTACACATACGCTTACAAAGAATGGAAAAAATACTCACATGTTCTTCTCTGACATGCCAGCCGCATTGTATGTTAGGTCTCTATAAAATTAATAGTTTAACAGAGTGTACAGAATTAAAAACTTGCCATCATGAAAAATACATGTAAATATAGTAACTAATGGTTAGGCTCACACAGACTATACTGCTATTTAACAATTCACTGGCAATTTTTCCACATCATCAACACACTCGATCATTGCTCATAAAAAATACTTCCATGAGCATGTTTAACACTTAAAGGGGCTGTGACATCAGGGCTGGCTAGTTTGCTTCATCTGTAACAGTATTACCTCGTCTGGTTCACGCACACAGCAAGAATATGGAACACCACACTCCTCTGGGGAAGGTCCACCACACTTGAAATACCGGTTAATATCCCAGTCATTGAGATCTGAGCTACCACAGCACTGGAACTGTAAAATGAATGGCAAATCATTATCATCATCATTTATTAGCCTTTGTGTTAGAAAGGATACAGCAAGTTGTTAGGCGAGGAGACCTCAATGTATAATTACAGACCTGTCAACTAGTGAGCTTGATTCCTGGCTACTTTCAAATGAAACAAATAAAAATAGACTGAAAAGAACTTTTTGGTTTTCAGTTCTCTGACTACTTATTGCAACACACATGGCAACTTGAAATCTTACTGAGAGCCCCATATTCTATTCCTGTATATAACTTGTCAATTCAGTTCAGAACCTTACAGGGAGTAACAAACTTCAGATGAAAAATAGCTGTACCTTAAATGAATTATTATTATTATCTCTATCAGTATTATATGGTGAACCTGTGCAGACAATACTGGTGTTCTAACTTTGTAAAAATTATGCCATCCATTATGACTGTAATAAGGTCAATTGATTGTCAGTGGTGTCAGAATCGGGCATCGGGCTGACCAGGGCCACATATTACATGTAACTGTAATGCATGCACTGCCCAGAGTATTACTATTTTTTTAAAAACTGGTTGACATGTGGGCTAAAGGTAATTATTTTTTGTGTTTCTTTGATATAGTATTTTTCATGTCATTTGGCAATCAATAAATTGAATGCTCTTCTGTAGGCTGCTAAAACAAATTGTAAGCCATTCTTGTATGAAATTTTTGGGATAATTCTCTGGAATAACCAAGGTCAAGATATAAAGTGTTATTCAGCCGAGCCAAAGGCTGAGACGTCCTACAATGTAAATATTATTAAGACAGCTTTGCCTCATAACTTACACTCTCTTGAACAGAGTCAATTGCATTTTGCAGATCAATGTTGTCCCTGTACTGTTCAATGGCCTTTTTAAACTGACTGTCAACAGACTTTTGAACCTGACAAGCAAAGGATATATTAAGTTATGCATGGAAAAATATAATCAGTCCAATAATCATTAGAAACTGGTTGACAGTGTAGTTTGATGTAAATCAGAGTTACTTTTATCCTCCCCCTGACACCATGTTTTCTGACAAACAGTATATTTAAACCAGTGAAGTTTCTACAAAAGTGCACAAAGTGTTCATAGAATACTATGCAAATATAATTATATTGACTTCCTAACATGCGAGAATATCCTTATATTTATGTAATGAAAATAGAATGTGATCATCAGCTGTAACTGAGCCTTGAATCTGCTGGCATGTACACTGAAAATCAATACACTTCTTTATTACAAGAGGTAATCAACATTGCACAACTACATGTAATCTTTTTAAACCTGTGGATCATTTTGTAGTAAACTTATTTAATAATATAATTGCTTTTTAATACCTCGGGCCAAAAGGCAAAAGCAAGTAGTCCTGCAATGACTTCCAAAATGACTATAATGATCATCACAATCATATACTGGAAAGTAAAATATGTCAGAGTTAATGACATTGTCAGGGTGCAAAGAAAGTCAGTTTTACAGCCTGCCATTCGGGCAAGCTGTAGTTGGCATGCACTCGCCCACAAGTCATTTCAACTAGCCCCAAAACCCTTAAACGCTTTTTGATTAGCAGGTTTGATTACAATCCTTCTGTCATTTGAATTTGCCGAAAAAAACAGCACTTGCACATTGGGCAAGTTAAGAACAAAAATCACTAGCCCGATCTAGCAAAATCCACTAGCCCTGGGCTATTGGACACGTCTTTCTTTGCACACTGATTAGTTCACATTGTGGACAAGTTTTATGCTTGTGAAAGTCAATCTCAGTCTCCAGATCAAAAATTACTCAGTATTGAACGATCAAGGATGGGTCGTGATAATACATGAATTGAAGCTTTTAAGAAAAGAAACAGGACCCGAGAAAACAATAAAAATTGCTGTTAACATGGTGGTGGTAGATTTTTTATATACTTGCCTCATAAACTTACTGATTGATCTCTAGTAATTTGCATGTAAATTAAAAGACTTGTTCCACACAACTTTGGGAGGGATCCTAAGCTGACGCTAATGTGAACACAGGGCTCAAAATAGCCTGCGAAAACAGCTATCTCTCCTTGCTTTTTGCCAGTATGGGTGTTTCATAGGAGAGACATCTGTGCCTCAGTGACAGAAATTTCACACTGATGATCTAATATCTGTCTGGAATCTGGTCAGGAGCTCTGATTAGTTGACGTAGTGGTTATCTTGTCTAGCAATTGTTTATAAATGACAGACAAAAAAACAAGAGGCCACAAAGATGAAATGTAAGCAAGATGAATCTAAATAAAAAACAGTCACTATTCATGGTGAATGCTGTTCTTCTTTAGAAGAAGCATGAGTTTTGCTGGAGCTCGTTCGCAGAACACAAAACTTTACCAAAACTGACCGTGAGAAACCTAAAGTCTAACAAATTTACAAGTACATTTGGAATCCCAAGACTACCGTACTTATTATGTAAACATTGATTTACGTCATCAGTATGGACATTTCTGTCACTGAAGTGCAGATGTCTCTCCGGACCAGGGGACCAGTGGCAACAAACTTAATTTGAAACACAATCTTGTACCTGTTTGGTTGTTTTAAGAAAAGTTTCCCTATACTTACAGTTTTAAGAAAACAGATATTCTCCCTGAGAGCACCCACTGTTCCAAAAAATGAAATAATGAAGATAAAAGCCCCAACAGCAATCATCACTGCTGCAGGGTCTGTTGAGATGCTGGAGAACTCGTTGTATTCACTCTTTTGAGTGACTGCCCACAGACCAACTCCCATCATGACACCACCAATGCCCTAAGGTTCACAGAAGGAAAGACAAAAAATTTTACTTTTAACTTAGTGAATAACATGTGCATCATGTACTCTTAGCCTCAAAATCCACATACAATTTCTCCAGACTTATCTCCATACATTTCCTTAAAAAAATAGTTGAGAGAATTTGTTACAAGATGTAACATTTTTTCTTACGTGATCATTTCATTAATTCTCATGCTACAGGGTGCAAAGAAAATCATTTTCTTTTACAACTTGCCATTTGGACAAGCTGAAGCTAGCATTTACTAGCCCAGACGTCATTTCAACTAGCCTCAAAGGTTTTTTGAAGAGCAGAATTGATTTCACAGTTCTTCTTTTACTTGAGTCTGTCCAAAAAAATCACTTGCCTGTTGGGCAAGTTAAGAACAGAATTCACTAGCCCCAAAACAAAATCCACTAACCCCGGGCAATCAGACACTAAATTCTTTGCACGCTGTGCTATCCTTATTTTTTACCAGGGCTTGAAAAAAAAAAAAACCTTGAATTCCAGCTTGTCCTTTGGGCAAGCAGCTCTCACATTTCGCTTGCCAAAGGCCACTTCTTGATCATCTTAGTTAATGATTTTATTAGAGGATGACATGCCTAGATCCTTGCTCATTGGCCAAGTGAGCTTTAAATTTAAAAGTTACTTGCCCTGCAAGGAAATAGTTTTGTCCTGCACACTAGATGGGGCTTTTTTTGAGTGTTTTTTATGTATTGATATTCTTAGGAGAAAATTAATGTTGGTTACTTTTGAGATTTAAAGGGTCATTGGAAACCCATAATAAAAAATTGCCAAGAGACCAAAATATATTTGACATGAGGTTTGTGTTTAAGCAATAGAAAACGCAGGTACTATCTTAGTTATTTTATAAATTGAGTTCTAACACAGTCTTCATAAACTGTATCTCACTGTAATACCATTATCAATCAACAGAGATGGCACTACAGTACAATAATTTATACAAGAGGAAAGTATTAATAAAAAGCATTTTAAATTTTCTTTCCTCCAAGAAATGCCAAGGAGAGCCTGCCCTCTTACAGTTTCATTGGCCCAAAATGATCCAAAATAACCCAGAAGTTAGGTGAACAGGAAATGTGAAAGCCATTTATAGAACTTGACATAGAGTGTATTGTCCTCAATATTGAACATAATATGCCACAGGTCTAAACATGATGCTAAAATCAAACCATAGAAGTAGATTGAGATCTGAAAACTTCTACAGAATGTAAAGTAAGAGGTCAGCTAATCTCGGGTAGCACGAGTTTGTTAAGAGCTTATTTAAAGTAAAACAGACCGAAGAAAGAATAATAAGCTCACACAAGTAGAATATTAACATGGGAATCAAATCTGCTTCCCAAAACCACAAAACATGTAACAAGGTATTATCATCTAAATAACAATGAACATGCAAGCTCACAAGTTTATCATTCGCCTGGTGTGAACATAAAACACAAAACACCTGATGATAGCAAAGGAAAAATTTGATAAGAAGGAATTATTTTTTTTTATTTTGAAGCTCGAGTGAGGTTTGAATTTGAGGTGCCTAGTAAATAATTGTTTCGACCCCGCAAATCCGATTACAGACATTGAAATGGTTTCTTCAAGAGATAAACGCAACTGAAACATTTTCATTTCTTCTCGATAGCTTCAAGGAACCTTGAGGAAGAAAACTGTTGACAATTTCGTATGTGAGGAAAACGGGAAAATTTCAATTGAATTGCAGCTAAATTACGTTAGCCATCTACCTCCAAAATAAGCTTATACATTGTAAACATTCGGTACCATTTCCTCGACTTACCCAGTACAACAGGTTGAAGGCAAAAAGCACATACTTCAAGACTTTACTAACTTTTCCTTCTGTTGCCATCTTTCTCACAAGGAAAGAGCAAAATATTGGCTCGAGATGCTGCGAATTTCACAGGGGTGGTCCTTCTTGAACGACGCTGACCCGTGCATACATTAACATAGATTAGCATGCATAGTTAGGATACTAGTTCCAGGCTTCGCACAGAGCTATTCCAAACTTTTTGGAGCCTCAGTAACTAACACCCGCGAAGTAGTCCTTGTTCTGGGACCCCAGCGGACTCATCGAATCGTCAGAAGAGCTTTTCGAATTTCCTTTCATCTTGATTGGCAAATCGACAATGGTATTTTCTGAACAGGCCAATTATCATGGCGCGTACTCAAATCTTGGTACACAGTTGGTGGCCCAAAACAAGGATTTCGGAGCTGCGCAGACGGAGTTAACCAGAATTTAGTTTCGTCTGCGGCGCAGGCTATTTTTGGGACGGCTTCTGAGGTCAAATCACTATGGCTTTCCACAAGCTGCTCGGCAACTTTTTGGAAACTTCTCATATTTCGAGCAACTTTTAACATTCTGAGAAATTTCTAGTTTTCTACTAATTCTGAGATATCGAAACAGCTTTCGGGGGCGTAGCCAGGATTTTTCCAGAGGCACGCACAAATTTCCAAATCCCATCCCCCCCAAACCCTATAGAGTGCAAAATCTTTTTCTGGTTCCTTGATTAAAGGTGAAGCTACGTTGTAGGCCTAAGTGTTTTTTATTGTACTGTGAAATGACGGTTTTTCAAAGAAGATTCAAAATGGCGGACGCAGAACGTAATTCAACAATTCTATTTGCACATGCTAAAATTTTCACAAGATTAATATTAATATTGACGCGTAGTCTTTACTTGCACAAAAATACTTAGAAATCTTAAACTTGTTGTAAAATTTGCATATTTTAGCATCAAATCAAATATAGGAAGAGAGCACCAAGAAAAGTTTTTGTTTTTTCGAGCAACGTTTGAGCAACTTTCGTTACAAAAAGCAACTTTTGACTATTTTTAAAATAATTTTTGAGAAACGTTTTGAGAAATTACGGGAAATTTTTGGAAAATATCGAGCAACATGTGGAAAGCCCTAGTCATATCGGCTCCATGTTGACGTTTAACAACGACAACGAACCTTTGTACCCTCTCCCCACCCAATACATGCTCTTTGCTGAGTATAAATAATTAACGAGCTGAATGAAAATTAGGTGAAAGAAAACAGATCCCTATAAGTCCTATAACACACAAGATGCAAGAAATATGTGAACACAAAAGTTTAGAAACAGAGGGATCAATTGCCTTTTAATTGATATTATCCTGGTTAATAAAAAGTTGTCGATATCAAGCTAAATTTTGGTCGATAAGAAATTGATCATAAGAAGGTTGAGTATGATCGTCCCGGTGAACGTAATGCTGAATAAGACTGTTGTTTTTGACAGTGACTGACGTTTCGACAACCTGTGCGGTAGTCATCTTCAGAGTCAAAGTGAGTTGTGTCACGTCAGTTGATGGTATTTAACTCTGTTTATCGACCTGATTGGTCAAGAAAGAAATTGATCGGAAGCAAGTTAATTTTTGCTCAACATACGGGATTTTTACGCCCGCCCTTCTGCCAACCATGTCAAGACATTCCATTTCCTAAGGCACCTAGGATGCAATGCGCACTGTAATAAAGTTCGCACGATATCAAGATACTGGATATTCTGAAGTTATCGGCCTCGCTGCTGAAAATGGGCTCTGCCTTTGAGAAGGTCTTCCATGTCGCTTGAGATTAAATATTATTTCCTTGTGTAATGGTTCCTCCTCTCACGGACCAGCCGATGACCCTTTAGGTCCTGGGGATGAGTTCAATGTCATCATCATAATTATCATCATCATCATTATCATCATTGTCCTCATCATCAGAATCATCATCGTCGTCGTCATCAGTTTTCCTTTTTTGAAGTCTGCCATCCTTAACGTCTATCTAACTTGGTCACTATGCGTCTGATCTGCTGTGTGTCCATTTTCAATGGTCAAGCGAATGTCGTCCATTTTGGTGATCTTACAGCGAAAAGCAGTTGTTTTTGAAGCTCACCATTTGTCATCCAGCCGAGGCGAGTGATATAATTAAGTGGCCGTTGATAGCACAACAACCTATTCAAAGCTGTGTCGTCTTTTCATGCGAGGACTATTGTTAGTTAGGTGGGATTACGGCAGCTTTTTGTTCGGTTTCTTTAATTAAGAACATTTGTATTACGTCACGAAGGCGCACAACGGTGAATTAAAGGCTATATGTACAGAGAATCACAGAAACACTTCCTTTATAATTTCTGCAAGTATTTTTAACAAACAACTTAATTGAGAATGTCCATACACAGAAACCATTCTTTATTTTTTTCTTACAAGAACATCTGTTTACTTGAGTTTTCTTAATATAAAAGAATTGAAATAAATAAAAATTTCAAACCGAGTCAGGAGCTTCTTATGTTCATTGCAAACTTTTATAACGGTAGCCTTGAATTAGACGTGCAAATACACTTGTAATCGATCGAAACTTTTATTGTTTTTTCATGTAGTTCTTAAGGTCTGGAAGTTTAACTCAGCAATTGATTTAGTTTATCTTGGCCTTCCTTGGGGGCGCATATCTTCATTTGAACAAACTTTGTTGTCATTCTTGTGAGATTGCTTCAGTTCCTCCTGTAGCCAGCGGGTTGGATGTTCGCTTCAAACACGCTCCTTTAATGAAAACGAAGGTATATAATATTCGATTAGTTTTCCTACTGTGTAAAACAAAATCCGGGGAATATTATTAGCATGTATCAGCGTTAAAATCACAGGATTTTTTAAGCGGGTGTGCATTTGGTTCTTCAGGGTCACTACTATTTTCTACGGCTACGGGATGAGAGGATGACATTTTCTTCAAAGTTGTTTTCCGCCTAAGCCAAGTTATGCAACAGCTGATGCAAGAGTGCTCACCGGAGCCGAAATTCAAAATAGCATGTTCATGTATTCACTCAGTTCTTATCACTATTCACAATAAGAACCGTGTGGAAAATAAATTTCAAGCATTCTCTTGGCTCTTGACTTCTAGACAGACGGTCTTCGTAGCTTACTTAGGGAGTCAGTTAGTTTCTCGTTTTCCAGCTACTCTCGTGCCTGGCTGATACTGCCAATATTTGACGGTTGGGGCAGCAGCAGTTATGCTATTTGTAGGCTTCTGAGATGGCTGTCAAAACGATCAATGAAAATGGTGAAAATTTCGGAAAGAATTGGAGAGTCTGACGCGAATCAAAAAAGTTCTACTGTTGGTCGAGTTTGCTTTAGTACTACACCCAAGAGCTAGTAATACCCATACCGGCTTAAACTCTATAGATAGAACTAAAACCGTGATTAAGTATTTTTTTTACAAACTAGTGTAACCATAGAGCTATAGAATTCACCTTACAATAGAGCAAGCTATCTTCTTCATTTCACGTTTTTCCCTTTCTCGTGTTTCTTGGTTGGAACTGAAGACTTTTTCAATGCTGTCAGACCTGATTGCATGTTAAACTGAAAAGGAAATGTGGAAGACATAAAAGAGGAAAAACTCAAATGTTGCGGTTATTTCACCATTAGCATCCGTATGGCCCATTTGTCAGTCTCACAGATGTTGAAATCAATTTTTACGACGTGATAACATTCATCTGATGTAGAATTGGCTTGAACGTCATTCTTGGCTATATGCAAGCAAATCCTTTCATACATGCGCACATGTCATAAAATGTTGGGAGACGTTAGTGAGCACTTACAGTGAAATTTGCTTACATTGTTTGATTCAATAATTCCACCACCTGTAGGTAACTGATCGAAGAACGAAGCCATCTCTTTTTGGGGCCCCATTGAGAACAGTCCGGCTTGCCCCTGAGATGTGCGGCCCTCTTCAGAAAACATAGGGGATGGTCTTGGCTGATCTCCAAATGCCATACTTGATGGATTAAATCCAGCTAACTGCTCTGTGGGAAGTAGATTTATCGTTCATCAGCAAAGGGTTTTTTCATCTGTGGAAAACATCATCACCACCAATACCACCATCCCTAATACCATTGCCGCCGCCACCACCACCACCATCACCCACCACTACCATCACCACCACCTTAAACATTAAACTAATTTTATCTTCATCCTCACCTTCATCCTTTTCCTCTTTCTCCTTATCATCATCATTACCATCATAACGATTTCACAGCTGATTAAAAAAGAGAAACAAACCTCCGTTAATCCCATTCATTTGAAAGGGCTCTGCACCATAACCTTGTCCATTTTCTGGCATTGAAGGCCTTGAGTTTCCATCAAAGCTTTCAAGAAGTCCACCTGAAAAAAAAAAAAAAGGATATTTGTTTTAATTTCTTACAGTTATAATTAATAATTAACTCATTAATCTACCAGTCAATCAATCAATCAGTCAATCAATCATTCCATGATATTTGATAGACTGTCAAGAGATCCAGGAAAACTTCTCTTTACATATAGTTGGGGCAGCATTGTTTCTAAGTAAACGTTATCAGTGTCGCAATTAAGCTTTAGTTTAAGCTAGAACGAAACTGTAGTGTACTGTTAAGGACATTCGAGATATAAAACCAAAAATCTTACACAAAGTGCTTAACTTCATACAAATATGTTACTTAGTGTACATGACGAATTAGCTTCAAAGGTTCAGTCACTCGATTTACCCGCCAGATGGACAATAGAGAGATACGCAAATTGCTAACACCAGAAAGTAATTTTACAGGCTTTGCACTGAGCAAAAGAAAGAGGATAAGAGCGGAGCCCCAAAGTCCTCCTCCATCAGAATTCATATGTGATGGGCTTGGCGGCCAGGAGCCCATCAATATCATGGGCTCCTGTGGTGGCCCATACCCGTCCAGCTTCGTCACCACCTCTCTAAAGTATCCTTTTAGAGTTTACTGCTATAAAACGATGACTCCCGCAATTTACATTTTTTTTAATATAAAAAAGGCCTTCCTACAGGTAATATCATGATACTTTGCCGGAATAGAAAGACGATCACTATACCTCCCATTCCTCCTCTTAAGGCAGGTCTCGGGGACCACTGGCTACCAGCAGTGTTACTAAAAAAGTTCATATTCTGCATTTGAGGTTCCTTTACGAACGGATTACTTGGAAGAGAAGGAAATGCACTAAACGGTGCTATTCCCGGTATGTTTTCCCCTGGAAAGGATCCCATTCTCAAAGCTGGTAGGCCAGGCTGAGGTAGCTTGGCCGGAAACGCAGCTGCTCCAGCAGTCGACCCGAAAGCCATCTGTGGGGAAGGAATTGTGGGAAATGTTGGTAAACCAGCACCTGGACCAAACGGAAGAAATCCCGCTAGTTGACGTGACTGAGGTAAACCAGCCAGGAATTGACGCTTTGTAGCCTTCTTGCTCTTCTTCGAAAGTTTCCTTGATGGAGATCGTTTCTTTCGTGTAGCCATTCCTAAATAGAGGGAAAGTCGTAACCGTCATTAATTCATTTATTCTTTAATTTATCAATTCATCAATCCTTTCATTCAATCAATCAATCAGTCAATCAATCAATCAATCAATCATTCATTCATTCATTCACTCGTTCGCTAGTTCTTTCCTTCTTTTCTTCCTTCTTCCCTTTGTACTTTACTTCATCCCTCAGTCCATTCATTCATCCGTTTACCGTTCTTTAGATTATTCGCTGACTCATTCACGTTCATTCGTTCACCTTTTACTCATTTATTTCTTAGTAATCATGTGTTATCGAGCTTTAAGACTCCTTCCACGCAAGGAAAAAGGAGCACAAACGTTTAGTTAGTCATTCACAGGTTTGTCAACATTAAACCACCTGAACCGCCAGGTTGATCAACCTTGCATTGGTGTGCTGGCGTCAACAATTGCCGAGCGTCAACAATTCCCGAGCATTTCATAAGTCAGAAATCAGCGCGAGACCCTCATTTTCGCTGTGAAAATTAGAGAGTTAATCCGTCAAACATTCAATTATTTCAGTAATCTGCTACTGAGATGACCGTTTTCTCATTTCCTACCTACTATGCCCATTCCAGGCTGGACAGATAACGGCAGACTAATACCAGTGATGCTCGACAACTGACGTGAGAAACCCATCTGAGAAGGATTATATGCAGGCCTCATCTGAGGATTACGGAGAGCTGAAAGCCCCATTGAAGGTGATCCCAAGGCTGGGGAAGGCACAGAGGGAAGGCCAGAGCGGGCGATGGCATTCATTGCAAAAGGTTGTGTTTGTACAAGCGATTGTTGCGGAAATGAATACATCCTGAGAGATAACAATATTGTCTTTTAGACACCCTCCTAGGTAACACCGGCAAAGGCCAAAGTTGATTGAAGGGGCCAATAAAAAAATATTTTTTTCTCAATTATTATCCTACTAACTATTTAGGCCTACATGAACTTTCAAACATTCCCAGACCACACCAAGAACTGTGTTCACTTGTCTTGTGGTTCAAACGATTTACAAAGACCAATGCTTGCATAATATTTGATTGTACTGCTAGAGTTATGGGATTTGGGGTTTGTTTGAAGATGCCTAATTCTCAGGAAAACTCGGAAGATTTCGAGCCAACGCTTCAGAGCCTCTGGGTCTTTATTGGGTCTTTAGATAAGAGGTAATTCCTAAAATGCTCACGACTTAAACACACAAGTGGCGCTCCCTTTAATATCTCTGAAAAAAAGATATGGTGTTAGTATTCTTTGCTTAAACACCCCATCAGTTTGCCAAATATAGGTGGTGGAGATTGGGACTGTGGGGTGGGGTGGGGGGCGTAAGGGCGATGCTCAAGCTTTCCATTGGGTTATGTTATTTCTATTTTATAAAACCTGGTAACGAATACATGTAAACTTTGAACCATTGAACCGCATTGCACTTGTGACTACAACGATGGTGGAATAGAGATACTAATTATTTCATTTTCATCCCTTGAAAAGCTAACTCTCTTTTCTTTTCATCGAGTTTTAACCACCTTAATCACCCTCCATATGCTCCCATCTGGTTACGAACAAAAGAGCAACGAGGTTCAAAATACCTTTTGTTTACCTTGCGCTGTTCCTGATTCTTTAACTAGGGACTGATAATCAGTGAAATTAGCACTAAAAATGTCAACCCAGCGTGATTTTCAGTTTCATCGTTATTGTTTCAAATAACAGCTCTGAATTTTGCTATTTTGCTATATACTGGTGAAAAAGAGAACCATCATTCATTTCAAGAGGGGAAAGAAGTAGAAGCAGCTTACCTTTGTTCCAAGAGGCCTGGAGTATTTGTAACCGGGTATCTACAATCACAAAACGTCCGGAATCAGGATCAGAATGACTTTTATAAAAAATAATATTGAGTTAAAGGAGCTTTGTCACCAAATTTAGCAAAATTCAAACAACATACTGCCACCAAATTGAGTAAAACATTAAAATTAACGGCTCAAAACATTAAAAGAAGTTATGAATAACACAACAAACACAAAAGAAGGCACTGATGGACAAATTTGAAGGAAAAAAAAACGGACTTTGAAAACTTGTTTTCAAAATTCATTTTTGTTGATGGGAACGTTTGATGTAATGCTTTCAAGGACATATTTGTTTAATGCGAAGCTGTGCTTTTGTCATCTACAAGTAAATTCCTCGCTAACGTCAAGTCCATTCGTGAATAAAGACGCATTTTTTGGCAATATTAACCCCGCAAGGAATTAGGTATCCGTAACATAGCCCCTTTAAATCCAGTTTTGACTTGAAAAAGAAAGAAAGGGTAAGAAATTTATTTCTTGAAACTGTTTCAAAAGTATCTCAATTTCATTGTTGAAAATTCCCTCATTACAATTCGGAAGGTAAATGAACTCCATGTGGTTGATTAAATTCGGTTAAAAGTGTCTAACAAAAAAGAATACCAAGTTTACATTGCTGAAATTTAAAATACATCCTAATAACATTTGACTCTAACAGAGCATGCGTATTAATTGCGAGAAGAGGAATGACGCATTCGTCACCAGTTCTGGAGGACAAGGTAGGTTTTTTCAGGGGCGGCATCTTTGCACGAAATGAATGATGGTTCTTGAACATTTAGGTCTCTTAGTCTCTGACACTAGAGAATATATATATGTAAATGTTTTCGACTAAGAATGACATGAGCCACTCCTTTCTCGCAAGATGTATAATATAAATACTGCTAAACATAGCTCATATAGTCATGCTTCAAATTTGAACATGCACTTCAGTGAATGATAAAATGCCAAACTATCATGCCCCTATCGAAAACATTTACGTGCAATGCTCTATACTTAATTGATAAGACACTTTTACGACAAAAAGCATCGGTCTTATAGGCATTTTAATAGCATTTCATTTCTTTACAAAATTACACAAACATGATTTCGAATGCTTCTTTGAAATGTTGTGTCCCTCAGTATGCTGTTGTCACTTTGAGCCGAGCTTTATCTCTTCATTTATATAGTATTTTCCTCCATTTAAATGTTATAGTTATATCGTTTTTGTCGTTTTTGAGAAAATCATTCATTACTTTATAATTTAATCAAGACTAAAGTAGAGTGTTTAAACACTTTTCAAAAATGCATCTTACTGAAGTTAGTATTAGTTGTGATTCACGTTTGCAATTAATATCTGATTACCAATTTTATGAGTTTGTTAGGTTAGGTAAGTCATTTTAACTCAGGAATTATCTTTATTATAAGACCTAAGTTGTGAAGGTGGAAATCCCATGGGCCGATTTATGATTGGAGGTGAGACGATGGAAGATATCTGCCTTTTGTGCAACCGCTTTCTTCTTGACGACTTGCTGTTTTTGCCTTTTAGCTTCCTGGAAAAATCTCCCATCATTTGTTTAAGCTTTCTCGTTTTCTGAAAAGAAACAGGAGAAAAAATCTAAAACAACTGTATTTTATTTGGCATGAGAAATACAGGCACGCTGCCTTAAACTAAGAACTTAATTCGTATTCACAGGAAGAATGAGAGAACAAATTTACTGAACTGTTGTGGAGAGTTTTTAACGGGATGAAGGAAGCTAATCTTGTGTTTTATTGAATTGTTATCAGATGAAGAAACTATCATAGCCAATAAGAGTGACAAGGAACACGGAGACATGCCATTAAAAAAAACTCAAGAGGTCTCACGTGGCATGTGTAGCTTTTTTATTCTGTTTTGATTTGACGGATCATAATGAACAACTATTTAGAATAACCCTGAAGATACTATTTTTAATTGGTGTTATACAATGGCCAGGTAGTTTCGTGTAATAATAAAGCACTGGAAATGACAACATACACATCAAGTACTTCCTTACTTGCTTCTCTGAGTGCCGAGCCACGTGCTCCCTTGTCGTGTGAACATCGATGTTAACATCAGGTGCACCCACATGAATTGAATGTGAACGATGATTTAGTAGTTGGGGACCTACCATAGAATAAGGGTGCACCATGGGATAGGATGTTGGATAAGTCATCATGTGCTGAGCAGCGACCTACAGGAGGAGATAAATAGAACGCAAGGATATAGATACTTGGTCGGGGAAAGCTACAAGCGTCCAGACAGGTATGATAAGAGTAGGGAGGCCAAATGACCCAAATAGGCCTAAATAATATGAAATAAACGACGAAATGGTCGAAAAAATTGGAGGAGCTATGGGTAACTCTCTGACGTTGTTCTGAAAATAAGCTTAACAGCATAGGGAATCCCCAGCCAAACCCGGCAGAAAATAGAAAACTGCCCATTGATGATGAGAGAGTGAAAAAAATAGTTGCAGCTCCATTCATTGCGACCCAAGGTCAACGATGTCTTTGATTGAAAGGGTTGGTGATGTGCAGTAAATTCAGACACAGTGCAAATAGCTAACTAGTATGTGAAAGGTAAAATACTTTGCAAAATGTCTAATACAACAGTTGTCGTGATTCTCTACAACTGAGTTAGTTAGACCATGGTTTGAGGGTAGGGATGATGATGAAAATAGTTCTTACATAATTGACAGGCGTGTAATGGAAATAAGGAGTGACGCTATGAGACATCATGTAACCGGGGTAGAAGTAATTGTAAGGATATGACACTGCTTGCTTCTTAACCACTGCCCTGTCGTCCATACTTGGAATATCAGCTCGGCGTGATGCACCTTCGGTGGTTTGTCCATCACTTTCTTGGCCATACATACTTGGAACGTTGGGATTTCCTTAAAAGGAAAGAGTAAATATCGGAGATCTTTAAATATTCTATTGATACTCGAAAAAAATCTACACCACTAAATGGGGACGAGCAATAAATCTGGCTACACGAGTTATACTATGGAAGTGACTTTAAAATAAAAACGGAATGTAGCGCATAAGGAGCAAACCATTGTAACAATTCACTGCCACTAAGAAGACTGCTATTTGCCCTGTTCCCCTTTGAGACAAAATGTGACAAAGTATAATATTTATTTCTTCAGAGACCAAATTTTCTAGATATTAAGAACTCTCAAGGCAAGAGCAAATCATTAATAGCCGATATGCAGCTTGCCAGGTTAAAAATGATAAAAAGGACGCAGTGGGTATCTAGATAAAAAAAAAACTGCTCATAAACCATAAAGATGGTTTAAAACGGGCGTGACGCTTGTTTGCTCAACTCGTCAACCCAAGCAGTGGCGAATCATCAGGAAGGAGCTCGAAGAGTGCAAAGCCTTTAATCTATAAAGGAATGTGACGATTAGCACAGAGACAGCTTACCAGTATCGCCAAATGAGTCCGCTGGCATTTCTCCCTCAGAAGGATTCATGTTAAAACTGGACATAATATCATTTGTGGATTGTTGCTGCGGACCCGTCTCTACGTTTCCAAGCATCGATCCCAAGTCATTTGGATTTTCTGTTGCCCCCATACCCTCCTGCCCAGCGACTACAGTGGCTACTTCTGGCGTGGCTTGGGCTGTATTTTCCCCAGCTGTTTCATCAGAAGGCGTTTCTTCAGGTGCTTGGTTGTTCTCATTTTCTTGATTGGCATATTCCTGTGGCGCTGGATTACTTTCACCCATAGGTGTTTGTATTTTCTCAATGCCAGGATATCCCATGGCCAGACTTTGCATCTCTTGATGTAGCAATTCAGCACCCTCCAAATGAGGACTTGTTGTGGGATCCTTAACATCACTGTCAGGCCCAAAAATATCCTGTCTGACTTTCCCTTTTTCCTCTTTGACATTCTGCGCTTTTGGAGAATTAGAACGCGTCCAGCAAGGGACACAATGGTGAGAGTGGTGGAGGAAGTGGCAAGGTACTGGCCATTTCCATCCACCGATGCAACCACAACCTGGATACATACACCCACCCCATCCATAGCAGCCAGGGTGATAGTTAACTACTTGTCTACTATTGGCATTTTCTGGTGAATCAGGGACCTTGGACCTATAATATGGGCCAAATGCACCTCGGGGAGGTCCATAAGGGCCATAATAACCCCCATAGAGACCGCCGTAGGTGAAAGCTCCAAGTAAAGGAAAGACGCTGTGATAGCCATGACCAGGATATAAAGCTCCTCCCCATCCATATCTTCCTGGATGAAAGTTATGGACAAGGTGTCGTCCTATGGCCCCTTCTTCTTTTTTGCGCTCTTTTCTCACTTTTTTAGAGTCTTTGCTTGGGATATTTGATTTGTAAAAGTTGTGACCCATATGGAAACCGTTGAAAAAGGGGTACGCACCATAGCCCCAATGAGGATAACCCCCGTAAAGTGCTTCTGGATAGGGAACGTACGCTCCACGACCAACGAAAGGGGAGCCAAAACTTCCGTATGGTCCATATGGAAATCCGAATCCATAGTCATCCCACGGGTAGTCAAGCGCTCCATATGGTCCGTGTATAAATTGCCGTTTGGGGCCTTCTTCCGCTTTTGCTCCCTTTTTGCCAGAAGTATCCCTACGGTAACCAAGCCCCAAACCATGACTGTAACCATATCCTAAACCAAATCCATGACCAAATCCGTAAGGCCCCAATCCATATCCGTACCCGAAGTGACCTAATCTGTGGCCATAGCCATAGGGATTGAATCCATAAGCTAAATCAGCTCCCAAAGGCCCCCATCCTGGGTAACCAGTATTACCTAAACCCCATCCTCCCCAGCCACCCATATATCCAGGCCACCAACGCTTGTCTGCTTTATTTTCTTTGTCGTTGTTTCTCCCGGGAATCTCAGCTCGCAGAAACGGATGGTAAGTACCACCAATGTCAACGCCCCATCCATGACTTGGGTCAGCAAGATCAAAACTACGTCCCCAAATGTCGTCACCCAACGGCCCCCACCCTGGGTAACCTGAATTTCCTATGCCCCATCCTCCCCATCCTCCCATGTATCCTGGCCACCATCTTTTGTTTGCAGTAGGACCTTTCACGGAAGACCTGGTAAACCCTTGTGATGTTACCTCTGGAATACTTGAACGGTACATGCCATATCCCCAGGAAAAGGGTGCGGGGGTAAACGGGACTGCGGCAAACCCTAGGTACGGGTAGACTGCCCCAGCCATAGGGTAAGCATACGCAGACAACATTTGGCGCTTTAAAGCTGACTTGTGTGCTGACGGTTTACTTCCCTTTTTAGAGATATGAGATCTATGCCATCCTCCAAGAATTGGGTATCCGGTCCACCCACCATGATGCCCACCTCCCCAGTGATACCCAGGCCAATGAGACATGGTGCCCCAAGGATGGCCGTGATGGTAAGGACCAAGATGAAACGCATCAATGACTTGCTTTTTATTTCCCCTGTGCGAATTCCGGCCTGGCAAAAAGAAATATGTATATAACGAGGTAAGTGTCTTAAGGGAAATGGCATTGTTGATAAAATGTCAACGTCAGATTGACAGTGCTAATTACTCCCCTGTTCTTTTAAACCTTTGTAAAAGAAGCTTAAAGTACAAAGCTAGAATACCTTTGGAAAATATCGACAAAGTTTTCTCTTCATCAGTTAGTTGCACGCACAGAGATTTAAGTGCCGAAAATCAACCAAATTTTATGTGAGGTCGCTTGATAGAGCATACATGTTGCTTTCACAATAAAGACAGTTCGTAAGGCAGATTATAAAGAACCACTCAACCAGTCAACTAAATGCCAACCTGTCATCTTTGTTTGGAAGACACATTATCGCGGGTGGCTAGTGTATTCAATTAAGCAGTTGAATGTGTTATTTGTTAACAAAAAATATTTTTTCGAATTACCTTTGATTTGCCATGAATCTATTCGTCTAAACTTCAAAATAAATTTAGCACCTAATAGAAGGCAGATCTGCTTTCGCCTGAGTTGCAACAAAAAGATGTAAGCAAAAAATAAGCATGTTGATAGAACGATTTTTTACTTCGTATTGAAATAACAAACAAAGAAAGGAGACTCAGATAACAGGTAAACGGATAATCAACAAAACTAAATAAGTCAAAGGAAACCTTGAATTTCTCCAAAATCCGTTTAATTAAGGGAATTGAACTATTGCGTGTGATGATTTTTGTTTAAAAATTTCATTACAGAAAAAAACTCTGTGATTAGGGCTATGAAATAATTGTCATTGGATCTAGTTAATTCTAACGCTAAGGAGAAACTCATGGAAATCAAAAAAGGCTATCGAAGAGAAGTATTCAAAGTTCGTTCTTTATAAAACCTACCTTTTTCCGGCTCGCCACTTTTTGTTTTTGATTTTTTTATCAAGTTGTTCCCTTCGAAGGTTATTCGATTCTCAGCTGCATACACATCTTCCAAATTGTTTGGTCTTCCGTTTATCCCATAGAGGTAAACACTAAGGAAGGTGAGAAATACTAAAATTATTGATGGCAGCCCCGCCATTCTTGCAGTACTATAGCAGCATCCAAGACCTTATAGTCGTTTCCAAAAAAGGCACCTTTTCTAGGTTAGGATTTGCTTAGGCGGATGGAATAATTAAGCTACTTTACGTGGCGTTAGATTGTATCAAGCCTCTTTTGTTCAATAACAAAAAAGCGCGCGTATGATTGGGTGATTCGATTTTTACAGGTCAAAAGGCTGCTTGTATCATTAAATAAATCAATCATTGACTTACAATCAATTAATTATTCACTTGCTTTAAATTCCCGCCATTCCCCTCTTTTCTGGGACGTTTGTTACATCGGCGACCCCCTCCGCCCAGGCTGTTCTCATCATTTGTGCCAGTTGTCATTAGTACAATGAGAGCTTTCAAGAATTTACTGAAGCGTTTATACCACCAAGCTCGGATTGTCATCTTATGAATGGAACCAGAACGTCTTGGGGCAGTTCTTTTGTTGAAGTAACCTTGAAATAAATGATTAACTAGATATGGCCATGACCAAGATGGCTAAACTTTAGAGTAGTCAAAACAACTAAAGTCAGAAAGTTACCGTATTTCCAAAAAGTTCAAGTTGCATAGTTAACCAGGACTTAATTGCCTTTTGACGAAAAGCTACGCGAAAGCAGATAATTCGCCATCAAGTATGTGTCGAAGCTTGACCGAACAGTAGAGACAAAATCAAACTTTTTCGCCCTAATATAATCGAATGGTCTATTGAATTTTCCAAGTTCAAAGCAACGTGTTCAATGCGTTCCGCTTGCCATAGTACTTAGGTGTGTGCAAATGCACTGGGCAATTTCACATGGTTCCCTCTCCCGTTTCTATCTATTATCTTCTTGAAAACGTTGTTTAAATAGAGAGGCTAGATTCAGGGTTAAATATTCAGAGCAGATTTCTTCGCATACGTGATAACAGTCACCAAAACTTTGTAAACAAATAGTTCTGGGCGTAAGAGAGAAAGTACTCAGTTTTGCCTACCGCTTTGTGGCATTTTCTTCATCACGATATTTTTACAAAAATCACTTTTAAATGACATTACGGAAGTCCAGTTTCGTCACTAAAGGGCTTTTTTTTTAGACACCAACGTGCTTTCGTGTGTTAGTAACACCTCTTTTTTTAGCCAGCTTTAAGGCGGATATCAGCACGTGAAGTCCATTCTAAGTGTAAGAAAAAAGATAGTGAATGGCCTTAAAACAAAGTGTGCTAGTGCTAGTTCTATTCAAGATTCCATAACGATTCAACAGGTGATCATACATGCCATTTAGGCAGTCAAAACAATGACATAAGATTACGGAATATTTCGTTCTGGTACATTGCCTTCAAGCAAAATTTGCGGAAGAAGAATTGTATCTCCTCAAGCAAAGAGAAACAAGTATGAAATCTGTGACTGTGTTTATGGTTTTCTTTTGTTTCCTAGCGATAACAAAGGCTAAACCTGTTAATGAAGACCAGGAATTTGTAGAAAAACGTGAAGACAAATCTAGCGTGGAAGATGAACTGGAAAATTCTGGAAATTCCGATGAGGAAGATGAAGAGGATGGAAGCACCATTGACGAAGAACCACGAGCGAGAGAAAAGAGAGGTATTTTTGAAACCGACAAAGAAGAGCAGAACTCGAAGGATTTTAGTGGAGAGAAAGAAGGAACCGAGAATTCCAGTGGAGATGAGGAAATGCAAAAAGATAAGCTGCAATGGAAAAATAGCATGGGAATTCGAGGGCCATTTACTATCACTGCTCTGCAACCCATGGGGCTACAACATCCCTCTTCACGAAAACAAAACGATCAGGGCTCTGTTGATCTCATGAGCACACCAGGAAATATCCAAATAACACCACTCGAGCCAAAGATCAACAGCATGAAGAAGATCCGCAGGAGGTGCTTATGTCCTTTTCCTTGTGGTGTTCCAAACGACTTCGAAGTGATCGGTTGCAGTGGTCCGTATACGTATCCACTGTCACCTTGTGGAGGTTTCGGAGGAATCTGGCCGGGCTTTGGCTGTGGAGGCTGTGGCGGTCTGTACGGGTTGGGTGGTTATGGAGGGTATGGTGGTCCATATTTGGGAGGTGGTTTCGGATGTGGTGGTTTTGGTGGGTGTGGTGGTGGTTTTGGTGGGTGTGGTGGTTGTGGAGGATGCGGAGGCTGCGGAGGCTGCGGAGGGTGTGGGGGATGTGGAGGATGTGGCAGTTTTGGATTCCCATTTCCATGTTGCTGTAAGTATATATTCTATAATGAAGATTTCCCTATGATAAAATTAATTTCATTCCATAGATTTGTATAAGAGATCCAGATGATCCAGCTCCATGATAGTTGAACTGGAAATGGCACTAGCTGGTTAGTCTTAAGGAATGGTCACTTGTCTCATATTTTGTCTTACGACGAAATCATTTTAGGTGCGATAGTTCCTAACATGCTTTAAGTTTCTCTGCCTGAGTGTTTTGAGAAGAAAACAGACCCACGCATTAAGATTCTCTGCTTGAGCCTTTGAGAGGAGGATGGAGGAAATCTTGTTTTAGCGAGGTTTATATACAATTCAATTCAATATTATTACGCCATTGTTACGTGTGGCAGTGCACCAAAATAGAAAAGGCTAATTGAGGAGTGCTGTAAAGATAATTAGTGTTATAATGAGTTTTGTAGTTTTCATTAAATAGTTTGATCTTTATTAAACGGAGACGAAAATGGAAGAATATCATTACCTAGTTAAAGTTGTCTAAATGGAAAATTAAATGCAGGTATATACCACCTTTAAAGGGAGAACCCTATCTCGCAGATGAAAATGGATAGAACTCTAAAAGGACTCTAAAGCTATGAAATGTGTTGTATGAAATGTTTTGACATTATTTTCTAAGTAAGTGGTATACGAGTAAAAATTTTATTTTATAAAGTTACTTCTATTATTTTCATGTTTTGTTTTTAGGTTGTAAGAAAGAGGAAAAGGAAAAGGAAAATGATTTTGCAAAATCTGAACCAGCACAGTACAACCCAGCTGGCAAAAATCCAAAGAATGGCCAACGGGATATGCCTCTTCCAGTTCCATCACCTCTGAAACTGAACAAACTGTCAGTGAAAGTTGCCAAATTTTGAAGAATCTTTTTTCTTTATATGAAGCGTGGATTTTACTCACAAGCACAATTAGATACTGTACTATAAACCATGGGAGATAATAATAAAGTGCATTAGGAATGCATTTATTTAGTGGTTTTGACATTGATCCGAAGGAACCATAAATCTGCAATAATGTAAAAAAAAATGGTTTGATATAATAAAATTGATCAGTTTAAAATAATAAATAACAATTATTGAGACATGCAGTACCGACGTGGAGCCTCTTAACGGCTGGGAATTTGCTGCAAAAGCTCTTGGATTTCTGAAGGGTCTTGGGACCGGGAATATTACCGAGGGCCACTACTTGCTAGGTTGCAAGGTTTGGAAATCTTTCCTCGAGTAAATACGGGCGTGGCATGCACCCTTGTTAATGGGACTACTTCTCCGTGTTGACGTCTTCCTTTGTAAGATTGTTAGATACCTTGTGATAACAAAAGGATATTGCATCTCATTAGATAAATTTAAAATTAAAATTATTAAACTTTTTCCGGGCAATAATCTTTTTGGTTTTGCAGAGTTGTTGATCAGACCTAAGGGAAACAGGGGCCAACTGTGTAAAAAATGTTACAATGTCGAAAAATTGTAATCAAGATATAAAAGGCTCAATTTTACAAGCTTCCCTTGGAAAGTGTTCATATTCAACACAATCGTCACGCTAAGGACATAGTAATGAAATGTGCAATTACGTTGTGAAATTATTGCTGTCAGTCTTATAAGCAAGCGAGATATTGACTGTAAGGTAACCTATTATGATCAAACAATGCTACCAGAAAACAAACCACACCCCTGTCTTTATTAAACGAATAAGAAGAATGTTCTGCTACTCAAAGACGGTACCTGCCTGCAAAGAGTATCTTATTCTGGTTACCAGCGTTTGAAGTAGAAAGGCGAGAACCTCTCACTGTTCACCATGAAATTGTTTATCCTTGCCACACTTTCAGCAACATTCGCGCTTTTCCCTGTGGGAACTCCAAATCCTATTGATGCAAGGCCACAGTCAGTTGATGCCAAAAAAGTGAAAAGCACACCTGGGAGTAACAAAGAAGGCCTTTTAGATTACGGAGCCAATCTGGCCGGATCAAACCAGCAAGTGAAACTTAAAGGGATTGAAGAAAGGAAGAAGAAAATTCAAAGTGTAGTTGAAAATGTCAAAAGGGGTAAAGCGAAGGCCACCAAACGTTGCCATCCTCAAGTTTGTCCCCCTGGTTGGATTTCTCCTTGGGATTATGTTGGCAGTCAGAACAATATTCATGTCGGTTGTGGAGGCGGATGTAACGGCGGATATGACTGCGGATGTGGATGCGAGGGAGGTGACGTAGAGTATGGTGGCTGTGGAGGTTGTGGTTGTGGTTGTGGATGCACAGGTGGATGTGGATGCGGATATGGCCGTTGTTTTCCCCATGTTTTTAGAGATGGAAATGTTCAACACGTTTGGCTCGGTGAGTGAGTGAGAGGCTGACCCTTTTAAACACCTTCATAGGTTAAGTTTGCTTGGTCCTAAAAGATGCCAAACAACTTGACATGAATTCCTTCCTCCATAAACCAACATCTATAAAGTGCATGGAATCTGCTTTCTTCTTCTTCTTCTTCTCTCTCTCTCTCTCTCTCTCTCTCTCTGCAGCCCTTAATAAGAAAGCTTGAAAGTTGATAATGTACTCTCCACATTTGTAATATGCTTAATATGAAGCCCTTGAGTTTCGAAAGTGAAGGATCTCTAAAAGTTTTCCATTTTCCAAATGGTCATTCTCGTAAGCTTGGCCCGTACCAAAATTGCACTTCTTGCACTCCTTAAACCTTGCAACTCTTTAAACTTACTAGTGCTTCTAATGAGAACAAGAAGAAAGGTACAGCCTTCAAGTTAAGGAGAAAAAAGGGCCATGCTAGTATGACTCATGAATGATTTGTTTTGCTTTCCTGTGCAAGAATACTGAATTGATTCCGCTGGCCAAGTGTTCGTGGAACTAAAACGAGAGTTAGCTTGCTCTGTGAGTGGGGGCTTTAGGCCTTTAGGCAAAGTTTAGTTTTGTAAATGTTTTGGTCGATTTTTGTGCTTAGTTTCTCTAAGAAAACCTTCTAAAGAGTCAATATCTAGGTCTTTTGCTTTTTTTTTTTTTTAATTTATCGTTTTCTCTCTGATTACAGGAGGCCAGAAAAGGAGGGGAGGCATACCCTCCCCGCTACTGGTTGGAAGAAATAGAAAAGTGTTTTCCGTTTCTTTGCTTAGGAAGCTACCGACTAAATGAGTGGTTATCGTCCGTCCATGCTTAGAAGATCAGCAGTCCTAAGACCACTACCTGTAAAGAAGCCTAATAAAGGTTTTTAACTGATATCAGTCAATGCATTTTATTTTTGTCGGACGTATTCTAGGAGAAACGTAGTACAGCTTTCACGCTTTTAAAGAAATCACACATTTACGACCTTCTTTACCGACATTATAATCATATAAGTATGGCCCATAGTAAAACTCCCGCAGATAGACAAAATTTCTCATTTCTTTTTTCCCATTAGTATCCTGATCCAAATGCTAGATTCAAATACTTGAACTAAGAATGAGTGATGCTCTTGAGTGGCTATCCACTTTCTTTTAGTACAGACAACTCTTATACGCGTGATGACTTGAGAATTCAAGGACAAACCTCTAAAATCGGATGCCAAACATTTCAGAAAAGAGAGCATTGCACGAGTTCTATTAGGCGGCGCATACACTTAGCACGGCACCCGAAAAAAGGCACAAGAACGTGAGCACAACCACCTTCATTTTGCTCAGGTTACCGAACCCACCAAATGAGAAAAAAAACATCAAGAAATATTTTTTGGCCAAGTAATCAGGCACGGCAAAGGAAAGATGACAGAAAAATGAAAATGTAAAAGGAAGAAAAAGGGTTACATACAGAGGGGGCTTCATTGGACACTCTCAGAACCCGACAAGTGTCCCGTGAATAGAGATTTCTCTTCAACAGAGGTTTCAACGAAAACTCAGGATATAGAGTGAAAACACCCTTATGGTAACAGAGCATAGTCCCCTAAATATGGCTGACCCCTGAATAGAGACAACAGATGCTTTTGTTCATTCATGATTCCATTTGAAGCGAGTTCTCATTATTTCAATCCATATCTGACAGGGTTGTCACTATAAAGGTACCACACAGAATACAAAAAGCAGGCGGGAAATCCAACAGCTAGGGATTTCCTTTTTTAATTGTATTTTCCTATGACAGTAGCCGGGGCCACGTTCCTAGTAGCCGAGGGAGATCTTAATGACAGCCCTGTGACATATCCGTCGCCCGGCCCTCTCACGCTAAAATTCAGTTTTATGCTGTTCGAACATTCTGGGCCCTGCAGACCACGGCGACAACACGCTCGTGATTCACAAAAGGATGAAAAGTTCTCTATTTTTTATGCTCTCGACGTTGATGCCCTATCCCTGTTGAAAGAGAGAGAACTTCGCAAATTAGCAACATAGGCCCCAGTTTCCCCATTTTAATCCCCTTTCTGGTGTCTTTCATGGTGTAAATGTATAAGAACGCAACAAGGCGTCACCTAAAGACGGAGAAAAGAGTCATAATTTGGTCAAGTACTAGCAGGATGACAGAATAGATTATTCTTGCACTAGCTTTGTTTGTTTGTTTTGTTCCTTTGTCTAATATTGTTTCCAAAATATCGTTATGTTTTCTGCAATTATGGCATGAATGTTGTCGTTTAATTCCTTTTTCTTTTGATCTGACTGCTTCAGCTCCTAGAAAGACGTTAAAAAAGGTATTGAAATAAGAAGGTACATAATATTGAGAAATAACTGAAGCGACCATGTACTTCACTGGTTTCCTTTTCCTTTCACTCTGGCTGGTAAGCTGTCGTGGAAAAGCTCTAAAATCAATGAAAAACAGAGCTACTGACGTCTTGAGAACAACTGATGGAACAACTGATGGCATTGAACAAGGTAGAGATATCACTCAACGTGAAGTCACGGGGATTAAATCAAGGTTCGAGCAACAACGATACCACAAAAGAAAAGGCGATGAACACTTACCAAACAAAATACCCATTCTGGAAGGGTCGAAACGCAGCTGCTTCTGTCAATTTAGTGCTAGTTGCCCAGATGGATTTGTAAGGACATACCCGCAGTGGCCCTGCATGGCAAGTCCAACGGCTTCAAATGGTATTCCGACGCCACTATACAGTTTTGGAGATGGATCACCTTGGTTGCAAGGAAGCTTTGGTGGTGATGAAGCAGGATCTCATTTTGATTCATGTCCATGTGGGCAATGTGGATGGTGCTGTAAGTTCTTCATGCTTTTAGCGGAATATCTTGCACTGGAAAATCAATTATCTTAGGCTATAATCATATAGAACAACGCTAGAATGACCATATCTGTTGCAACTGATTTGGCAGTATCCCTAAGTAAAAACAATATTTTACTTAGAGTTTAATCCGTTTGAGGGAGACTGTAATAAAAGATGAATTATACATATCGATTATAGCCTATAATGTTGAAAAAAATACCCGATAGCATCCAATCCTTCCACCATGATTACCATGAAGTTGAGATCGACCTTGAAACCATTTATTTAATTCGAATCTTTGCGTTAAAGTATCTGAATCGTCTTGATCCCCAGCCTGCACTGGTTCAACAAGTTCATTTAAAGGAAATCAGGTGCCTTTTGATTAGACATCGAATCTGTCGAGCTGGTTTTAAGAACGAACTGTTTGCAAATTCTGGATATTGTTTCATATTTGCAGGTTGTGAAGAGGAAAAACAAAACGATAAACGCCAGGACGTTAAGAAACCGCTTGCCGATGCACATGAGCGCAAACAAGCAGATAGAAACCGTTTAATCATCAACGTTGTTTGATTTTTTTGATGAAGTAACACTAACAAACGTCTGTGATAGTAAATCCAATAAACGTAGCAAGTTAAAACGGTCCGGATGGCCATAATGCTTGCTGTTTAACTCACCCAATATGTGTTGATCAAAATAATCTTTTGCTTTCTCACGTTACTTGCAAGCATGGTAATAAATGATTTAACTTTCACGTAAGGGGTGTGTTCTAGTGGCTCCTGCCTGTCAATAATAGTACTACCACAAGCACTTCTCATTGTTCAAAAGCGATAATGGTCAGCGACAAAGATTAAAACCTTGTTTCTATTTTGAAATTCTTTACAGTTTTCTTGAAATATAAGTTCAAAAAAATTGTTGACGTTTTAAAAATTTCCAGAGTTTTAAATTAAAGTATACCATGGTTGGCAAGAGCATCTCGAAACCTCGCAGATTGCTGTTGAGGGTATTTTCAAAAATTCGTTTACTAGTCTGACGTCAATAAAGCATAACGATACCTTCCACTGAGAACATAATTCGAACGACTGCGCTCACAAATAGTTGTAAATATGGTGGGTGTCTGGTTAAACTCCCTACAAATTTTCCTTTGTGTTGTTTGCTTGGTCGTCGCTTTTGAAGACACAACAGAGGGTGTTAAAAGGGATGGACAGGAAGAACCATTAGAAATTTATACAGAAGACGAATTAAATCCGCTAAAGCGAGTCACCAGGGTTCTCGAAAAAGGCCTCGATCGAAGACAGTCTAAAACAGACCAAGAAAGCAAAGAGGACATCAGTAATGAAATTAAAGGCAAGGTTAAGAGAAGTCAAGAATCACAAAAAGCCAACAAGTTCAACAGTAGAAGGAGATGTTTACTTCCACATGACTGTCCCTTTGGATTAGACGAATTCGGCGATCCTTTACTACACTGGCCAACTCCCTGGGGATGGCCACCGGGTCCACATTATCCGGAGTACGGGCCTTGTTTTCATCCCATTTGGGCAGGACATGGAGTTCCACTTGGATATCATCCGTGGGGTTGTGCAGGTTCATGGAGAGGGCCTAGTTGTCACTGTGGCTGTAACAACCATGGATGGTGCTGTAAGTCAACTTAATTAGTTTCCTTTTTGTTTACGAGAGACCAAACCTTATTAATAAAGCGAACTTAAACTTTAAGGCGTTAATTTATTAGACTGAGATGCGTTCTTGGTGATCTCTTGAATATTCTGCTATGTCCTTAATCTTGGAAAATAGTCAAAATGTCTGACTTGATCATGATAACATCGCGAGAAGTCGAAACCGATGCATCGTGAACGTGATATCCGAAAAGTGTAAAAGTGGCTATAAATGATCTTGATATAGATATTTTCCACAGGTCACGTGTTATACATGCAGAACCAAGGCTCGACTATGCTCAATATTCAAAACTACAAGAAAATTAGATTAAAAAACTTACATATTCTTCGAAAAAAGGGCTGTGTCAATATCATTGATTTACTGAACTTTACTGTTGGACCTGTCACCAAATTGAGTGACACATAAAAATAACCTCACAAGACATCAAAAGAAGTTAAAAATAATACATCTGAAATATCAGACAGAGATGTACAAATTGAAAAAAAAAGGATTAAATTGGACTGAAATATTTTAAACAACTCATCTATTTGATGTTTCCAAAGTTTGATATAATGCATGTAAGACACCTTTGGTCAACAAGAAACTGTAAATTGTCATTTTTGATTTTTCGTTTCCGTGTACTTAGGTTTTGGGGGCGGCGGTGGAGGACCACTAAACGATTGTCCTCAGTGCAACGGTGCCGCTTCTAAGACTCCTTCCACACCCCAAAGGCCAAGCCAGGCTGGTGGTCCACCACTTCTCAAACCTTTGTTGGCAAAGCAAATGAATTTCAAGGCTCCTCTTCAAGTAAAGCCAATAAAGCCGATGAGACGTTGGTTCAAGCGTTACGATGTCCCGTATAACACTGGCTACCAGTATCCATATCAGTCAAATTATGGCAGTTATCCTTCAGATCAGCAAGGCTATGAAAATTATGCATATCAGTCAAGCTATGGAAGTTATCCACCCGCGTACCAATCAAGCTATGGAAGTGACCCCTACCAATCAGGCTATGGTACTGAGCCTTACCAATCAGGTTGTGGCAATGGGCCATGTCCAGCGCAAGCTCCCCAACAATCTTCATTGGCTGATCAAGTCGTTGGGACGTTGTTTTTGTTTAAACCCAATGGAAATTTATTGGCAGCGAAACATCAAGACGTCAAATCAAAAAGTTGACATTCCCTGAAATTACCAATCGTGACGACGGGATCAGTTAATCTCCACCAAAAGATCCTTTGCACAGTTCATATGGAAGGAATTGGGAGAAAAAAGTAATTGAGGACCATTTATGAAATTTAATAAATGATTAATTGTCTGGAAAATGAATGTATTCAAAGGTTGCACTATTAAAGAGCCTATATGATGATAGAAATGTCACAATATGCTCAGAATAGCAACGGGCACAAGAATCATTTAAACTGATTTTATTTTCATCATACTGTATTAAACTTCCTATACTTGTTAAATTTGTAATAATGTAAATGGCTGGGAAATAAAGTGAAACAGAAGCCAGGAAGGATTGCAACTTGAATTACCTGGTCAACTTGTGGTCTTATTGTTCACAACATGCACTAAATGGCCTTGGATCAAAGTAACACCCCGACCGGTTTAAATGAATGGATGATACTATTATAAATACAGGGCACAATATTTCATCTCATGCCATTTGCATAATAGCACTGAAGTCCATTATTTTGCCTTCATCAGAACTATCCGAAGATTACAATCACTTATTAAGTCTCTGCCAATCTCGACAGATTCAATCCAATTTATCGCGATCCCATGCAATTAAAAACTACTCGGCAGCTTTTCGTCATATTTGTACCTTGGAGAAGATGTATGAGATGTTTCCATGTGAACGTCCGTGACCTGAGCCAAATTAGGGTAACATTGCTAACAAATATTGCTACCCTTCTTTTGGAGGGGTGCTGCCCCTCCATAAAAGTGATGGACGGTCTAGACGGGGCTCACTGTGTAGAACTTTGTGGCCATTTTTATCACTGTTAACTAACAAAAATCTACCACTTTTAGGAGTCAAAGAATGATGGGGGAGTAATGCGAACGTCTTGTTAAAGACTGACTGTAGAGTAAAATAAAATCCAAAATTCTGAGCAATGACAAAAGATTTTGAACATGGGTGCTTTCTACTAATAATATAGTGTGCATTATTTTGCAAAAATTAGCATAACGTCAAAACAGTAAATGTTGTAACGCAGATTTTTGACCAGTTCGTAGGATACGTTTGTCTTGAAATTTCAAGGTGTTGCAGTGAATCAATCTTAATGAAAGTTCCAGACATTTTTATATACATTATGAAGATTATGTGAAGAGATTTTAAAAATATTCGTTTGAGTCGTTTCAGAGATATACAAGAAAGCGCTAAAAGTCCAAATTCTGAATGAAGTTGCACTTATACAGGTGGTGAGAAAACGGGTTAGTTTTCAAGTTCGCGTGATCAAAAGTGCACCAAAATTTCTTGGCATCGAATTATGACATTAAGCAGCATTCTGACCCAACTTAAGAATAATTTGAGTCATTTATAACTTTATTATTAAATAATCTACCACGGCTTTTGAAAATTTAAGGTTTGAAAAATATTTTCGTTTTAATCGAATTCAAACAAAGATAATTTTATACTTCTTACGGAGATTGTTTGCTAAACATCAAACTTTAAGTTCCTAGTGTTGGATTTTCAGTAGCAGGTCTAGATCAATTTCAAAGTTTTTCGTTTATTGTTGTCATAGTAATATCGATTTTACTTTAAATTACATTTGCACAAATTTCAATCCATAGCCAATTCCTGGTGAAAATGTTTTAGCGATCGGACAAGAAAAAAAACACTTTTAAGGCGATTGAAAAATATCGGTATGACCTCTGAAAAACTGTATTGAAACACCTTAACTCGGTCAATTAGAGTGGTAGCTATTTTCGTATTAACAGGCAGGTCAGCAACGCAAACTATGGTTTTCCACATTTCCGCCGCTACATCCCACTTTACAGCAATGCAAGTGTGATTGTTCAATTTTCATAATAATTTTACTTTTCTATAACCTTTAAATTGCAAAATCCCAACACAAGATTGTCTCATCGCCTTGAAAATCCCTGATGAGAAGTTTGAGATGACAGAATGTCATACTTAATCCTCACGTCACCTAAGTCAGAACTGACTTTGAGCCCTTTACGAGCTTTTTTCCCAACCTTAGTTTGTTCTTTCCTTTTGAAATAAGCGTCCAGATCGAATCCTTTACCTCGCTGCCTTACTTCAGTTTCACTGAATGTGTTCATTCCCTTCGTATGTCGTTTTTTGGCAGGTAAGAAAGGATCAGTGTCAAGCTCACTGGCGTATTCAGGGAAGTTTTTCGTTCCTTCATCTTCCACGGCATCGTCACTGAATTCCTTTTCGAGTACTTCTTCTTCAGCACCATTATCTTCATCGAAAGTGCCACTTGATTTGTGTTTATTAGAAACCATGTTTGCGTGACCATCATTTGGCTGAATGGGGTTTGTCTGACCGCTCAGTTTGTCTTTATTTTCGTCTTGTACTTCTGACTGATCTTTAGAATCATATGGGCTATCAACCATTTTTCTGTCCTCTTCTTGAAGTTGGCCAACTCTTTGCTTGCTGTGTGTCACGTATTCTTGCTGTTCTTCTGGCTGGTCTTCAGAGATCCTATCGTTGTATTCTCTTAAACGTGGTTTTGGCTGGAAAGGAAGAGTTGGTTGAGTAAACCCCACATCAACATACTGGTATTCAGGATAGTAGCGAAGATTCCTTACATTATATGGGTCCATTTTCCAAGGCGTCTTCCATCCCATATGAGGGAAGTATCCTTGAAAGCGCCAGTAATTAACTGATGGCAAATCTCTACCGAAAGGCCAGTAACTCGGAAGGATGTGAAAGTGCCCCTGGGGAGGATGCAAAGGCTTGTGCAAGTACGGGCGCCACGGTTGGTGTTGACCAGTGAGATGAGGGAAAACATTCTTTCCTGAGTTCTTAGATCCCTCGTCATCGGCGAATTGTTCTTTTTCGTCCGGCTTTGAGGATTCAGCTTCATATGGTAATGGACGCTTTCTCGTCAAGTGTTTACCCTTATGTGCAGCTGGAAAACCAGTAATATCAAACCGCTTGGCTGTGGTGTTTCCTTCATCTGGCTTATTCCTTTCATTACGGCCTATTTATGAAATTAAAATAATATGAATCAGAGGTTCTCGTACAGAAATTGCCGTCAAACTAAGGTCATCCAGGATCTCTGTATTTCCTGAAAAGTTTGGGTTAGCTGCTCTCCTTTTAGCCTTCTTTTGTCCCCCCCCCCTACAAAAGTGAATTGACCTGATATTAAGTAAACTTGAGACAAACAGCGTAAAAACACATAATTAAACAAACCTAGTAAACCTAAAGACGTGCCCTTTTGAGATTTCTATTCATTCAAACAGTTTTCTAAATATCAGGTAGTCCCTGCTGGATTTGGACTGTATTCTAAACGTTAATGCACGAAGAAAACACACTTACAAGAAACACTCGAAATAGGAAACCCAATGCCACAACCACAACTGAAACCTCCACAGTCTACTGCTGGTACAGGGCGACAAGGTCCACCACGAATTAACAGTCCTGCATTTAGTGGGCAGCCAAAAAAGCATGAAAACTTATAAGGATTGCTTAGATGTAGATTTTTGCTTGCATATTGTCTGACGCCAGGATCGCTCTCTTGCCTCTTTATGAATTCCAGTGGTCCATGAATGCTTGGAATATACTGCCAAGCGATGATTACATGTGATAATATTATAAAAAGACTAAACCCAACGATCCGCGTTTTGAGGTATAAAAACCTCATAGCAAACTTCTTAAAAACTTATTTCGTTACCCAAGGGAACAAATCCAGATTCCTTTTCTTTTTGTGAGATTTTATGGTTAATAATTATTGATAAGTGAGGTGAGGTAGTATATGTGGTAAGAATTGCTTTATGGTCTCGTAACAAAATTTCATTGGTTTTCTTGTCGTCCAAATTAACGATATAAAAAATGTTAATGGGATATTATTTGAAGACACCTATCTTTGTCGGCAATTTCGCTGTGGATTTTGACCCAAAATATAAAAATGAAACCATTCGCGAACTCTCTTTGCCAAATGCGTTTGAAAGGTTCCTCCCACAAAACTGGTACATGTTGATTTACTGTTTATTGCGATATCAAATTCAAGCGAAGAGCACTTATTACAACTAAGTTGTCTGTCCGAGATTTTTGTTGTTTTAAGGTCGATTTGTCATCTATAAAATTTTTTTCTGATACTTGCTTGCTTGCTCAATGGTGACCTAGTTCTAATGCAATAGGAGTAAGACGTTTGGCTTGCGATTTAAGAATCCATTTTCGGTTTTCCATTTTTCAAGGAGACGACCTTTCGTATGTTCCGCTTGGAAATCTATTGTTGCTTGTTATCGAATTCTGGTTTTCATTTCTTTTTGTTTTGATGGGGGAGCATGACATTGCCTGGCATGTACCGATCGGTACTTCTATCAAAATTACGTTCACACCTTCAGCAAACATTAACATGATGCTGGAAGCGCGTGGCTTAGATGTGGGGTAAAGAAGGCCCAGTCTGTGATCTATGGTATAGTGTTCTTTCCATAAGTCTCCTCACTGTTTCTCTCCATGTTGGCTATGCGCTGTTACACTTCATCCAGGAAGTTCCCATTTACATCAGTTCACGATCCAAAGTTTTACTCTTTTTCATTCCCTGAATTGGAAGATCACTTGTTCTTCCGCCTTCCTTCCTTTCTTCTCAATAGATATTTAGCTTAATATGGCTTTGAATACTTTCCTCTCTTTGCGCAAAGTTTAAAGCTGGTTTTGACTTTTGTTAGTCCATATTTAGTTTTATATATTAGACTGGTTAAGCTCTATGACAATGAATGGATGAATGAATGAATTATGAATAGCTTTATTTCAAAAGTGTTTAACTAAAGTAGCAGTACAGGAACCACTAAATTGGGACACTTATGTCCAGGTTTGTACGCAGCTGCAAAAATTGCGATGTTTCGTATATTTGCGAAAAATCGCAACGTAGGCAATTTTTTGAAAGCCAGTGGCGAAAATTGCAGAAAATCGCCAAGTCTGACGAATTTTCGCGTTAGTTGCGATTTTATAACTGTATAATAAATGTTATTGACCAGAGACCAAAGAATATAATTGATACGATTGCCTTATGTAAAAGTCAAAATATACGGATGTGAAGATCGTGTTACGCTTTAAAAAAAATACTTATGTGTTCATCAAGTACTAGATGGAGGCAGCATAGCCGAGCGGTTAGAGCGCGAATCGTTGGCCCCGAGTTTAAGTCCCACTGTGACCGCTAGCTGGATTTGTTCTGTTTTTGGCAGTTCCGAGTTCAAATCTCGGCCATTCTTGTAAATAGCCAGCTAGTTTGCCTTCGGCCAGTTGGGATTCTTAAAGGGACAGGTTCATGGTTCAGCGCATGCTCATTTATCAAAATGCTGTTTTTCTGCCGGAACATGCTGTATCGTCTATGCAAGCAATATAATCATGTCCTAATGTTGTCAAAGAACCAATCTGCATACTCCCCTGGCAGTCACTTGCACTTGATCGACTTAAATATTTTCAAATAGCTGTAAATTAATGAACCATGGAATAAAACCTTCGGGTCAACAAAAAATTCAACGTGGGTAGTGTTGGCATAATCCACTGATTTTTTCTGCGATCTTAGTACTCCTCCATCCTTCTTCAGGTTACTCTGAAATACACTTCTACTTTGAAATACACTCTGAGATCGCTAAGATTCATGTGAGTGGGATAATTAACCGATAGCATTAATAACAAATTGGAAAAAGTAATTTAATTTATGAGCATGCGCATAACCGTGAACCTGTCCCTTCAACCCTGTTAAGTTCAATTTGCATCATTTGTTTAAGGCAATTGCTCCTCCCCACTAGCATTAGTGCTATAAATACTGCTAAGGGTAAATAACAGAGGTTTTATATTTTTTTTATGATGATGATGATTACATCAAAGAGCATCAGCCAGCAAGGAATTTAAGTCTAGCTTTACAATTTGCTACCTGAACACAGATAGTGTAGGAAGGTCCCTATTTTTAGGCAGTAGATTCCATAACTTAGGGCCGATTATCTAATACAATGCTTCCCATGTGTAGTAGTAGTGAATCTAGGTGTAGTAAATTACTTCTTTTTCAGTGAAACGATTTTCACCCGCCGAGTACTTCATACGAGTTATTTGAAACTCCAAATACTTAAAATGTTCCAAATTTGAAACTTTACTCTCAAGTATCTAAAAGAAAAAGCTTTTGAGAAGGAAAAAAATTCACAAACAAAACTACAGGCATCAGTGCGTACAACAGGTTAACTGAATGGTTCCCGTCACTTTTTCTTTAGCACGCAAACAAAGGACTTGAGCGAGTCTCTTTGTTTCCGTCAAGTTGATCAATTGATCGATGTATTCGTCTAACGGTAATGTCAACGAGTTTTAATGTTTCCTTAAAGTCATTTAGCAGGTGGCTTCATGAGGTAATTCAATCCTCCCTCCTCTTTGATTAGTTTTTAAGTGGTTTGCTCCTCCCACCACTTTTGTGAAGTCTCGCTAGAAATGACGCATTTTCGGCGGTCATGGATGATGCTTTTCGTAAATACTATTTTGATATCTACTGAACAAGCTATTGCTCCCAGTCCCATTTATGGTCGTAGACAACAACTTAGCCCGACCGGAAGTAAAAAGGATTCGGAAGCGTCAGTCATACGGCTTGGTGCTCCTATGTCAAAAAACGCTGTTTCACCGACTCACACCTTAGAACCACCTCAGTCTACCCAACAAAGTAATGGGAAGCAATTAAAGTCAGATTTATCTCTAAAGAAAGGGGAATTAAATATGAACCCGGGATATGGACTTCAAAGTCATCAGGGTGCCAAGGATGGCGAAATGTTACAGCAGCAAAATGGGGTGATGAGTGACCGACAGACAAAAGATGTCCATCAAGTTCACCAATTATCAGAGCAGGAAAACCAACAGCCTCAAACAGCACTGCAGGAAACTCAGCCAACTCGGCTGACAACACAAAATGTAGAGTCTGCACCTCAACAGGCTCAACTGGTTACTAAACCTTTGCACGAAGACCAACAGGAAGATAATAAAAAGAACGAAAACAACAATAACAATGATTGTGGAGGCGGATGTGGATGTTGCTGTGGAGCAGGGAATTGTGGAACAAATAACAACAATGACGGCAAAAACAATGGCCAAGGAAATAACAACTGCTGCGGTTGTTGCTGTTGTTGCCAACCATGCTGCTGCTCGCCGTGTGGATGCTGTTGCCAGCCATGTTGCTGTCACCATCATGACTGCTGTGTGCATCACGTGCATCACGTCGAACATCATCAATGTCCTTGTTCATGCGCACCTCCATGCTGTTGCGAATGCGCATGCGCGCCGCTGCCTTGTGGGCCCTGCGAATGCATTCCACCGTGTTGCAGTGGTGGATATGGATACTTGGATCCTCTCTGTGGTGGGTGTGGTGGATGTTGTGGCTGTCCTGCACCGTATGGGTGTGGTGGATGGAGTTGTCCTTGCGGTTGTGGTGGTTACCACTGCAACATTTTTGTATCTGAAAAAGAAGGTGAGCACTCTGATTTCATCTCTGATAAAAACAACACGTTTTCGATATTTCTGTTTCTGATCCTAGCAGTATAAGGTCGCCTATCGCATAAACCCTACTCTTCACTAGTGTCTCCTCAACTTGGTGAATAGAGCTCCCCCTGTGCGAGGTCAGGGCCCAGTTTTGTCGCTCATGCCATGCTGGAAAATTACTAGCTTGAAACCAGCGAACAATACCTCCATTAGACGAGTTACGTTTGTTTTGTTTAAAACTCTACGGAATTGCCATTTTACAAATTGCTTTCCTAGAATCGGGTAAAGAAAAGGGTAAAGGAAAAACAGAAGACAAGAATGGACAACGTCGAAAGCGTATTCTTCCCTCAGGCTACCTCTTTCCAGCCTACCGACCATATCAGTTCTTGAAAAGGTAAGCAAGCTACAGTGAAGCTACCTGTCTACGAGTAAATGTTTAGCACTCCTAGTGATTTTTGCTAATAGTACTTTAAGATTTGTTTTTCTTGTAAAGTAATTACTTTCTCAAAATAAAGTTTTATAAAGTATTTTGTAATGACTTAGTTAGGAAGCCACAAGTTTAACTTTTCCTTCAAATTTTATACTGTGAAAAGCTTGCTTCATTGTAGATATTTTTAATGCGACCGTTTTTTGTAAAAAGAGGTTTCTTTTTTGTTAAATTTTAAAATTACTTTCTGGAAACTTCGAGATTGAAAAAATTGCTGTAGTTAGATGGAAAAGCCGCGAAATATGCATGCTTTACATTTACTCGATTCCGAAGTGATTAACAACATTCTTAACTAATTTCATTTTAAATCAACAGGCACAATGCACCATATTTGAAACATATCCATGAGCGCATGGCAGACATGGCTTGACTACCTGGTCAAAGGTCACAGGACGCCTTTTTAATTTCAGTTCCAGTTTCATGAGGTTATACCAAAGTTGAAGCATTTGGGCTGAAAATCCATCTCTACGACATAACAGATGCATAGCTTTCTTAGCGATTTGCAGTTAAATTGTCCTTGGTCATCGGGTACTGAAGTGATACTACTGATTCATCATGCGTCACACATTTAAGTATTTAATACTGTATTAAATTATTGGTGTAAAAATATGTCTCAATTATCTTAATTGTAAAGCACTGTTTCATCTAAGAGCGATTTAAGGCCGTAAAATGCTTATATGTAAAGAGAACATTGTTTTACTTAAGCTGGTTTGGCCAAAACAAGGATTATTATAATTGTGATCATTTCTCTACATTTAAAGTTGTTTCTATTGTTGCACAAAGTTTAAAAAGATGGATCTCATCAATAATTTTCTTACGTTTGTAGAGCATGGACTGAGATTCTTTTTGTCAAGTAAGTGGAAAGCAAGATCATTTTAAAGAAAAATGAAGAAATAATGATGTTTAAAATGTAATTTTTATTCTCTGCTATAAATCAGTTAAAAACAGTTTAACACCACAGTTTCTCGGGGAAATAGGGTTTTTTTCCCTTCATGAAATGCTTGTGATTACCGAGATGCAACAACTACCAATTAGAACCAGAAGATCTGAAAAAAATATTCCACGCTGAGAAACCGAAAATACCATACCGGATTCTGAGCCTTATTACCGTCTGAAAACCAAAAATATGGTCCCCTATTGTAGTAATGTTTTGTTTTACATTAAAAAACAGTTCATTGTCAAACTGAGAAAAAAAAATCAATTGAGAAAATGCTCCACTGGTACCAGAAGAGTATATGCCATGAAACTGGAAACTATCCAATGACATTCCTTCTCGTGTTTCTCAATGACCTGGTTTTGTGGAGCGTTAAAAATAAAATGAGGGGGAGGCGAAGGTTGAATGGTGCTGTGATGTAAGATTTCTAATCCATCGTGTGGAAAGCGATTTTCTAAAATTGGTGGAAGTTATAAAAATATTTTGTTCGGCGTAAGTTGACAATCGATCTTTGTTGAAAGAAAACATGGAATTCATCTAGAAGGCCATGAAATTAAAAATCGTAATCAATGTATTATTCATTTTACTAATTTTTCGCGCTGCCATATTATCTGAGGGAGTTGTTGAGAAAAATAGTAAACACAAATCGAGAGAATTTTCAAGGATTCACACAGCTGGACAGAAGAATGGTGACTTAAAAGAAAACTACGTATTGAAGAAGACGTCTGACAAATTACACTTAGCAGGGAGTATTTCAAGGTAAGGGGAACATTACATGATTTATTTTTAGTTTTAAAAGTGTCCTAAAGGGTTGTTTCAGACTTGCATTAAAAGGCAATTTAATGTCGACGTTTTACCAATTTTCTGTGCAAAAAAAAAAAGAAATAATGAAGTACTTACCGTGTCGCAGTTTGGCATTCTAGGCTGTGGAATAAGATCCCTGCCATCCCGTACGCGTTGTTTTCTCTTGAACAGGATAACGAGTTGCTGTGTTGAATTACATGTCTCTTCCTCAGAGGGTTACTTTCAAAATGCGTTTTGTCGGCAGAGGAAAAACAACCACTTAAGATTAATGGAATATGAGCGATTTTTAAATTTTGGAGCATTTGAAGTGTTTGTTGACTTTAAAGTAACCATATCTTCCACCTGACTTGACTATTGTGGGCCCATCTTCTCAACATACATAGATCGCTGACCTGTGGTAAATGGCACTGTCTAACTTACCTGGTACCCTTCAAAGAGAACGTCATCTCAAATTTGTTTAGCAATAGTTAATAAAGATGTTAGAATATTCCGTTTAAACTAATTGAAAAAAAATGCACCCTTGTGTGTGTCTCTCTGTAGTCTAACGATTTTGAACATACGTCTTTGCTTAAGAAAGATTAAATTTTTTTGAAAGAGACCGTGACTCATTCAAAGAATTCAATAACTATAAAGCAAAAGCTTTTGAAGCTTAGAATGAAACATTACTCGCCAAATAGATATCAAATCTATACTCGGAACCTACAAGGGGTCTGATCGTGAAGGATGATGGGATTGTGTTATAGTTCAGTGGCGGATCCAGATCTTCAGATAGGAGAGAGGGGAGGGGGGGGGGCAGTCATCCAGACACTGAGAAAAGGGGGAGCAGTCTCAAAAAATATTTTTTCGGCCCTTCGGGCCTCAGTTTGCTCTAAAAATAAGGGGGGCGGGCCCCCCGGACCCCTTGCCTGGATCCGCCACTATAGTTTGGTCGCCCCATATAAGATAATCCCGATTCCGGAATCCTGGGGTTTGGACTCCTGGGACCGAGAATTCAGCTCAAGGAATCTAGGATACCATTAACAAGGAATCAGAAATCCAGCAACTGGAATTAGGAATTTAAAGTATGGAATCCAGAATCTGTGTAGCTGACTGTCTTGGGTTAAATTGCATGCATGGGGCTGAGTTTGGGGAGCCGACGTACGGGTATTGAAAACGTGCTATAATGAATAGACATTTTATAATAAGAATGTGTGCCAATGCTTTTGCATCTCTTGCTTTTCCCATACCTATCCCGGTCCACCACAAACCATTCCCAGTCATTTTTCACACCAGACTCCTCATATTCCTCTAGGGAGAAATTACACTGCTTGTCATTGGCTACCTGCAGTTTGGCAATAAATATCAATACATACTCATGCGTACAAATCTTTATTTCTCAACGTCAATAATTGGCTTTACGCAGTAACAAGTATTAATACATACGCATACTTACAGTTATAATTCTCTGCATTTGTATTTTCAGACCAGAATACATCGGTGACGGATGTCGTAACAATTATCTACGAAAAGGAAAATCCAGAAGATGTGGTTAGTTTAGGTGTAATACTCATTTTGATGGTTCAATTCAAATTTATTTTAAATTTTTGGAGTAGTAAGACTCGGCTTCTGTTTTGTTTAAGACTTTGTCAAGAAGACGCGCGAACAGCCAGTCGCATAGCTGTTGTAATTAAAGCAGAAACTTTTTTCATTTGCATGTGTTCTTTGTGTTTGCGACGCACAAAATTTATTTTCCTTTTCGGCTGGTACTAGCTATTATGCTATCTATCGTTTTTCAATGCCAGCGACTTTGGCTACACAATTGGCACTTAATACAATTTTGTGACATTTGACAGACAGAGCAGTGTACTTTTCTTTTAAATTTGTGTAGAACAAATCGCATTCTTAGTTACCCAAACTTCATATTCAAACAGGAACAGCGGGGCACATAACGTTTTGACTCTCGCCTTAAACACATTTAGCTGTATTGTTTTTACAGGATGCCATGTTTGTCATAAGATTCAGCCTTGTGTTGGCGGTCAGTGTGCGCCACCTTGTGACTGTGACTGTCACTGTTGTCATAATATATTTGAAGGAGGTTTGTCAATTGTCATCCGCATGAACATGCATGTTGTCACAAATAAATTGACGACTTAGACATTGCATGTTTGCTGAAGAGTAGAGTGTCATCTCGCTCCACGTAAGGGAATCCGGGAAATTTTTGCCTGTGGAATCCGGAATCCGAGAAATTTGAGTTGAGGAAACCAGAAATCTGGACTTTTGAATCCAGAATACAACTCTAGGCCACTAGCGATTGGAAGCCGGAATCCAAATTCCATCGACAAAGAATCCCGACCTCCAGTACCTGGAATCCGGAATCCCCGGCGTGGAATCCAGAATCCAAGACTGTTTTAAATTTCCTCACATGGAGCGAGTCATCAATTTCGAACAAATTCCAGGTTGTAGTTGGTAGCTTCATCCGGCAGGGTTAAAATACAGTGAATTCTATTACTATCCACTATTCGTGCCTCCAAATAGCTGATGATAGTGTGGTCCTAACTTCTCAAATTTTCTTGAATAAACCTCGTGGTCTTTTAGACGACACATTCATGCATGAAAGGGCACTGGCATGTAATTTAGTCCTGAGTATTTATTCATGATTAAAAGAAATAACATCAATGACACTGTCTCTGCAGCCTAGCCTTTACAATGGGAGATATTTTTCCGGATTCCTCAAGAATTCGAAACATTTTGGTATTAGATTCGTTTAACCGGTTACACGAAATATCATGCGTGAATCCGAAATAAAAACATTAAACCAGGTCTGGTGGCGAATACTTATTAATCAAATGAATGTTACCAATCCAAATACAATAAATGCAGAAGATCCGGAAGTATCCCCATCAGTGAAAGCCTAGCCTGAATATCATGATATTGGCATGCGGCATGAAATTGATGAAGTCCATAATACAGTTTGTTATCAGCGAGTACCACTTTAGATCACCTTCAACCATTAACCTTTAGTTGATATTAGATATTTGTTTAACGTTTATGGATCAGGATCTTCAAAAAAAATGTGCTCAAATTATTTAAGGAGAACTCTGGTCTTGTATACTAGCTTTAGTGATGAAACTGCACTAAGATAACAAATGCATGACTTGTTGGCTTTTTATTTGAAGAGCAGCAGTCAATAAATT